CTTTGCAGCATGTTTCTTTCCAGGGGACCAAGTTCTCGGTTTTTAGATCGATAGGTTACGACAGGCTCGGGTCATCGAGGTCTTTGCATTTAATGTCCGTTTGGCTTCATCATAGGCTTGTTTTTCGGTATCTGGTCCTGTGGCCCAGTGCTGCAGAGAACAGGGGGCATTTATCCTGTTATTTCACACTTGGCCTCATGTTCAGAAACAAAGAAATATTGAGGCCCGAGTCTTATAACTCCTCTGGATGGAGGAGACAGGACCTAGACGGTGCAGTCACTGGGGGGAGATGGTCACGTGCGTAAGGCTCTGACAGTCAGACAGCATGCTGAGTGGTGCGCTACAGGCACTCGGAGGCCACCATGCTGAGTGGTGTGCTACAGGCACTCGGAGGCCACCATGCTGAGTGGTGCGCTACAGGCACTCGGAGGCCACCATGCTGAGTGGTGCGCTACAGGCACTCGGAGGCCACCATGCTGAGTGGTGCGCTACAGGCACTCGGAGGCCACCATCGCCCGGGGTAAGGTGCAGATGGTGCCGTGCACAGGGGAGCGCAGAGGGCGCCGGGTTGGTTCGGCAGCGCCGAGTCTCTCCCGAGAAGGCAGCACCCAGGGGCTCCCACCAGCACCCACGGCTTGGGCCGCTCTGCGTGCTTTGCTCGTGTCATGTGGGCCGTAACTTTCGAGGTGGGGCAGAAGCTGGATTTTTGTCATGAGTGATGGAAGGGAGGAGCAGACACAGCTACAGCTGTGACAGAAGTCACGGGACACTGGAGGGTGCAAGGAAGTTGAAAACTCTTACCAAGAAAGTGGTACGGAGTTAATAAAGGGTTTTAAAAGATTGCACACTGTGTCGTAGGCATTCCTTGCACCCCCCAACCAAGACTCACCTTCCTTTTTTTTTAAGATTTATTTGAAATGCAGAAATACAGGAAGGAGAGAGAGAGAGAGAGAGAGAGAGAGACAGACAGACAGACAGCGGGGCCCTGTGAGTTGACTCCCCGCAGTGAGAAGCTTACCAGCCTGCACCACTGCCTCAGAACACAGGGCACAGCCTTCAGTCAGGGCTTGTGTCTCAGCTGGCCCAGTTAGGTGGCCCGCCCCTGCCTGGCCGAGGCCCCCATTGCCCCCCACCTGCCCCGAGCCAGTCACATAAAGAAGGAGCCCGGATGTCAAACTCCATTTTTATTATTTTTTAATAAACTTTATTCTATATTACAAATAAGTTTTTTTTGTTCTGAACTGCAAAATAGGAATGCCTTATATTTACATACACAGGTATACAATTAATTATAACAAAGGTACAGAAGCTTGCCTTTACCAAGTTACAACTGGGCTCCAACTTAAATAGCATAGGGTTCTTTTTTTAAAAAAAACTTTTTTAAATCTGTTTTTAAGCTTACTCGGATACTCTTTAACAGCCAAACCAGAGGGCTCTGATAGGTGCCATCCAGCTGCCCCAGAGGCTTAGGGTAACACTGTTGTCTAAAGATTCGCTTTGCTCTGCTCTGACAAAGGTGGGGGCTTTATTTCCAAACAGAAGTGGGGTGGGGGGGCTGGGAGGGGCAGCGCATCCGAAACCACTGCCCTCCCTCCTTCCAGGGTCTCTCTCTGCCAAAGACCCTGCCTGCTGTCTCCCTTCTCTTCCCCTCCAGCCTTTGAGGCTTAATGCGGGGTCTCCGCCCAGGCCAGAGCCCCTGCTCCCCACCCCTCCGCTGTGGCTGCCTGGCTGCTGGTTGCCATGGCGACGTGGCCAGCCCCTGCGGGAGGAGGCAGGTGGGTCCCCTCCGCTAGCCTAACGGAGGAGGAGGGTGGCAGCGCCCAGGGCTTCTGCCGCCTCGGAGCAGCCAAGCCCGGGCAGGCGGCTGGGCACCCCCACTCAGACACACAGTCACGGTTTCCATACGGAAACAAGGTTCTTTGAGGTAAACTAGCGTTTCTTTGTGAAGGGAAGGGTGAGCAAGCCAACACGGGAAGGAGAGGGAAGAGGGAAGGTGGCCAGTGAGCTGGCCCAGCCCTTCTTCCCTCGCTGACCTCCGACCCGGAAGCGCTCCTCAGCACTGCTCGGTCACCTGGCCGGATCCTGCAGTGGCCTTTGGGCTGCTCTTGCACCGTGTCCTCTGTTTTGAACTCTACTCTTGTAAGGGAGCCCTTCCCAAATGTGTTTGCCTTGTTAGGATCGAAGATACCAAGGAAAGTTCTACCCAGATAAAGAACCCGCGGGAAGAGGAGCTGTGTAGACCCGGCCTACTTGCTTTCGCATTCCCTGGGGAGGGGAACGTGGGTGCCTCCACGGCCAGTTTCCAGTGGGGTCCCCCAAGAGGCTGATGAGAAGTGGGTGGGGTTGGCAGCCTGGGGAGCCCCGACCCTGCCCCACCCACCCTCTGTCTCTGCCAATGCAAAAATATTCTATTAAGGAATTTGTCTTAGCTTTGCTTTCTGGTAGCCGCCAGTCCGTGGGAGGAGTGTAACTGGGACTCTGAGTATGCCATTTACAACGAAAAAAAATTCCATGTATGTTTTAAACTTGGATAGTCACCCTAATAAAAATGATTTTATTGAGGAGTCAGAACCCAGCAAGGTCTCCCCTGACGCTCTCGCGTTTGCTGCAGGGGTTGCGCTAGTGGGAGCATGGCGGGGCCCCAGGGCCTCCCTGGGAAGCTGCCCCTCCTGGGACGCAGCCACGCAAGCGGCGTGTCTGTGGGCAGGGGTGACCGTCCCTGCACGGCCCCCTCCACGGGGCTTCCTGACCCTGTGCACCAGCGGGGGTGGGGGGTGGGGGCGGGGGCGCTGGCCTGTTCCCTGGGGCTGGCCTCGACCTGCTGGAAGCCACAGGCAGACTTTGGCACACGCCCCTCAGCTTACAGCCACACCTGGGCTCTCCCCTCATCTCTTAAGATTCACAAGCAACAAACAAGCACGTATCATCAAGCGGGAAGCCTGAGGCCAAATACTCCCAGTGCTGCCTTCCTGGGGGTTCGGGGGGGGGGGGGGGGGGGGAGCTGGGCATGAACTGCCCCGGGATCTTCTCTGGGGGCCCAGAAGCTGCTCACTGACAGCAGTGCCCTCAGCCTGAATGGGCTCACTGCTACCCAGCACTGCCCGCCTGTCTAGACAAAGATGATGGGGTCCAGCTGCTCAGAGGAGTGGGTCTGGGCTGTCCACCTGCAGAGCGGGCGTGTCCCCACGCCTCTCTGCCTGTCCCACCTGCCCTGGCTCCCAGCGAGGCGTGGAAGGTTGGTGACCAGCAGTCCTACTGGCCCTCAGTCTAAGTGTCTGTGTACCCTGTGAGTTCAAAAGCAGTGTCCTCTTAGTCCTGGGGAAGGAGAGAGATGGAAAGGACGCTCCGTTTAGACGGAGACTGAATCAGCATCATCCGGGCATCTGGAAACAGCGGCGGAGCCCTGCCTCTTGGAGGGGAGGTCACTGGGGACACCACTGCTGTGGCTTTCCAATGGGGGACCCGTAGGGCTTGCTGGATGAGGGGCTCCTGCCACTCAGAGGAGCAGCCCTGGGCAGAGTGGGACGGGGCGGGGGCAGTAGCGGGAGGCGGGACCTGCCAGCCGAGCAGCGCCTGCACCGAGTGGACACCTGGCACTGCGGCGGAGGCTGCAGGTGCAGGGGTCGGGCAGGGAGGGCGCGGCCAGAAGCCAGACAGACATGCGATGGGTGGAGAGCAGCAGGGCCATTGTGGGTAGGAAGGGTGGGGTCGCAGTCTCAGGACAGTACGGGGAGGCAGGCTGACCTCGGGCTGGGGGTGAGAGCTGGGCCCAAGAGGAGGCAGGCAGGGACCTTAGCCAGCAGTAACACCTCTTCTGGGAGCAGCCCTGGGCAGACTGCCTCAAAGCTCAGACTTCTCTTCCTGAGCGAGCCCACTTCCGGGTTGGCGGGCCCTCCTGAGGCTGGCTCTTGCGCACATCACCCAGGGTCACAATGTCGTACCTTGGCCTTCGAGACACACGTTATCCTCCACCCCCAAGTTTAAAAGCTTACTGAATGAAAAAGGCAAGAAAATATTTTCCTGAGGTCATACTCGCCAACCTTGCCTGATTGCACTGCTGTATTAGGTAGGCATGTTGGGGTCTCTCCTGGGGGGAAGGATGGAGAACGGGCCCAGCCCACGCGTGGCAAGCCTTGTGTCCCTGGAGAAAGGCCCAGCCCGCAGCTCTTGGCTTCTTCGACCCAGTCTCTTAAATCCAGGACCCTGCCAAGCTGCCCCTTCCACCTGTGCCAGCCGACTCCAGCCGTCAGATTCCCCACGTCCCCTAGCTCAGTGTTCCACCTGCATGGTGATCTAGTACTGGGTTGACCCTGTGGGCTCCAGGAGAGGAGGGTGCTGGGGTGAGGGGAGACGGCCTCTTTTGCTCTCTGTCCAGACCTTCAATGGATCTGTGGTCCTGCCAGTGGACTTCAACCCTGGGGCAAGGGTACCTCCATCCCACACGCCCGAGACTGCCCAGCTCCCTTCTCCCCGGCAGCCTGCCCTGGGCCACTCTCGGGGTCTCTGGCCCTCCCAGAGGACGCAGAGGACCCCGAGGGTAGCAGGGCAGGAACACCTGGGGGAAAGGCCCGCTCTCAGATAACAGTGCCTGTCTTTGCTTTGAGACGCTGCGTGCAGGCACCAGGAACGTGAATGGAAGAAATGGAACATGACAGCCAAAGACAAGAGCACTGTGCCTGGCAAGGTGGGTTGGGGGCTCTAGGTGGCACTGATTTCCCAGGCCCCTAGGAGGTCCCAGCAACTGGGGGCAACCCAGTGCCTGAGCAAACCCACCCCACCCACCAGCCTGACACCTGCCCCAAAGCCTGGCCCGGGGACGGGGAGCAGCCAGGACCGTGGTGCGCCGTCTCACCTCCTTCCTCTTGGTGCACTCTTCTCAGAGGTGTGTAAAGTTTTTCTTACAACGAGAACATGGGAACCAACGTCCTGTCCCGAGTACCGACAGAGTAACAACAGTCAACATCGTGAGTGAAAAACAAAAGCTCCCGTAAACCCATGAGAACAGTCTCGTTCTGCTTGTTCATTTGTTTCCTTTAACTGTGCAAAACTTAAAAAATAAATCAAAACACACGCACTCACACACATGCACGCTCGCTCACACACAGCCTCCATCCTGCAAATCTGTGTTAAATACGCTCGGGTCTCTCTCCTCCCCAACCCGCCACGCGCAGCAACCTTGCATCAGTCCCACCACCCACAGACTCCCCTGGTGGCCTGCCAGGTCTCTGCTCTGGGGAGGAATCCCCGCCAGGCTGCTCCACCTGGCTTTTCGTTTGCCAAAGCCTTTGGTCGTCTGTCCGCCTGTCGAATGCATCTTCTGCCTCTCTTGTTTGCCAGGGGGCTTGTGCCCTTCACCGTTCTGTCCTCCACAGGTCACCGCCCTGACTTCCTGTAGACAGGGGACCTCTCCTCCTGCCCACCAGTGCTCAGCTTACAAAGCCCGTGGGGGAGATGCCGGAGGCTGCAGGATGACCCGCCAGGGAAGGGGATGGAAAAAACAGTTCAAAACCCTCTTGCCCAGGTCGAGAGATCTTTCGAGCTCTCTGCTTACTCCTGGGGCTCGCTCTCGCTCTCTCTCTCTCTCTCTCTCTCACACACACACACACACACGTGCACATGCACTCACACACATGCACACTTATTCATAGCCAGAGGAACCAGTACTCTTCAAAGTGCAGGATGCTATGTAGGCTTTGTGGGAAGCAGCGAGGTCCCTTCCCACGTGGGGCTCCTTTGGAGTGGATGGCCGGAAGGACGTCCCGATGCTTGGGGTGGGAAAACAAGACTGTGGGTTCCTGATCCTCAACAGCGCCTTGCCCGCTGCTGCTTGGCTCCCCGGGGGTGTACCCACAGCTGGAGACCAGAGCTGCCCAGAGAGATTCCTGCTTGTGGCCACGATGCACCCTCCCAGGCGGCATCTCAGGTTCCTTACAGGGGCCTGGGACCCCTCACCACACCACTGCTCGCCACAGCCCAGGCTCACCTGGTCCTCGGTTCTGAGCACACACTTGCCTCACTGGCGAAAACAGTCTATCCCCAGGTGGAAGGACAGATGGACGGGTGGGTGCCCGGCCAAGGCCACCTTCTGTCCCCTCCCACTTCCGGCCAGGTCCACCCCTCCCAGACACACCAGGCTGGGGCTGGGCCTGGCTGGCACGTTTTGGTCTGTCTCGGCGAGCCTGTGCTTGAGTACGTGTGTGTCAGTGACGACCGCTGTAGAGAGGAGGAGGAAGATCGACTACAGAGACCGCGCAGATGTTGAGGAAACACTTCCAAGGAGGTCTGGACGGCCCAGGGACAAGGTCGGCTGCATAGCAGCGGCACCAGGTTCTGCAGGGAACAGGGCCTGGGCTGGCCGCCCCAGCCTTCGGTGGGCTCCCAGGAAGGATGGCTGGAGGTAGAATCTCCTGGACGCACTGCCCTTCGCAGTCCACACTGACCCTGACCAAGGGTGCCGAAGGCCAAGGCGGGCGGAGGCGCTTCCTCGAGACAGCGCCCAAGGCTCTGGCAACGGACTGGACCCAGGACTATGGTCGTGACTCACGTGCACTGGGGGATTCATGAAAAACAGCAAGGTCTGCTTCCAGGGTAGATGCAGCGCGCTCTCGCTTTCTCCCTCTCTGTCAGACCCGAAGGTCAGCAGTGTCTCCTGCTGGCATGCCCCCGCCATTCCTTCTGCCAGCTGTGCCCGGCAGGGGAGGAGGCCGGGCAGGCCGGTCCCTGCGGGCACTTGGAAGGGCTCCGTGGCGATCGCACGGGGACACGAGCACTCCCAAGGAGCGGCTGCAGCTCCTCCCACGTTCTCTGCTCCGGTCTGGGGGAGGTGTGGGTCTTCTGGCATCTGCAAAGCACCTAGACCACCAGCGGGCCCCTTGGAGAAGGAGCCACAGGGAGGGGCGCCAGGTGGTGTCTTCCCGGGGAGGCTCTTACTGAACTCCCCGCCTCTCCCCTAGGCCAAGGTCTGCACCCGGGGCTCCCGAAGTGGAAAAGGAGGCAGCAGCCCGGAAACAGCCTCTGTCCACGGCTCCTCCACGCTCGGGCCCCGCTGCTGATGGACAGCTGGCAGGACAGCCCTCCACTGGCATCTTCTGGACGGGTCCCCGAGCAGGGGCCCAGGCCAGCCCTGCGCTGACTCAGGGGCCGGGACCCGCTCCAATCATGTCGGTAGAGCAACTGAGAGACGAGAGATTCAGGAAGGAGGGAGAGACAGGAAGAGGCAGGGGGAGGGAGGGAGAGAGAGGGGGGGAGGGAGAGAGGGGCAGCGCTGCCCAGGGGGTGCTGCTGATGCCAGTCGGACTTGCACTTGGTAAAGATGATGATCTAGACTGAGGCACGGCTTGGTGTGTCCCTCCCTCCAGGACGGCCCTGGAAGGTCGGTTCTCAGCTGTCGAAGCTCAGGAGGGCCATGACTTGCTCTAGTTTGTAGGCCAACTTCTGCTTGCCACACTGGTCATCGTGGTCCAAGGGTCCCAGGATCTGCAAGGCCAGGGACAGGGAGGTTACTGGTTATGCATACGTGTCTGGGTTCTTAGGGTGCACACACACACAGCCATGGTTGACAGGTCTGGAGGACACGTGCCCCTACAGAGGCACACAGGGCATTGCTGGGCGGGTGGGCAGCCTGAGCCATGTGGGTGGGAGATGTGGGAGGCGCCTGGCCATGGCACACAGCAGGTGGGCAACCATCTGGCAATGAGCAAGAATGCCATCACACACGGCACCGTGTCTGCCCAACATGTGTGTCTACTGCCCATGGAAGTCGCCTGTGCAAAGACACCATGGCTCCCTGCAGGTGAAACAGCAGGTAGCCTCATCTCCAGGGTCAGAGTGTATGTTTGTACTGGCCGGAAAGACGAGTGTCTACAGGGGCAGTTACCCCAGGACAGACTGCCTGTCTAGGGAACACAGCAACCCAAACCACACCCTCGTCTCTTTTTAACTTATTTGGAAGAGTCACAGACAGCAAGAGAGAGAGAGAGGTCTTCCATCCTCTGGTTCACTCCCCAAATGGCCACAATGGCTGGAACTGGGCTGATCCAAAGCCAGGAGCTTCTTCCAGGTCTCCCACATGAGTGCAGGGGCCCAGAGACTTGGGCCATCTTTTACTGCTTTCCTAGGCCATAGCAGACAGCTGGATCAGAAGAGGAGCAGCTGAGACTGGAACCAGTGCCCATATGGGATGCTGGCACTGCAGGCAGAGGCTTAGCCCATTATACCCACAAACCACGTGCTGGCCCCAAACCACATTCTCTTCTGTTCTTTGATCCGATTCAATTTGGTTCTACTTTAGTCTACTCTATCCTGCTCTGTTCTATTCTACATCAAACTCCACCAAACCCCATGGTTTGCCCATGAAAGTGGGGAGGTGCTTATTTTAACAAGATTAAGTCATGGGTGGCATTGTGGCGAGATGGGTTGAGCCGGCATCCCATATAGGCACTAGTTCAAGTCCCAGCTGCTCCACTTCTGGTCCAGCTCCCTGCTGACGCACCTGGGAAGGCAGCAGAAGATGCCCCAAGTCCTTGAGCACCTGCACCCTTGTGGGAGACCTGGAAGAAACTCCTGGCTCCTGACTTTGGCCTGGCCCAGCCCTGGCCATTGTGGCCATTTGGGGAGTGAACAGCGGAGGAAGGATCTCTCTCTTAACTTTCGAAATAAATGAATCTTCTAAAAGAAGAAAATTAGAGGAAAAAATGGAAAATCAGAGGAAATATGGGGGGGGGGATAAAAATACAGACAGAAGAGGAACAGGTCTTTCTGTATCTGAGGAGGGTGGAGATTAAGGCAGCTGTATGGCAGGCAGCACTCTTATCTCCAGTCTTCTCAGCACAGCCCGAGGCCCGGCTGGGAGACTTTCCATGGCAGAAGCGGGGACGGGGGTCTGGGGGTGTTCTTGCACGTGCGACATGCAAGCTGTCTCCCATCGCTGCCCCTTCCTCCCAGGAGACCCCGAGCAGGGCACGGCCCACCTCCTCGCTGTATTTGCCCACGTAGGAGAAGATCTCCGAGAGCGCGCTCATGGTGTTGAACTCATTCATGTGCATCCGGGACTGCTCGGCCAGGTACGCGTTCATGTCCTGGTCGCTGATCGCCGGCATCTTCCCGATGTCTGAGTAATACCTGCCAAGGGACAGGGGTGGGGGAGGAGCTGCAGCTGTGTGTGGAGAGTGGCAGGGGGAGACAGGACTCCCAGCACCTAGCGTGCACTCCAGGAAGTGGGTGCCCCAGCTGAGACCACCTGGGGACCGCAGGGCCCCCAGGAGGAGCCCTGTGCTGTTTCACCTGCAGGAGGCACAGACGGAAGGGACCTGGATCAGCAAGGCCCGGCTGCAGGACGGACAGAGCGGGGGCAGGAGTACGAAGGGCCTTGCCTCGCTCAGCCACTTTGCTCCCAGCCAGCCGGTGGTCCAGCCCGACTCGTGCCCCTTGGATGCCTCCTCCCCCAGGCACAAGAGGTCTCCTCCAGCGGAGCCAGGGCTCCTGGGAGCAGTTGCTCTCCCCTGGTGCCCTCCCTTCTCCCGGGGTTAAACGGGAGGGGCCGGGGCTGGGGAGAGAGGCTGGCAGAAGGCAATCCGTCACTGTCACTTGCAGCTGTGCACTGCTGTCAACTGGTTAATTAGATGCCAGCATTTACATTTTTAATTTCTGCAATTTGACATTTTATGCACTAAACCCCGCCGCCCCCCGCCAGAGGGGAGCGGTGCCGCTTCCTGAGAAGGAACCGGAAGGCCCCGGTGTCCCACACACGGTCACCTCCACTCTGCTGCATGCTCTCAGGCTCACAGATGGTGCAGAAGAGAGGCATCAGGAACCCGGGGAGCCCCCACCAACCCGAGGGTGGCCAGGCCAGAGAATGCCAGCCCTACAATGGGTGGGGGAGTCGCGGGTGGCGGGGACCAGGGGAAGACCAGGGAGATGCTCTCCTCCAGCCTGGAACCACGCAAGTGCTGGAGACAGTGACAGGCCCCGCTGGATCCCAGCTCTGCCCCTGGCCTTGGCCCTGTGAGCGCAGGGGGCATTCTCACCCCCCTCCCTGGTCCTAGGCCTTTCCCAGTCCACAACTGTCCATGTGCCTCCCAGGACCCCATCAGTCCTGTGCTGTCCCGCCAGCGCCCAGGAGCTGGGTGGGAGGCAGCTTTCCTGCCTTCAATGCGATGACAGCTCCATCTGCCCTGGGCCAGCTCCTGCAGGCCAGGGCTGGGATGGCTGCCCTGCTCTGAGCCACGGCCGCTGGCTTTGGAGCTCTGTCCTTGCATCTGGTCAGAGGGGAAGGTGCGGGGTGGGGGGAGGAGGGGAGAGGAGGGGAGAGGAGAGGAGGGGAGGGGGGCCCGCCCTCTGGGAAGGGTGGTAGGGAAAGCAGGTGCAATGCCAGCTCCCCACCTTGGTTGGCTGGGGTGGGCTGGGTCTCAATCCCTGACACGCTGCTGAGACGGGCAACAGGTGAAATGCTCACGACGTGACCTTTCTCAGAGCAGCCTGGGGGCTCCCTTGAGGCCATGCTCCCCAGGCCCTTAGGGACTCCCATCCTTCACAGCCCCCCCACTGCACCCCTCGTTCTGCTCTAGAGTCATCACAGCTGCCGCCTGCCTGTCCTGCCTCACTTGGTGCCGCAGCCCACTGCAAAGCACACCCTCAGGCTCCTCCTCAGCCCGCGTTCCGGGTGATTTGGTGACCTTGCAGGGACAAAAGTTCCCACGACAGCCTCCACGCATGGTCACCTTTCCCCTGGTGCAGTCAATGCCAACGTCCCATTTCATAGCAGATGACCCGGGGTTTCAGTGGCGGCTCCCAACCCTGCCATGTGCCAGGGGGATGTGTGCCACAGTCCCCTCAAGGGCCGTGCGCCTCCCAAGGAGCCCTGTGTGCCCAGTGGAGGTTATGGTCACAGGCGGCCTTGGGGGGGGGGGCGGTGAACAAGGGACAGCTGAGCCGGCTACACAGATCCCAAACAGAGCTGGGCCACAGCTACAGCCAGTCAATGCTCCAGCGGGGTTCCCAGAGGGGACACAGCTGTCCCCTGGTCCAGTGTCACTGGGGCTCCCGCTGCAGCCTGGATGGATCCTGACACTCACGGGAGCCCAGGGCAGGGACTGCTGTCCCCAAAGTGAAGGCAGAAGCCCAGCACTTGGTCCCCTCACAGTGGTTCTCCTCAGGGCAGAGCACTGGAAGCCCCTTTATTCCAAAGAGAATACGACAGGAAGAGAGAAGGAGAGAGGTTGGAGCCGTGGGGGTGTGCAAATGGCCTGGGGCAGGGGCTGGGGCTCCACCCACTCATCTCACGTTGATGGGCCATGCGCCACCCCCACGGCGTTCCCAGTCAAGTCCACGTGGAACAGCCTTTGTCCTGAGAGGGCTGGACTGGCCCAGTGCACATCGGTGGCCACACACGGGTGGCTCAGCCACAGGCGTCATCTTGGCGAAGTGGTTGTGGACAGCTCAATGCTGTGTGGCTGGCTCCCTCTCCAGCCTGTCTCCACCCAGCCCTGCCTGGTGCTGATGGGTCCCAGCCTCTCTGCAGGGCTCGACTGATGCTGCCTGGACCCCCCAGCACCCCCACCCAGGGCTCTGCCAGCCTCACACACCCCAGCCTGATGCCCGGGTGGCACCCTCTCTGGTATGTGCGCGATTGCATCCTCCTGGCCCTTGCCGCGCTGGTCTCTGTGCCTGGCTCCCGGTTGAGAAGTCTTACTGATTGGGAAGGCTGCATCAAGCCCCGGGAATGAGCTTCAAACCCAGGTTCTCAGCTGTGCCGTGAGGAGGGCCAGGGCAGCCCGGGCCCCTGCACCGGAACTTAGTCCTGTCCTACAGGTGAGCCTGGCTTCAGGAGGGGTTGGGTCTCTGCAAGTTCCCTAGGACCCCTCCAGCCGGCCAGCGCTTGGCAGGTGGAAGCTGCCTTTATCCAGCTTCACCCAGCTCTCTGGCTGCGTTGGCCAGCATCCCTGGGGGCCCTGGCACGGTCCTCAGGGAGCTGCCACCAAGGGGAAGGTCCCAGGAGTGGCTCCTCCCCGCCGATCAGTCTGCAATGGGATAGGACAGGGGCGCTGGCCGGGATCCCAGGCCCGGAGTGGGGCAGTGGGGTCTCGCGTCTGCCTTAGGACAGCTCCCTGGTGATCGGGGAGATGGTCTCGGATGTCTGAGTGTTCTGAGAAGGAAGAAGGGTTGTCATCCCTTCCGGCACCCCGAGGACAAAGATGCAGATGTGACAGCTAATTCGAGCCTGGTGCTCTGATGGCCCCAGCACTTGTCCATTGAGGCCGTGCATAGGAGCCCTACCCTCTGTGAACCACCGACACCTCTCTGGGCCCAGCAGAGTGAGGGCCTCACTGCCAGAGCACCCTCCCCCTCCCCCGCCACTGTTACAGCTCCCCGGGTCCTGCTGAGCTCCTGCCCGTGTCTTCCCTGACCATGGGTGCCTCGAGGAAGGGATGGAGTCTGGCGTATCCCACGTGCCCAGTAGACGCGTGATGAAGGCCATTCATGCCCGGCCTGGAGCAGTGCCTACGTTAATGACACGACTGGCCCTCACCTCCTGCACTGCTCCCCAGGGCGCCCACCATGGGTGTACAGCAGGATGGACAGCTTCCTTACGGAGCGTATTTAATGTTGAAAAGTCTTGGCATTTTTCAGGCCACGACACACGTGACAGATGGCCATCAAGTGTGTGGTACCCCCGGCCCAATCCCAGGGGCCCAGTCTGACTCCATTGCCTTCCTGGGGGTGGGGGGAAGCCAGCGATGCTGAGTGACTGAGGCCCACGTCGCCACAGGGGTGACCATGACACCTGCAAGCTCAGAACAGAGGGCACGGCCACCAAGATGGGGCCTGTACGGCCGGGGGTGAGGCTGCAGCTGGTCGTGGGCCACGGCCATGTCCTTGCGTCCTTGGTGAAGAGGCTAATGATGAACGAGGGGCACAGGCTACCCCCCCTTCTCAGAAGCTGGAAGTTTAATGGGGGAGAGAGGGGCCGCAGCACTGGCATTAGCAGGGCTTTGGGGCAGGAACAACGGGAGGAGAGGACTGTGCACAGGGGCCCCCTGGCTGCAGAGGGTCGCCCTGTCCCCCTCTGGCCTGCAGGTGGCCAGCGTCCTCTGGACCCCGAGGGGAGTCTGCCCCCTGCACCTCACTCTGCATCAGAGCAGGACGCGCCCAGCTCCACGTGCAGCCCTGTCCACACAGCTGGTTCCTGGACCCTCACCCCGTGTGGGGCCTCAGGAGGGCAAACGATGCCCTTCCGGAGTGGGCAGCGGCTGCTGAGAACTGGCGGGGAAGCGGCCAACAGAGCCACAGGGACTGCGGCTCGGCGCGCACCCGGCACTGAGCCCACGGGGGCCACCAGCCCAGCAGGTGCCTGGCCTCCCTTCTGACAGCCAGCCCTGCAGGTCCCGAGAATGTCCCCGCCCCTTCCCCAGCCTGGGCCTCGGTCAGGGCTGCCAGGGGCCCTGTTGCTGCCTCTTCCCTCCCGCACTGCTCCTGGAGGGAGCGGGCCAGCACGCAGCAGGGGGAGGTGACTCAGACATAGGCAGATGTGAGGACAAGGGGGCGTGGCCACTGCGGGCACCCGCAGGGTACCACAGGCGGGGGAGGGCAAGCATGAGCAAACCCTTCCGGGGAGTGGGCAGGCTCCACACTCCGTAATTATCCCTCTGCAGGCCGGAAGGCAATTCTCAGACATGAATCATGGGACGTTCTTTGCAATGGACAAAATGGTACTGTTCATTTTGTCTTTGGCCATCCAGTCGAAAACAATTTCTGATCTTATTTTTCAAGAAGCGAACAATTCTGAGCTTCCCTCAGTTTTCTAATCTTTAAGCTACCTGAAAGCGAGAGAAAGGAAGTCTAAAGCAGGGATGCCACGTATAGTGGTGCAGGTTGTCCACTGCACAAACGTACTGCGCTCTGAGTGCAGGCTGGGGCTGACAGCCAGCCCATCACCCACCAGAGAGGGGCACCTTCCGTAATTCACGCTTAGGCACCATGTGGGTTGGCACGGGCCCTATCTGCAAGTCTCACAAGTAGCAGAACGGAGATTCGGGGAGGTAGCTAAGAGGCTTGGACTGGGGTCTGTTCCATGCTGGCCGTCTGCATTAGCTTGAGCCGATGACGTAGCCATTCTGGGCGTGCATTTCCTTATCTTCCCGGGCAGAGAAGGAGGCTCTCGTCCCTGTCCTCCTGAGCTGGGGAAACCAGTGGAGCTTCCGCAGTGCCTGAACTGGGGTGCGGGCACACGGAGCCGACATGGCCCAGACGGAGCCTGTGGCTCCTTCCCAGGAGTCAGTGCGGCACTGGGAAGGGCCCAGCCCTACAGCTCCCAGGTGGACCTGCAGCACAGGGGCTCGGTGAGAGACGGCGCCTGCCCGGGGCCACACGGCTGGGGAGACACTGACCACACCGGGGCATGGGGGTCACGGCGAGAAGCTGCTCGGAGGGTGACAATGGCATCTTCACAGAGCTGCCGGGTGGATGGGAGAGATGGGCGGGGCCTCCAGCCTCTCTGTGGCCAAAGGCTATTCTGTCCCTTGGAGCGCAATGACCCGGCCTGCACCGCAGGTTCGGTGGTGTGGACGTGTGTGTGTGTGTGTGTGTGTGTGTGTGTCTGCCCCAGTGCGTGGTGGGATGTGTGCTCCTGCCCGCGTGGTGATCTGAGCAGGGAACAGCGCCCCCTTCTGGGCCTGCAGGACATTTCAGGGCTAAGCTCTGCAGAGGTTCCCAAGCTCTCGGCAGTGGACAGCAAGACAACCACAGGCCCCGGGAGTGGCCACTGTGGGACCAGGCCGAGCGGAGACAGAGGGGCCTCCAGCCAGGGCCGGTACAAGCCGGGCCCCTCCCTGGCCGGCACTCACCTCTCCACCCAGTTCTTGTAGCTGGGGATGTCCTTGGCGTAGAGCAGCTTGTTGGAGGGCGAGTCCTTGCCCAGCCGGTGCTCCGACGTGGAGCAGGAGTCCATGAAGGTCTGGGCCACCACCGACAGGCAGGCGTCCGTGATGCTGTTCTTGTGGATGTCGAACACGAACTGCGGGTTCTTGATCATGTTCACCCAGAAGCGCAGCGGCAGGCTGTGGGGAGGGGAGTGGTGGGTGTCGGGAGAGGCTGTGGCTTGTCTACCAGTGCTTTCTGGAGGAGGGGGAGGGCTCAGGAACGTGCGGTGCTTCCTCTGGACTGGAGAAGAGGTGGGCTTCAAAGTGGCCCTGTGGATGGTCTGAGCTGTAAACTATGCCTGGGGGGCCGGCGCCGTGGCGTAGTGGGCTAAGCCTCAGCCTTGGGTGCCGTCATCCCATACGGGCGCCGGTTCCAGTCCTGCTGCTCCACTTCCCATCCAGCTCTCTGCTGTGGCCCGGGAGGGCAGGGGAGAATGGCCCAAGTGCTTGGGTCCCTGCACCCACGTGGGAGACCTGGAGGAAGCTCCTGCCTCCTGGCTTTGGATCTGCTGCAGCCATTTGGGGAGTGAACCAGCAGATGGAAGACCTCTCTGTCTCTTCCTCTCTCTGTAACTCCACCTCTCAAATAAATAAATAATTTTTTTAAAAATGCATGTGTGTTCCTATGCCCTGAGAGGCCTGGAGGAAGGGGCGGAGGCTGGGTTGCAGCCAGGGAATCAGCAAAAACAAAGAGGAGAAAAAGCGGGCTGAGTCACTCGCTGGGTCCTGGAATCCGTGGCTAGGCACGGGGCGGGGGGGGGGGGGGGACCCCTGCTCACCTGCCTCCTCTGGCCCTGCCTCCCGCAGCCTGCTGAGTCAGCAGCGAGGAGAGGGGGGATGGAGGGGGAGGGCGCTGGGCGAGGGAGCACACTTTCCCTCCCCTGCTCCCCCCGCACCCCCACGTCCCCAGGTGTTTCACCGCTGTTTTTGTTGTTATAGTTACAACTGCTGGTGTGTGCTTGGCTTTGCCTCTTAGAACCTAAACCCTTTGGGCTGTGTTCCTTCCATAACGGTGCGTGCGATGTTTCTATAGGGGATGAAGCAGCCAGCGGCCAGCAGGTGCAATCGACACATGCTAGAGCGCTGGCGAGACCTGCCACTCAAGTGCACCGATCCATCAACACGTATTTACTGCGATCCTGACAACGCTTGTCGGCTTGTGCTTCAGCGCTGGAAATCGGGAATGGGGAATCACGGGGCCGAAGCCCGGGGTCCCCCCCGAGAGGTGGGAGTCTTGGCCGTGCCCATCCGCCCCGAGGGGAGAGCAGGACCCTCAGCCCGGGTGCCCTGCACCTGCCGGGCTCTCCAGAAGTGCTCCCTGGAACTGGGGCTGCAGGAGCCCACATGTCCTGCCCGGGCTGCTTACTCCCCCCCTTCTAAGCAGGTGGTGATGACAGGCACACATCAAACAGGGAAGCCACAGCACCCCTGGGCTCTTGCCTAATGAAATATTAACATATTATTAACATTAGTGGTGCCGCTCATCTCTGGTTGATTGCAGGCACTCAGGCTAAGTGAGCAGGAGGTTTATTTAAAAGAGAAAAGGTAGGGGGATGGGCGGAGGGTGAGTGACACCTTGGGCCCAGAATAAAGAATCCGTCATTTTCCAATCCATCCTTCCTTAAGCGCTGACTGCTTCTCTGGCAGGGCGGGAGGGGTCAGGTCAGGGGAGTGTCATTGGTGGGAGAACTTGAACTTGAATGCTTGCTGCTGTCCCTGTGCCGGGGTTTCCTTCACCTGGATCTGGACCTGGACTTTATGTGCTAACACTGGACGAACTGGAAAAACTGGCATAGAAGGTGGATCTGGGGTCGGTGCTGGCATCCCCTATGGCCTCCGGTTCGAGCCGTGGCTGCCCCACTTCCTGTCCAGCTCCCTGCTAATGCTCCCTCCTGCTAAGCCTTGGAGGGATGGCCTAGGACGGAGGACAGTGTGGGCAGGGACGTCTCATGTCCTGAAGGCTGTGGTGTTTAAGGGGGGGGGGCGCAGCTGGCCAGCCAGCGGACGGGCTGAGACGCCCAGGGGTTGAAACGCCGCCTCACCCGAGGGCGGACACAGGACTGCAGAGCGAGGACATGGGCCTCTCCCCGTGGGGCAGCCCTGGGCGAGCAGCCCCTCGTGCAGGCAGCTGGGGGACTCCACCGTGGGCAGCCTCGGCTCTCTAGCTCCACGGGACAAACCATGCGGCAGACGGGAAGCCGGGCTCGGGACACTGAATCAAGGGTTAGCGCCCCTGCCTGGCCTCCTCCTACTCTGCATTACCGCCTGGGGTCCAGGGCCGCTCGTCTGCATGCCCGGCTGTGCCCCGGACCTTACTGGTCTGTGCAGGGTCAGGTGCTGGGCAGCGGGAAAATGATCCGGGGAAGGGCGACCTGGGAGGGGGGCCACGTGAGCGGCCGCCCTGGAAGCAACAGGGACTACATATATAAACCAGCCCCGCTGCAGCCGGGCTGTCCCAACAGAGACTGCTTGGGGTCCCGAGGCCCGGCTCCGCGTGAGGTTCAGTCCCTGGTGCTGATGTCTGACCTCGCAGCGGGAGCTTGAGATGCAAACCACACATGGAGGAGAGGCGGGGGCGATGGATGTGGACAGGAGGGAGGCCCCGAGTGTGGCAGCTCGTGCCTGCTGTCTCCCAGGAACGCGGAGCAGCCGCAGGCAGGCCTCTTCCCCACCCAGAGCTGGGAAAGGGAGCTGTGTGGCAGGTGGACACGGCTGCTGCTCACCTGGGCGATTCCGAGGTGCGCTTCGAAACCTGAGTGTCAGGTGCGAGCCCTCTACCCCAGGTGCACATGGCAGCTTCCTCCGGAGCGCTTGTCTGTGCAGCCTGGCTGAGTCCCTGGCCTCCTACTCTGCTGGCTTGCAGAGGACAGGAGCCATATCCTACTAGCCTGTGATCCCCAGGCCTAGCCTAATGTCAGGCACCCAGGTGGCACCTGCATGGGAGAGTGGCCTGCTGGTGACATCGGCTCATTGTTGGTATTGTTGTTGCTCATTTAGCCAACTCAGTGTTTGTTGATGGACTGACAGATTGACTGATAGAAAGGTACCCAGACACATCTGACTCAGGGAAGTGAGAGAAGAAGGGAGCCCAAAAATAGAACAGAGGAGGTTGGCGAGGGCTGGAGAACGCACCTGCCGGTGCAGCTGGGCTCAGCTGGCCAACGCCTCCCTGGGGCCTGGAGGACTCCGGGCCGTGGCTGGGGCTGGGCGAGCACTCCCCTGCCTCTGCCGACGCCCCGCCTCCTGTCACTCACCAGTTGCTCTTCCAGGTGTGGCGGACGTGCGGGTCGTGAATGCCATGCTTGTCGGCCTGCTCGTCCAGGAAGTCGAACATGTACTTGATGGCCAGGGGCAGGGCGGAGCCCCGGTGCGCCGTGCTGAAGATGGTCTCAAACAGGTCGTCCACGAACTTCTGCAGCGTGCCCTGGGGAGGGACCCGCACAGCTCTGAGGACGGGCTCCGGGGGGGAGGGGCGCCCCGGGGTGACGGAGCCCACTTCCGCTGGGAGAGGGTGTGCACCCCTGAGGAGCAGCCACTATGTCCTAAGGCACGGAGGAAGGCGGGGAACGGGGCTGGCCAGCGAGCAGGCGCAGAGCAAGGATGCAGACAGCGTGGCCGGCAGGCCAGCACTGGCCTCTCTGGGTTTTGTCTGCAGCACTGGGTCAAGGAGGATTCTGAGGTCCAGTCCTGGGAGGGAGAGGCGGGCAATGGAGAGGCAGGAGCAAGCTAGATGGCTTTGGGGTGGGAGGCCCTGCCCCACACTCCACCCCATGCCCGCCCCTCCCTCCGGCCCCGGGCAGGGTACCTTGGTGGCCAGCAGCCGCGTCAGGTAGATCTCCGACACCATCTTGCTGCCCCGGTCGCCCTCCTTCTGGTCGCCGTGTTCGTGGTTCTTCACCAGGTGCCACAGCTTCACTCCGCTCTCCAGGTCGGGGGTGATCATCGGGGTTCGCGAGCGGAGGCTGTCGGGGCTGCCCGTGTACCGGATCATGTTCTCTGCCAACGCAAGGACGGCCCTGGCCTGAGGGACTGCAGCTGGGCTCGCCCTGCCCTGGCTGGCACAGGCAGCTTGCCTCCATCGGTACAACCCCTGAAACCAAGATGCCCTTCCCACCTCCTCCAGGAAGCCCTCTAGGGCTGATCCCACCCCCTCAGACTCCCTTCCCTTCTGTGCTTTGCAAGGCATCAGCCCCGAAGTGTTCACGCGGTAGAAACAGCAACTCACTCTTCCTTTGCGCTTGTTCAGGTGAGCGTCTCAAGTCGCGTGTCGGGGTACGCGCTGTGCCGCCAGCGCAGCACACGCGGGACCGGTGGCCGGTCCCCTTGGATTAAGTGGGCCCGTGGAGTAGGGACCGGGACCCTGCTCCCTCTCGCTGGGCCCAGATTCCCTGGTGTTGGCTGAGCCCCCTGCCTGTGTCTGTGAGGTGTGGCAGAGGAGGATGGGTCGGGCAAGGAGGATGCTGGTCCTACTGTGCGCTGGCACGCAGGCCTGGTCCTACTGTGCGTGCCTCGACTCCCGACCCAGGAGGATCCGGGCCTTCGCGGGATTTCTGATCTGTTTTGCTGGTGAGCGAACGGAAGCTCACCACGGTCAGGGGCCCGGCCTGGACGCGGCAGGTGGTGGCCGGACAGTGCTGCACGGGGTGCCAACCCCACCCCTCACCACCCCCGCCTCCCCTCGCCCCACAGTCGTGGCGTGACCTTTCCTAGTCTGTCAGCCTCTGCGCGTCTGAGTTTTAATTTCCTAATCTGCATAATAGCAGGAAATAATAATTACTTAATTCACTGGATTGTTCTGAACACGGCGCGAGATGATGAGCCCCGGGAAGGGACGTGCGTCTGGCGGGCTCTGAGACAGATACGGAGGGGGCACTTGGTGCCGCCGTTTCTGGAAGTAGGCCCCACCTGGGCATCACGGCTGCACACTGCAGCAGGGGCCCTCATGCCCGGATGCTCAGCCTGCCCGCCTCACCCCCTCTCCCCACCCCCAGCCCCAAGAGCCCCCGCCTCCCGGCTCTGCGGCTGCCCAGGACGCGGGAGGCACTCTTTACCGTATTTGCTCGCCGAGGTCCTGGAGACGGTGGAGTTGTTCACTGCGTTGTAGGCCGTCACCTGCTTGGACACTAGAGCCACCACCGACCCGTCCGGCACCTGCAGGGAAGAGGCACCTAAGGGCCGGGGCTGCAGACTTGGCCGCCCCAGCCGGCCAGGACGGATGGGGACCGACTTGGTCCTAAGGGGCGACGGGTGCCTTGCTGGAGAGACGGAAGACTGGGCGGAGCCGTGCCTGCCGGCGTCCCATCTCCAAAGGGGCAGAGTCTCTGGCGGGAGGACTCAGTGTCCCGAGCGGTTATAGGAGAAGGGAGGGCAGGTGAAGAGGGGCCTAGGGGCTTAGTGCGCAGCCTGGGATCGACACGGTCACCCAGGACCAGGACTCCCAGGGACACGGAGGCAGAGTCGGCTCCTCCCCATCCCACGACCACCTCACCTGGTAATGGGCCAGCGTGTTCAGTCTCTTCCAGTCATTCTCAATTTTGGTGGTGATGTCCTCATCCTGCAAGATCATCCTCGCCCCGCTTCCTTGTCGCCACTCTGCAGAGAGAGCAGTAGGGACTCAGGAAGACAGTGGAGATATCGGGGACCTGGTGCGGGGGCTGGTACCGCAGCAGCTCAAGGGCGCATGCGTGGAGCAAGGGCCGTGAGCCCGCTCTCTCCGGAGGATGGGGGCAAAGCGCTCGGTACGGAGAGGCCCTGAGTGTCCGTTCTCGTTCTGATTCCCAGAAATCGTGCGGCAAGAATGGGGACAGCATCCTCAGGCCTCCCTCTCCCAGCCCCTGGCTGCGAGCGGCACATCCGCAGAAGCAGGTAGTGCCAGCCGAAGGGGGAGGGGAGCCCCTGGCTGCCGTCACTGAGCCCTCAGAGGAGCGGGGAGGAAGGCGCACGGCGGCCTGGGTGTGGGAACCAGGCTGCAGGGGAGATGGGCAGGAACCCAGTGGGCTTAGAAGCTTGCCCAGGAAGCAGCCCAGCACTGCACAGCAAGGGCCTGCCCATATCCGGACAGCCTCGTGGGGGGTCCCAGCCTTCCCCCACCACCCAGCATACACCCAGGAGAATCTCCCTGGCCAGCCACTGGAGTGGGCTCTCCTGGGACTCCCGATCTGATAACATCAAGTCATAAACCTTGGAAGGAATTTCGTGAGTTTCACAGGCAGAAAGCCCTTCATCCAGCAACATCCGAGAAGAAGAGGGAGGGGTAGGGGGGTTAGAAACAGACCCCAAGCCCGTATAAGGCCCAGTCTGAAGGCAGCCCAGGCACTGTTAGTCTCTCCCCCCCGAGGAGTTGCCCTGCTGGGCTGTTGGATGTTCTACCTCATTCAACCTTTGCGACTTTGCGTACCACTGCTCCCCGCCTCCCTCGGAAACTCTTCTTACAGGCGACAGGGAGGGACCTGTGTCCCAGCCACCTGCGGCAACAAAGGCACTAAGCAAGTGCACGGACGGCTGTTGCTGCCGCGCGAGTGGCTGGCTCGGAGCTGATGAGACCTGGGCTGCAGGTCCGGTCGCTGCACCTATCCTAGGGCGTGTCCCTCTCCCGGAAGCTGATGGACGGGTCACTCTCGGGAGGGGGCTGGGCCCATTCTCCTGCCCGTGCCCACCGAGTTGGTGTGGACAAGGCTGACTTTGTAACTACCCAGCACCTGACGCTTTCGCCATTGTGGGTACAGACCCGCATCCCTCCCGTCTCCTGATGGGCTTGCTGATGGACCACAGAGGGGAACTGGAAGACTGTTTCTCATCAGCCAACCCCCCTCCACTGTACGTGACAGAAATCACGTGGGGTGGGAGAAGGGCACATTTCAATCTTGAAGTGCACACACATGGAACTCCATGTGCACCCCAGACACAGTCAGCTCCGGCATGTGGGTGTGCGCGCACCCCATTCTCACAAGCACACTCCAGAAAGGGAAAAACAGCCTCTTAAATTCAAACGCACCGTGGATCCCAGCCAGCAAGCCAGAGCTCTGGTTCCCGGGCAGCCAAGATTATGCACAGTGCCTCATAGATGCTGACACTTGGGCATCACCCACAGAGCGCTTGGGCTCGTTCCAGGGGAGGCTGGTGGCCTGGTAGTCCCCGGGGGTCTTTCCTACAGCCCAGAGATTCTCCACCTCATTGCCCTCCTGCCAAGTTGGGTCTGTGGGTCCCCAGCTGGCCCAGTCGGAGACAGAGCGCACCGATTCCTCTCTGCACTGTGCAGCTGGCGTGGCCCGTGCTGCTGCCCCCATTTCACAGATGGGGTAAAAGAGCCAGAAAGGGAGCAGCTCGCCCCGCGCAGAAGGGGATGCTCCCCAGACCCAAGTCCTGGCCTCCCGGTCCCTGGGCTTCTGTGCTGGCCCGCGGAGAGCTCAGGGCAGGGCCGGGGTCCAAGGAAGGCGACGCTGGAGCGCAGAAGTCACCTGTCACTTAGCAATCAAGGCCTCCGGAGAGCGGGCACAGGGAATGCCCCACTGTGCCAGGCGGTATCTGGTCACCAGTGTCTCCATTTGCCACTGTGTCTCCTGTGGGTTTCGCTTTGCTGTTTATCAATGGACGTACTTTTACGTGGCCAAGGCAAAGGAAGAGGAATATCTTGGAGCTGGCGGGCAGCTGATGGGCGGTGCCGTGGGGCTCTGGTGAGGACCAGGGTGGGCAGAGGTCTCCCCTGCTTGTGTGGTGAACAAGCTAGGAGGCTGCATGCGGTGGCGAAGGGAGAGGCATGGGGACAGCTTTGGGGGCACCCACTGGGGACAGCAGCATGCTGTGTGACCTCAGGCCACTGGTTCCCACAGGGTCTCCTCCACTGAGTGGCCACGGCTAGCCAGGCCCGGATGGAGAAGGCGCCAGCCCAGGACCAACTGTCCCCTGGCTGCTGAAGTCACAGCACACCTCAGTGGGATCTGCGCTGGACCCCAGTGCGGGCTCTCCCTGGGGCCCTGTCTGCCTCGGCTTGTGCAGTGCGCGGCCTTTACAGTCGTCCCCGGCAGCCCGGGCTCTGAGTCCGGTCCAGCAGTTACGTAAGTAAATGAGCGTCCATCTGCCTGCATGCCCCATCTGGAAAAGTGGAGCAGGGCAGCCAAAGGATGATGGGGCGTCCTTAGAGTAGGCAAAACGGTGCCGCAGCAGGGACGCGGTGAGCACCTCATGCATATTTATGAGGGCAACCGATGGCCAAGTGAACGGACGAATGAGCGCAGAACATCCGGTGAGCGATGCGCCGGGGTCCATTTTCCAGGTAGTCCAAAGAGGGACTTGGGCTTGTGCGTCTGGGCTCCGAGGGGGAGGGGAGCTGCAAGGTGCTCGGCCAGCAACCCGGGACGGGAACAAGACAGGCTCGGCCCCCTCCCCTGCTAGAAGCAAGAGCTCCCGGGCACCCCTGACCCGGGTTCAGTTCTGGGACAGGAAATGAACGAGGCAGGTTGAAGACGGACGAGAGGCCACCATCTCCAACCCTTGCTGCCTCGTTCAGCGGCTCAGCTCTCTCCCCAGGGGCAGGCAGACGCGGGCACAGCTCAGGCCTGGCCACATGGCGCCTGCCACCCGAGGGTGAACCACGCACTGGGGACCATGGGGGAGGACAGCAATGGCTGGACTTGAACTCTTGAATTGTGGCTGCCACTCGCCTACACAACTGGAACTCGAGACATCCGAGCAGGCCACTGGCAGCTTCTCTTGGGCCATGAGGTTTTTTCTTTCCACAAAATCCAGCTGTGCCGATGGGACGGCCACACGCTTTCCCTACTGGCTGAGAGACTACGGGCAAGGGTGCCGTGCAGAGGGCGGCAAGACACAGCCGCACGCAGGCAGGAAACACACGTGTCATTGATGCCAACGCTTGGGCACGGGTTCAAGAACAGCAAGAATTGTTCTCCTGGGGACCCCAGCCCTGGATCCCTGCGGCCCAGCCCCTGCCTGTGAGCGCATGCCGGTAGGCGGCTGGCAGGGAGCAGCTGTTGTCCTTTTGGTAGGCATCTCAAGAAGTTAGGAACGACCTCCAGCCCCAGTATGAGGATGGCGAGCCGGAACCCAGTGGAACATTTAGCCTTGCTTTTGGAGCCCCGAGCCTGATACTTTTGCTACCCTCTTCTGCAGAAAAATTGCTATATGTGCTACCCTTTTTCTGAAACAACAGGAAGAAAGAAAAAAAAAAACACAAAATGGTGAAGTTCTGTGCCCTCCCCAACCCAGTCCTGTTGAAAGGCAAGCCCAAGGGCTGGGCGGCTGGGGCTGGCTGCTCCGTCCCTGGGACCCACAGCGTCCCCCACCTCTGAGGCAGGAGGCAGTGGTGCGCACAGCTGGAAGCCAGGGCCACCTCTCTGTGCAGAATGGCTTCAGCAGCGCCTCGCACTCACTCCTCTCTGCCCAGGTCCTTAGTTTGGCCCTGTTGGCCGGGACACACGTCCACCTGCATGTGGCCTGAGTTTCTTTCCTTCCTGAAACTCCTCCCCCAGGCCGGCTCTTTCCCCAGTCGGGGTCACGGACTCAGCTCTCTGGAGTGCTCCTAAGCTGCCTCATGGGCCGTTGAGCCATTGGAAGCCAGATACCGGCACAGGCCAAGGTCAGATGTCCAAGCAGGCGGCTCTTCTCTGTCCCAGGAGCAGGGCACTCCCCTGGGTGACACGGCTGGGTTCCTGCAGTCTCCTCAGCACCAGGAGTGAGGGTGGGAGTGTACGGGTGCTGCCGAGGGTGAGGCTGGCCTGTCTCCTTGGGGCCGGAAGACTGCGCCAGCTCCCTTGGCAGCAGACACGGCTGCTCGAGTCTGCGTCCCTCCGGAGGCCCTGAGTGAGGGCCCTGTCTAAGTTTGTGCCCCATCGCATGTTCAGCATATGCTGAGGTTTAACAGTCACGAAAGGAAACAGGGCTCCTCATCCCTCTCCAGCGTTCTTTCCGACAAAGAGGCCCCTCGGCTAAGGGGCGTGGAGCACCTCTCTGTGTGTCCACACTCTGCTTTCTACGAGGTGGCCATGTCGGCACGGCTGGTGGTGGGGGCAACGCGACAGCCTGGCCATGGATGGCCAGCATCCTCTGGGTGACAGTCAAGCCTCCTGGCCAGTGCACACCTGCCCTTGGGACATCACGGGACACTAGGAAATACCTCCCAGGCATCGTAAGCTGTGAGACATTGAGTTGGGGATGGCGGAAATGGTCACCAGGACAGAGTGACCCCTCACAGATGCCTCCTCCAGTCAAGGACACCCACGGTCCCATCTGAGAAGCCGAGTTTCCAGTGGTTACCATGACCACTACCATGTCCTTTCTCACTCACTCATCCAGCCCCACCGCAGTGAGCCAGGCTCAGCACCAAGAGGATACGGAGGCAGAGGCAGCAGTGGAAACAGAGTGGACAAAGGCTGTCCACTGCATGGGGGCCGGCGCTGTGGCATAGCTGGTAAAGCCACTGCCTGCAGTGCTGGCATCTCATATGGGCACCAGCTCCTCTTCTGATCCAGCTCTCTGCTATGGCCTGGGAAAGCAGTAGAAGACGGCCCAAGTCCTGGGGCCCCTGCACCCATGTGGGAGACCTGGAAGAAGCTCCTGGCTCCTGGCTTTGGGTCAGCACAGCTCTGGTCATTGCAGCCAATTGGGGAGTGAACCAGTGGATGGAAGACCTCTCTCTCTGCAAATCTTTCAAATAAATAAATAAATCTTTAAAAACAAACAAAAAGAGCCACTGCACGGAGAAGCCCTGAGCAGGGTGTGCGGGGAGCTGGGCAGGGCACGGCTGCCTGGGCTGAACCCTGAAGGTCAATCGGGCACTTGAATTTTGAGGGATCCGGGTGAGAGCTTGTGGGAGACAGGTGGAAGGAAAGGCTGCAGAGGAGCTTTGAGGTTGGGGACTGAGCGCAGAAAGAGGCAGCTGGAGACAGTGGGGACAAGGTGAGGAAGGTCAGGGAGACACAGGCCAAAGCCACGAGGGCCCCGCTCAAGCAGAAGGGGCGCAGGGGTGTGGGTCAGAGGGGCATTCAGGAGTCGGACCTGTGGTGCCTGGAGGAAGGGCAGGGAGGAGCAGAGGTCCTCAGGTGTGTAAGGAGGGGCGGGGTGGTGGGGGGCGCACCTGCAGGCCAGCCTGGACGGAGCTGCTGGCTCCAATGACACTGCTGGCCCGGCTCCGGGGGGACCAGTGCCCACTAGTAAGTGCCACACTGACCTCGCTGTTAGGACCCTCACAGTGTACACGTGCAGTGGGCATATGGGCAACCCACTCCCACATGCATCTCATTCTACCCTAGGCCAGGGCACCCCAGGCTGTGCAGCCATCCCCAGCCCGTAAGTCTTCCTGTTGCTCTCTGGCCTCAGACCCTGCACAGGGGGCTGCAGGGAGAGCCAAGGCTGAGAGGCAGCATAGAAGAGCCCAAGGCGGCAGGGTCGATCTCCAGGCGCTGGGCAGGAAGGACCTCACAGCCAGGAGCCAGGCCACCGTCCCTCCCCACGCGGCCCTGTGGGCAGGTTCCCCCGGGAGCACACACCCTCCCGGCACGGGGCCCACTCCACTTCCAAACACTGGGCTGTGGGAGGAGCCGTGAGCCTATGTTTCATGCACCTGTTGGCAGGTGAACCCTGGTAGACACCTGAGACCCTCACCATCTAGCCACTCTGAGTGTCACATGCGGGGAGCAGAGAAGAGCTGGTGGACGCCATGAGAGAGGATCGGAACATGGCTGTGCAAAGGGTCAGAGCCTTCACCTGGGAGCCGAGACAGGCCCATCAAAAATGTCACGGCAAAAAAAAAAAAAAAGTATTTTTGGAGCAGGCATTGTGGAGTAGTGGGTACAAACTGACTCCGGCAATGCTGGCATCCCATATGGGCACTGGATCATGTCCCGGCTGCTCCACTTCCAATCCAGCTCCCTGCTAATGCACCTGGGAAAGCAGCAGCAGATGTCCCAACTGCTCGGGCCCCTGCACCACGTGGGAGAGGCAGATGGACTTCCTGGCTCCTGGCTTCAGCCTGGCCCAGTCCCAGCAGTTGTGGCCGTTTGGGGAGTGAACCAGTGCATAGGAGATCCATCTCTCTCTCTCCTCTCACCTCCCCTCTCTCTTTCTCATCTCTCTCTCTGTAAACACCTTTTAAATGAATAATCCTCTTTAAATAAAAAAAATGCGAAGTCGTTGAACTCTGACACTCGGAGCTTAGGAGAAGAAATTCTCAACAGAAGCGCTGCCTGTGCGTTTAAGGCCAAGTCCTTGTCCACGGCTTTTGCACCAGCTGCCGTCTGGGGGTATCTGCAGAAGCGGTGGCCAGCCTGATGTAAGGAGCTGAGCTGGAGCTTAATGGATATTCTTGAATATGGAACACGGGGCTCCGGCGTGTTGCCGTGTTGCTCGGGGCTGTGTACGCTGGGCTGCAGGAGAGTTTAAAAGGCAGGTGGCGGCAGCAGGGAGGAGGGAAGGTGACCCTGGCATTCAGATGCATGGCACCCAGAGAAAATTGCTAGTGCTGACCTCTCCCAGCAGCTCCTGTCCGGCAGCCCCGTGCCCTGCTCCAGGCACCAAGCACAAAGGACAGACACACTCACAATCCAATTTGTTACACTTCCACCTTGCAGGGAGAGAGGGAGGTGAAATAAAAAAGAAAAAAAAAATCCCATTATCTTTATCTGTCTTTCCCATCAGGTGCAGCGGAAAATGCAAACTGGGGAGACAGCTGCTGTGAACTCTTTATATTTCACTCAGAAGATAGTGTATCTTTTTATTGCATACAGGAATTACTTATTTGAAAAAAAATATATCCTTTCAGCAGGACTTGAGCCGCAAGACAGAGGGGGGGTGGTGGAGTTCCGGGGGCTATTGATAGAGCATTTGCATTAAACCAGAGGAATCGCTGGAGGTCACGGCCAGCGGCCAGCGTGGAGGAGGAGGAGGGAGAGGGCTGTGCAGGAACCTGTGTCTCTCCACTTCCCTGCTGTGTGACCCTGGCCCAGGCACTGCGCCTCTGCCAGCTGCAGGTGCTCCATCTCCGCAGGGCCACAGTGCAGCACCAACTATTTCCTCCCAGGAGCAAAGGGAGGTGACATGGAGAGACCCTTAGCTCCGACAGGAGACTATCACACCTCTGCTAGGTTGCTAAAAACATTAAATAAATAAGGAACATTTGCTGGCACCACCATGGCTGGCGCGGAGCTGGCCAGCAGGTAAGTTCTCTTAGGATATATGTGTGGATGCAAGTACTTACCCTGTCCCATACCCGTGCATGGACCGGGACGTGAAGCAGGGGGTGGGCTCGGACACAGCGGGGGTTGGGCAGCTCCCACCTGCACCGCACTCTGGAAACCCAGCACTATCCCAAGCCCCACGCCTGCGATCCTGTCTCTCCCTAGACCTCCACAGACCTTCCTGGAGGCCCAAGGACAATGCCCACAGACATGCACTCCATGGCCAATGCTGGGACACACACACGTGGACTCACAACCTCACATTTGTCTCCCCTGGGTTCTAGGCACAGCACACTCTCCGCCACCTCCAAGCAGAGGGGAGCAGGCGCTCTCCCCCGATCTCTCACCAAACCTATCCTGCCCACAGGCGTGCAAGAGGACACAGGGGTAAGAGAGGAAGTGAGGGTTCTGGGGTGCGCAGACTTCCCAATCCCTCAAGTCTTTGGGCATCAGAAGCTGGGGGTAGACGGGGCAAGGTGGTGGAAGGGAGGGACATTCCCTCCGGATTTCAGAAAACAGCACAGATGCCCATCTGTCTTGGATGGCTTAGCTGAAGGCAGCTTCGAGGCCAGATGGAGGGATTAGGGGCCCCTGGAGGGTCCTCCCTCCCTGTGTTGGTAGGGACCCCAGACACAGCACGCGCCTCACCCCCCCAGCCCAGCCTCAGTGGACAGCTCCCACCGTGTCCTTCCCAGAGTCGCCCTCCTAAGCAGCCACGGGAGCAGCCGGTGCCGAGTGCGCGTGCTGAGCCCGGCAAGGCCTGGCAGAGGCATCATCCCACGGAATTCCTGCTGTGAGCCTGGCACTCTCGTATTCTCCACTTCATAGGCAGGGAAACAGAAGCCCAGAAAGCTTAAACTTGACCGAAGGACCATCAGCACCAGGACTCACAGCCTGGGGTGTCAGACGCTGCCCCGCCTGCCAGTCCCTCTCGAGGACGCCCTCTGAATTGCCCAGGGAACCCCCCACTGGATCCAAGTGCAGCTGGCCCTAAGCGGCATGCCCTTGTCTATGTAGGCTGGGAGATCTATTCATGGAACACTCAAATACAGCGTCACCCTGTGCCCCAGCAGCCTGTCATATCTCATTTTGCTCTATGCATTCCTGCACCCTCTATCGCTGACCCAGATCCTCCAGTCGTATTCAGCAAAAATTACAGGCACAGAACATGGGGGGCGGGCGACAAAGGCGGTGGCCAGCGTCCAGCCTAGCAGATTTCGCCACAAACTCTTCCCTGCCATCTTGTGCCCTCCTCTCCTCATCACCGCCATCCGACCTGCCAGGCTGGATGGTCAACCAGTGGCTCACTGGTCAGCCCTGCCTGACGCCCAGCAGGCCATGGAGGCCAACCCCAGCCAGGGGCCCTGCCCCTCTGCTCCCTGCACCCCAGCTCTGCCTCTTGCCGCAGGAGAAGGCAGGAGGCGCACGGGGCTGGCCCCTGCTTGGGCTGCTGACTCACCCAGGTCCATATCCGCAGCCTTGGGCCGGTGGGAGCAGGGCACGTTCTTGAAGATGGCGTCCAGAATCTTCTCCTTGACCTGAGTGATGGTGTCACAGTTGAGGATCTTCACCGGGACCTCGGGGCTGTTGGCATTGTCTGGGCTGACACAGCTCAGGACCTGAGAGGGGGAGAGGGGCGTGTGGGTAAGCGCAGCCCCCTGGACCCTGCTGAGACCCCCCCTCCCCCGATGCAGCCTGGGGTCCTGTCTTGAGTGGCACCTCTTCTCCAAAAGGGACTGTGTTCCCACTAAGCCCGCTGTCCTTGCAGGTCCATTCAAGGAAGGAGAATCTGTGGCTTTCACGTCATCATGCTCATGGGAGTCACCTGGGTTTGCCAAAGGGCTGCTGCCCAAGCGCAGGGAAGCAGCGAGGTTGCCATCTGCACAGGCATGCGTCGGCTGTATGCACACACGCACACAGCACGCACGGGCACCGAGGACACCCTGTCCCTGAGTGTCAGTCTGTCTCTTCCTGTCACTCTGTCCCAGACACACATGCCAGCTCAGAGCCCACGGGAGGCTGGCTCCTCTCTCAAAAGATTTCCTAAGCTTCGGTTTTTATGAGGCTGGTTGGAGGCTGGAGAATCTATAAGAAGCTGAAGGTGTTCCTTAAAAATAAAAAGGTGCCCTTTAAAAGCCTGCAGACCCAGGCCACCTGGGATTCCTCCCTGGCTCTGAAGCTGAAACCCTGCACCAGCAGAGGAGGCTGTGGCCCGGAGCCCAGCCCCCATTTCTCGTTTCGGAACCAGCCAGAAAAGCTGCGACTGCGTCACCGCATCTGGGCTCTCCTCCTCTCGCTGTTCTCCTAGTGGGCTCTCCCTGCCCTGGAGGCACCGTGTGGCCCCCCGGGGTCGGGGTTGGGGTCGTGAGGGAGGAAGGCCCCGCTTCCCGGCATGTTTACTCCCCCCCTCCCCAGCCATTTCCCACTGGCCCATCTGGTTTGCAGAACCAGACAACAGAGCCCCTGCCCCACTCCATGTGGTGGCCCTGGACTCCTGCCTTTCATTAGCAACTTGACTGCTACACACGCCAATGAAACATGTTTATTCCATTAAGAAGAAAAAAAATCCCCGGAATCTGTAAAACCCACTCTCCCCCTCGAAATGTACTAAATGGAAAGTGGTGGTGGGAGGGCCCCTGGACCCCAGACCCAGGTGTGTCTTCCCGAGCTGCTCTCCTCCTCCTAAGAGCCTCCCAGCACCCGCCTTCCTCACCTCCTACTGCCCAGGCTCTCCCTGGCAGAAAGCCCCGAGAGACCAGGAGGCAGAGGCTGCCACCGGAGCCCGATCTCCCGGTGTCGTGACTTCCCTGGGGTCAGCGTGGCTGTCCAGAGAGGGGGCAGAGCTCCCCCAAGTCATGGCCACACCACCACTCCACCCAGAAGTCCCCTTGCTGCCACGTTCCCTGCCTGGTTTCTGAACCAACTGCTGTGCTGGGGGAGGGACTCTGAAACTTCTAAAGTGAACAGGCTCAGTTGGGGGTTCTGACCCAGGTCGTGTGGAGGGTGGCCCAAGATTTCTGCAATCCAGCAGGCTCCCACGCAGGCATCTGGCACTGTATCAGCCCTCTAGGTGGGCATGGCAGTGGGCTCCCAGGTGGGCGTCTATACTGCGGCAGCCTCCCGGATGGGCGTCTACACTGCGGCAGCCTCCCTGCTGATGGACCCTGGGCCGTGCTCTGTCCAAGTTTCAGCACCAATCCAGTGAGTCCGTCAACACTTGGGAGGTATTGCTGATTATAAAGACCTTCTGTCTGAGCCCCTCAAAGCCTCTGCGATTATCCCTGCTTCCAAGCCCGGCCTGAAGCATTGGGGGGGGGGGCTGCTGCAGCCCCTGCTGAACCCCCGACATCCCCTCTTCCTTTCTGGCCCTCTACCCTGGAGGGGTGCACCTTCTCTGCTGGGAGGCAGCACACCGTCTCCCTCCCCTCCTGGTCACTGCTCAGGCACGCGCAAGCGGCCTCTCCAGGGCCTGGAGGTAGCTAGACTTACTATCTCCCTGCAGCCGTTTCTTCCCTAGGCAGAACCATCCCAAAGCTGTCCCCTTCCCCCGTGACACCCCCTCCACGGAGGCGGCCATTGCCTCACATTCTCTGTAAGCGAAGTTGGTGAAGCCAGCTCCCCTGCCAACAGGGAAGACAGGAAGACAGGCTGCTGCAGTTTGGGGAGGGAGCATGACACCGACTCATTGTTGCATCCAGCACGTCGTCGGGAAGGACCGGGAGTGGACGAGTGGACGGGCGGGAGGCATGGAGGCATGGAGAGGACGGCTCTCCTGCTAGCGGTCTGGGCAGGGCTCTGTTTTCGGAAGGGTTTCCCACTCTGAGGGAGCCGACGGGAACTGCGAGGAGCTGGGGCCTCCTCCACAGACTGCTGCTGCTGAGTGCTCGCCAAGGAGCCCGTCCTGGAGAATCTGCTCCGTCTACCGGGATTCCCCGTGCTCGCTCGCTCGCTCTCTCGGGAGATGGAAGTGGGGCAGGGCGGCGTCCTAGTGCGCAGCCGCCACAGCCAGGAGGGACAGCTCTGTGGGGAGGGGGGGCTGTCTCCCCAGCTGCCCGCGGGGTCTGGGGCACTTGCGGGAAGGGGGGGCTGTCTAGGAACCCCCCGCAGCCTGCTGCTCGGCTGCATTCCCTGGCTGTCTCCTTTGCACACACACATCACGCCCAACACGCGGTTTTTCTCTGAGCTTCTCACTGCCTCCCTTCCACTTCCTTCCCCCTCTCTTGGAGCCTGGGAAGAGATCATAACGCGTTCCAAAGCTGCCTGAGAGTGGGCTCCCCGTGTGTGAGAGACAGCAGAGGGCCAGCAGACGGATGGGCAGCCACAGTGGGACCCGACGTGAGCATGCAAGAGGGAGCGCTTGCACCGGGCCCTGTCTCTGCATCTTGTCCCGTTCATCCCTGCGCGCAGCTACACTGCAGGCAGTCCCTGTTACCCCATTTTAGTGGCCTCTGTTGTCGCTCAGCTTCTTCACATAAAGAAACTCAAACTTACAGAAGTTAGAGACCCGCCCCACATGGCCCAGCTGGTCGGCAGGGCACTGGGCTTCCAACCCAAGGCTGTCTGATTCCAGAGCTGTGCCCCTAAATGCTGAGTTCTGCTGCTTCCTAGGGCAATTGTTTCTATCAGTCTGACCTTGGCAGAGGTCATCCCCATGTTCCTTGGACACAGGCCCCATCCCAGGAGACCATCTTAGCCTTCTCCATACAGCTCGGATCACTGTCACAGTTGAACTTGAACCAGTGGGCAAATGTATGCTTCAGAAGCGCAAGGGGGGCTGGCGCTGTGGTGCAGCGGGTTAACGAGCTGGCATCCCACATGGGCGCCGGTTCGACATTCGGCTGCTCCACTTCCGATCCAGCTCTCTGCTACGGCCTGGGAAAGCAGTAGAAGAGGACAAAGTCCTTGGGCCCCTGCACCCTCATGGGAGACCTGGAGGAAGCTCCTGGCTCCTGGCTTTGGGTCAGCACAGCTCTGGTCATTGCAGCCAATTGGGAAGTGAACCAGCGGATGGAAGACCTCTCTCTCTCTCTCTCTCTGTGTAACTCTGACTTTTAAATAAATAATAAATAAGTCTTAAAAAAAAAAAAGCAGCACAAGGAACACTTTGTACTTTCCCGCCCACCACCGCCTGCCTGCACAGAACCGTCTGGAAAATGTCCACTTTCCGCCGGCAGGATTCAGACAAGGACGGCGCCTGGGCCCGACAGCCGCTGCCGGCAGGTGCTACCCCTCACGACTCAGGCCCTGCCGGGGCCCACACTGGCGCACTGGCTGAAGTGCTGCTTGGAGCCGCGCCCCCTCTGGTCCCTCCGCGGGGCAGGGCTGCCCAGGCCAGGGGCAGAGAGGCTGCCTTACCAGGGTCTTGTAGTCAATCTGCTGGCGGATGAGCTTGTCCTCGCTCAGGGAGTAGCGCGCCTCGCCCGTGATGGCGTCGATGGGGCCTTTCTCCATCTGCTGCTTGATGGCACAGAAGAGGGAGAACAGGGGCTCCCCGGCACACTCCTGGATGCGGGGAGAGACTGCGCTGGCAGGGCTGCGGGGCACAGGCGTGCAGAGCCCGCCCCAGGTCTCCAGACGGCCCCTTCTCCTCCTCCCTCCACGTTCCTGCTCCGACTTCTCAGCTCCCTGCCTCCTGTCCTCTGCCTCCTCCTTGAGCCCCAGGGTCTCCCCCTGCCCTGCCCCTACCTACCGCTTTCCAGAGTGGGCTCTGCTCCCTGCCTGTCTCCACTGCCCTCTCTGCTCCCGGCCCGGCTCCCGAGGCCCCATCAAGAGGCAGGGGTTAGTCCCAGGTGGCCCAAGCTCCTTAGAAAACAACTTAATAACGGGCAGCTGGGCAGCCCTTCCACCTCCCAGGCGCCTGGGGGGCTTATCTGCCAAGGACGCTTATCAGCCGTGGGCAGGTGGGTGAGGATCAGGAATTTAGTGTTAGGGGACCCCAGGGCTCCCCCTGAGGCTCAGCTGGGGGGCAACGTGGGAGGACTGTGTCTCTGCAGCTCTGTCTTCTGGGACCTCCTGTGGGACCACAGGAGCTGGGCCCGATGGGGACGCCCAGGGGCTGTGCAGTGACCCAGGCGCCCAGGGGCTGTGCAGGGACCCAGGGCCGGCCCAGGCAGGCGGGACAGCGGAGGCAGGGCTGGAGGCACGGCCACCGCTCAGTCCTACCTTGAGGAACTTGTAGAGGAGGAAGGTAAACCAGTTGGTCAGCATCTTCTCGGCCACAGACTCTGTCCTGTGCAGCAAGACAGAGAAAGACGCGCTGGGTTAGACCCGCCGGCTGGGCAGAGTCCCGCATGCCTCTTGCTGCTTACAGCTTTCAGGCCAAACCTCGAGATCTTAACAAATATGAGACTCTCATGGGGCCTGGTGCTGTGGCGCAGCAGGTTAAACTGCCCCATGCGACGCCGGCATCCCGTAGAAGCACAGGCGTGAGTCCTGGGCTGCGCCACTCCCCATCCGCTCCCTGCTAATGTGCTTGGGAAGGCAGCAGAAGATGGCCCAAGTGCTTGGGACCCTGCACCCACAGGGGAGACCCGGGTGAAGTTTCTGTCTCCTGGCTTTGGCCTGGCCCAGCCCTGGGCATGGTGGCCGTCTGCGGAGTGAAGCAGCGGATGGACGACCTCTCTCTTTGTTGTTTCTGTCTCTCTGTAACTCTTTCAAATAAATAAACCCCATCCAGGGTCTCCTATACTCCCCTCCCCCTGAGCAATCCTTTAGGAAAGAAGGAAACACCTGGGGAGACCCTAATTCGGCAGGAAACAGGAGGACACGTGGCAGGAGGAAAGGGGCACAGTTCACAAGCCAGACAGGCTAGGCTGGGCCCGCGACCCGGTGCTGGCACAAGACTCAGCCCCAGAGACGGCAACACTGTCCTATTTCTAGGGGCGGGCAACTGGTCTCCCAGTTAAGCTGCTGCTTGGGATGCCCACAGCCCAGATCAGAGCACCGGGGCTTGAGTGCCAGCTCTGCCCCCCATTCCAGCCTCCTGCTAATGTGGACCCTGGGAGGCAGCAGGTGATGGCTCACGTAGTTGGGTCCCTGCCGCCCACACAGGAGACCCGGATTGAGTTCCTGGTCAGTCCCTAGGTTCCACCCGAGCAGTACTGGTCACTGCAGGCCATTTGGGAAGTAAAACAAAAACAAAAACAAAAAAACAAATGGGAGTTCTGTGTCTGACTCTGTCTCTTTGCCCTTCAAATAAAATTTTTAAACTTTTAAAATTTTGTAAAAATTATACTATTTCACATATCCTGGGACTTCCCCCTGGAAATGCTTCTAATGTAAACGGGAAGTTCCTTCTTGAGTCTAACTTGTATCTCTCATGCTGGGTAGCTGCCCGGCACAAAATGAGCCAGAAAGAGAAAAGGAGGGAGCACCGGGGCAGGAGGGGCCCGCCACGGGCAAGAGGAGGAGGAGGTGGAGGAGGGAGGAGGAGGCAGAGCATGGGGAGGGCGGGCGCGAGGGGGAAGCAAGAGGAGGCCCTGGCCCGGAGCAGGGCCACGCCGGGAGCCGGCAGGGGTGCCGGCAGGCTGCGGCAACCCTAGCATTATGCCGGTGGGTGGCTGCGTGGTGGAAGTAAAACAGAAATCAAATGATCCACCTCGCTGTTCCTGAGGCCGTGCGATGGCTCCTGCTGGCAGCCACCTTGTGCAGCTGTGCAGGCGAATGCCCACTGCCCCGGACAGAGCCTGAGGTGAACGCTCCGGGAAGGGAAGCCCAGCCGGCGGGAGCCCCGGGATGGAGGTGAGGGCACGGGGTGGTGGGCGGGCCCGGCCACTTGTGTGGGAGTACTCCAGCCTCACCGGGCAGGGCTGAAGACGCTGGCATAACAGCCTGCAGGACAAACAGTGGCCAGCAAAGAGCAGGGAGACAAAGGCTCCCCCCAGGGCTTCAGGAACTTCCTGGAATTAAGACAATGCCCGTTTTCTGTGGGCGCTCTGAGCCCCTCTTGTGTTTCCTGTAAGGCCAAGGCCACAGGTTATAGCTGCCTGTCACAAATGTTTTTTGCTTTCCGCAGCGGGGGGATTAAGGTTATTTTTTATTTTTTTTAGTTTTAGGAGGCTCAGGAGGGGGAGGTTTATCAGAGGGTGAAGGTTTAGGAGAAGAACTTTTTAAAGCAGATTATTCCTTAAAGTCTATTTTTTTTTTTTACAAGTAGAAGGGGGAAGGAGGGGGAGGAGGGGGAGGGGGAAGAGGGGGAGGGGGAGGAGGAGGAAGAGGCAGGAGGAAGTACCCAGCAGTCTCCTGTGCTGAGCCCTGGACCTGTTTGGAGCCTGCAGCAGGAGGCAGAAATACCTGCAGGGCTGCGCTGGCTAAGTTCTCACTAACGGGCTTGCATCCGGGGCTTCGCAAACTCGAATGTGCATTCGGGTCACCCTGGTTCAGCCGGCCTGTATTTCTAACAGGCTCCCCGGTGCACAGACAGCACAAGGCCGCGGGACCTGGCTCCTGAGTCCAGTTCTGACTCGGACAAGGCCAGCGATGGCCTCTAGAGAGCCCATGAGAGAAGCATTCCAGTAGCAACGGTCAAGGTCAAGAAAGCAGAGGGCAGACGGAGAGGGGGCGGGGCGGGGCCACCGACCTGCGCAGCAGCAGCTTGGGGTGGTTCTTGCTCTCCAGGTTCTTGTCGATGAGGTCGGCCAGCAGCTGCTTGAGCACGTCGGTGGCGTACTCCAGCTTGCTCTGCAGCACGGTCATGATGAGCGAGGCCACGTTGCCGCGGTCGCGCATGGAGAAGCTGCGCTGGGCCTCCAGCGTGCGGATGAAAGACAGCAGGAAGACCTTGCTGTTGATGAGCTGTGCGAAGAGCTTCAGGCCTTTCTCCACGCGCTCCTGCCGGTAGCCCGGTACCTGCGGGGGAGACGGGGGTCCTGCCGCATCCACTGGGCACCCCAGGGACCTCCAGGCGGGATGGGCTGGGCTGGCTCCCGCAACGCTCCTCCCACTCTGCCTCTCACCTGCTGCACCTGCCACAGCCTACCTGGCTGAGACCAGCCCTCATCAAGGCCACTGCCGTGCCAAGCACCCACTTCGTCTCCACGGAGCCCTAGGGACACGGCACCGCCTCTGCCTTGGAGAAGAACCAGCCGAGGCAGGGAGAGAATGCCACACCAAGAGTCAATGGCCACGCTGGGATTGAACTCACTTCTGCCAGGCTCTGTGGCCTCAGCTCTTCCCTGGTGATGATGCAGAGTTGATGGGGACTCCAGGTCTGGCAAGCCCACCCTCACAGCCCACCCCATGGGGGCCCCTGGGAGGTTGGGGTGCTGTGTGTGCACCCTGGCTGAGGAACAGTCAGGCCTGAGCCTCCAGCTAGCCCAGTGCCCACTGTGGGTCCTGTCAGGATCGGAGGGCTGCACGTGGGCTCTGACATCACCGTGCTGGGCCTGGGCGAGTCCCTTTCTTTTTCGGGGTGGGGTGGGGCTCCCAGGACCTGAGAAAGGGGAGAGCGGGTCCCAGAGGGGTCCAGCAAACTCCCTAACTCTAGAACCCTCTTTGAGAGCCTGCTCCCGCCAGGGATAAGGTGGGAAGATGGCTTGATCTTCCTGCTCCATGGTCTGATGGGAGAGCCTCACAGGGCGGGGCCAAGAGTCGGCCTTGGAGCTGGACACACGGGCTGACCCTCTGACAGCGGCGGCAGTACACAAGGCAGCATGGGTCACGGTGGCCCACCCTGGCGAGCCCCAGCTGCCCAGCCAGTGGGTTGAAGGGCTGTGGGACATCCCACCCAATGGGAGACCGCACAGGAACAAGAAGGAATGATCCTCGAATCTTGCAAACGCAGTGAATGAAGAAAGTGACATTAAAGGGGCAGTCTCTATAGAACGCCTTTTAAATAAAATTTCAAAAATGGGTGAGGGGTGGGTGTCGGGACCCCGTGGCTGAGACATGGGTGGGGACATCTACATCCTATGTCAGTGCTTGGGCTTGAATCCCGGCTCTGCTCCTAACTCCCAGTTCCTGCTAAGGAGCACCCCAGGAGGCGGTGCTTGGTCAAGCAGCTGGGTCCCTGCCACCCAGTGTGGAGCTCCCAGCCCCGGCACTCAGAGAGTGAACCAGCAGGCGGCCGCTGTCTGTCCCTCAAACATAAAGGCAGACAAAGCAGTCAGTGTGCTAGAAAGGGGGCGACTGTGGAGCGGCTGTGGCTGGCGGAGGGCGCACGGGGAGCTGGAACGCTCTGCCCTGCCCGCGGCTGCCGCTGGACGTCTGCCTAGGGGACGTTCTTGGTGTCCTCCGTGGCCAGTTTGCTTGAGTCCTTCTGACAAAGCACAAAGTTCACTGAGAAAATCTGCCTGGAAATAGTGACCTCTGAGGACAGGAGCGGGGCCCCTGCCCCGGGGAGGGGCCGTGGAGGGCAGGGGGGAGGCTGGGGGCGTAGCGTGGAGTCAGATCTCCCGAGGGCCCCGCATGGGGCTTTCTATCGCAGCCTATCCCCGCTGCTGAACCCTTAGCAGACTCCGCCCCCTCGGCAAACCGAAGGTGATCCCAGCTGAGGTGTACACAGCTGTGCCCGGTACCCAAAGGGGCCCTCGCCATCTTGGCTCTGCAGGTGCCTGAAACTTTGGCTCCTTCCAAGCCCTATTTAGCCTATGTGTTTTCTTATTTGGCTGACCCTATGATAAAATTACAAAATAGGCACAGAGAATAATAACAAATAATAAAATAGGACAATTGCAACATATGCTATAATAAAGGTTATCTAAGATAATGTACGAGTTATTTATTTCTGGAATTTCCCACTTAATATTTTCAGACCACGCTTGAGAGGGGTAAAGCTCCAGATACGGTTACTACCCTATAGGCTTCATGCTGAGTACTGTTCTGGGTGCTGCAGAGATACTGGTCCACTACACAGCACCCCAGGAGGCGGGGCCTGGTACAACCCCAGGGTTCCCAAGAGGGAGGGAGCCTTCTTGGCACCCCAAGACAGAGAAGCGTCAGAGCCAGGCTATGAACCAGGGCAGTTGGCACAAGTTCCTTCTGTCAGCTCCTGGGGCTGCCCCACAGCCTGGAAGAGACGGCCAGTAAAGAGCCTGTGGCACATGGCCTGCCACAGCCACACCACTAAATGGTGTCTGCCGTGGCCGGCTGTGGAAGACGGAGGTAGCCGGAGAAAGCCCAAGGTAACAGAAGGTTGTGGGACATTTACGCCTGTCACGACTGAGCAGCTGGTGTTCTGGGCTCAGGGCAGGACAGCCCCAGGACCAGCAGTGGAAGCTGAGAGCTGGGAGACACGGCTTTAGGCGAGCAGGTCCTCGGATCCCGTCCACGCTCAGAATGCCAAGCAGGAGCAAACAAACCAGAGTTCCGTGATCCAGTAAGATCCCCACCTCCCCTAGCCCCAGGCCCAGGGGCGGCAGTCAAAGTTGCTCTCTGTCCACACACAGCTGATTAGTGAGTTTACTGGGAATGAAGAAACCCACGTGGTCTGGGCAGGTACCTACAAGACCTGGAAGCGAGGGCCTGAACAGACAGCTGCACGCCAACCTTTGCTGCAACCCGCTGGACACAGCCAGCAAGTGCCAGGGCTCCAGGGTGCCCAGATGGAGGAATGGAGAAACAGGGGGCGGCCCAGCCACACAGCCTTACAGCCACACAGCTCCGAGACGTGTGGCAACATCGGTGAGCCTGCAGAACAGGATGGCAAGGGAAAGAGGCCAGGACCAGAGGACAAGCGCTGTGCGACTGCACTTTCACGAGAGCCCGGAATGAAGACAGAGTACGGGGTGGCCGCCAGGGTCTGAGGGAGCGGCAGAGGCGGGTTCTTGTTCAAGGGGGACCAAGTTTCCATTTGGAAAGAGGACAATGTTCTGGGGTGGATGGTGCTGATGGTCGTACACAACACGAAGAACTTCATGCCATGGGACCACGGACTTAAAGACGGTGCAGCGGTGCAGCTACGTTAAGCATCGTTTACGCAAGTGTTTAAACAGGCGCGCCTTGTAAGTGGTCTAACTTGCTTGGTTCACAGCCTGGGAGTGACAAGCAGCGTTCCTGCGGGCTCCCTACCCAGGGACCCTGGGGAAGTTGGCTGCTTTGTGAGCAGGAGGCTGGGGTCACTTTCCCCTTTGGATAAGGACAAAGAAATCAGAGGGTACTCATGTTGGGGGCGGTGGGGGGGGGGATCCTCAGGCACCAAATGAGGACACCGTTCACTCACAGTGTGAACCACAGGAGTCGTCTAGGGTTGGAGTGGGATGGGCTGCGGGTCCACGGAGAGCATCTTGGGAGAAATAAAGGGTGGGCCAGGTGACACCCGGAGCCGCCGACCCGATTCCCGGAGGGCGAGTCCCCAACACCCTGTGAAGGCTGCTGGGGCGTCGGGAACTCGCGGCTGGTGCAGCTCCGTGCGAGCCCTTGTGTGCGTCCGCCTAGTCCTTGAGGATGGACCGTGTCTCCGGGGAGCCAGTGGTTCTCGGAGACTGCACTCAGCAATGGCTCTAGGAGCCTTCTGGGCAGAGGGAGGGCTTTGTGTCACTCGTTCTGTGACCCCAGAGGCCTTGTGAGTGTCCTGGGTGGGGGGGCGGGGTCCTCAGTTGGTGAACGTGGCACGTGGGCCCAGGGCAGGGCGAGGGAGGTTCCGTTCAGGGGGACATGAAGGATGCTTGTGCGTGTTGAGCCCAGCTTGCTGGGCAGGGACTCTGGGCAATAGGCGTCCTCATCTTAATTCTTTCAGTTAGGGACCCTAGAGGGAGCTCCTGAGGAGGGCCACTGGGCAGGAGGCTCTCGGCGAGGGGCCTGGTGCGGTTCAGGAACGTGAGAGGAGTCGTCTGCACACCGGTCCTGGTGATCAGGGCTGTCACGTACAGTGAGGCAGGTCGTGCCCTGGAGCACTCTGGGTGGTGTCATCGGGGCAATGCAACCTGCACAACCACCCACAGGAGGACAGAACAAACCCTCTTCACTCCACTCATCCTGGCAGCCTTTGGGTGTGTGCCAAGTCAGTGCCAAGTCAGAGCCCAGATCCTGAGGGTCTGTGGAGATACAAGCCCCTCAGGAAAGTCACAGGACAGACGGTTCCAAGCGAGGGATAGGCACCCCTGTGTGGGAGCAGTGTGGTGCGTGATCCAGGCTAGGAATGGTGTGGAAAACAGTGCGGCAGTACGCGCTTGTGTCCACCGGCAAAACCATGAGCGTGGCAGGTGGCTGACCTCAGCCTGCCCCCACCTATGCAGGCTGGCCTACAAGGGGCCCAGCTTCCACACGGCCTTAGAAAAATCCAGTGTAAAATTACAACCTTAGAAGAAATCTACTTAGACTTGGGATTTTGAACCAGGGAAAGAAGTAGAATTTCACACCCTTGCTCTCTTGAATTCTTACATAGATTGCCCTCCACTCCATCCACAGACGGGCATAAGGATGTCTTCAAACATGATTTCCCTTCCAAGCACTGCCAGTTCCACCCCAGTGCAGGCAGACACGCAGACATGTGCATATTCACTGTTTTCCGCATGCCCGGGACACAGCCTGCACACCCAATCTCTCTCTCTCTCTCTCTCTCTCTCTCACACACACACACACACACACCATATCGTATCCCCTCCCAAGACTTTCTTTAACCAGGAACTGGCAGGACTTCCTAAGAACCCTGGTGTTTTGACGCAAATAAAGGTGAGGTTGGAGAGAAGAAGAAAGGAAGGGAAAAAAAAGAGGGAATGTGGGGAGAGGAGCAAAGCCGGGAGAAGAGACCCGAGTAGACAAGCGTCAGGCGACGCCTGGCATTTTTGTGGCATCCACGGTGCGTGCATGGATCCGTGCACACACGCATTCGTAGACAGAGAAGGTGCGTCACTGTCAGCGAGGACACACAGCCTCTGAAAGCGCCTGCGCTGTTTATCAGCCAGGAGTCAGGGGGCCTCCTCCAGGCAGCAAGGCCCAGGCCCTCACTACAGACAGACAGACAGACAGACAGACAGACACACACACACACACACACACACTGCGTTCAGCAGGTCAGGGTGAGGAAGATCCCTGTGAACTTGCGGTGTCTGATGGGAGGAGGCACAGCCGACCACATCCCCCTGGGGAGTCCTAGTCCGCATTCCCTGGGACATTGGTACCTGTAGGACCCCCAGCTCCTGAGCAGCGGGTCTGTTTCTATTTTATGGACCAGGTGAAGCGTGGGATTCATCGTACTTCCCACCGTGGCCTTGGTGCAGACTGTGAACCCATCCTAACGAGACTCCAAGCTGCAGGGCAGGCCGCTGACCTCATACCCAAAGGCCGGGGCGCAGGCTTGCTCTGGGGAATGAGGACTTTGGGGTCTAACTTCCTACACCCGGATCCTGGCTCCACCCCCAGCAGCTGGCGGGGCCCCAGACAATCCTTGAACCTCTCTGGCCCCACACTCTCGCCACCTGTGGAAGGAGTTGACCTACTTCAAGGGGTTCTTGGGAAGTTGAATGAATGAATGAACACTTGCAGAGCATTTAAAATTGCAGCAGGACACAAGCAGCAGTCGACTAAAAGTAATTATCCCTTCTGATGATGGTTTTGCCCTGGTTTCCTCATTTATATTTTCCACTTTTCTCTGGTTTTTATCTTTTTAAGCCATTCCAAAGCCCTTTCGGAACAAAGCATAATATGAATGTATGCATAAGCCAGCTACCACGCTAGACAGTACGTAGAATAAAGTGTTTGGGAGATGAGCTTCCTGCTGTAGGAAAGACAGCTACGTCTTAATCATTCCCACTGCCACCTCCCTTCCCTATGTCTCGCTCACCTCTCCAGCTAAGCACCAGGAGGTAAAATTCCTGGCACACTTACCAAGTGGCCACTATGTGTTAAAATCTCTCATACTGCAGCTTTTTACAGAAGGGTCCACGAATTCTCAGATTATGTCCCCGCTCTCTTCTCCCTGTGTATATGTATGGTTTCCCCCGGGAGAGAGTCCTCAGCTGCCATGGCGCTTGGGACACAAAGCCGCACTCACTTGTCTGTTCCCAGTGTCGCCGGCTGGGCCCCACCTCTTCCAGGGAAGGTGGCTTGTGCTGCAGGAGCCTGGGCAAAATTGCATCCCCTCCCCGACCTCAGCCCGCTCCCCTCTGGATGAGGGGCTGGGTGGCACGGTCGCCAACACTCTCACTCCCTGCTCTTCCATCAGCCAGGGGCACGGCGTCTCACCTCGAGGTCCCGGAGCACGGGGTGGTCGTCTATTCCCGGGAACAGCACCCTCATGGTATAGGTTCTGTAGTCCAGGAAGGGGATGCCGGCTCCATCCAGGTCACTGGTCAACTCGTGGATGTCCGTCTGCAGCTCGGCGAAAGCTGGAGTGAGGAGAAGACTGTGGGACGGCTGGATGAGGCTGCCCAGGGGTCACCCCCATCTCAGAACACTCACAGCCCTCACCACAGCACCAAGGAGACGTGAGCAAGGGGCCACCAGGAGTGACAGCGTGGCTGTGTAAGCAGCTGGGGTGAATGGCGTTAGCATGGGACAAAGTGTGGAGGGTGGGTGGCACTGTCCACAGATCTGTGCTGTGGCTGGGACCACGGACAGTTCTCTGGAAGCTGAAAGGCTTGGGTTTGCAAGAGATGCTGGGGAGTGACAGGGAACAAGGGAGAGTCTTCCTGAGGATTTCCCAGCACTGCCTTCTGATAAAGGAAGCCGATGGAAGGCCCTGTTCTGCCCCAAGCAGCTCCCTTGGGCCACCAGCCCTCCAAAGGGAATTCGGCTTTGCCCTTCCGACCTCAAGGTGACACCACTGACGGGAGATTATGATCTGCCTCTGGACTCTGTGGAGGCGGCTCAGGCCTCGTGATGGACAGTTTCAAGATCCTAGCTGGCCTCTGGGAAAGCCCCGTGCGCAGTGCAGCCTGGGATTGTTCCATAGCTCCGCCTATGCTGCTGCCGCACTCTGGCCTGGGCACATCCTCCTCTGGGAGCCACCCTCCACCGGGAGGTCCTCAGAGGCGGGGCGCCCAGCCCTCTCCTGCTCTGCCTGTCTCCCTGGTGCGTGCACTCATGCATACGTAACAAGTGCCACCCACACTGGCAAAGATTGGCCTGAGGATGTTGACTAGCCAATGCTTCTTGCTAGTGACGTGAATTCAAGAACAGGCAAAAGATAATCTGTGGGCTCAGAAGGGATTCGCAAGCCCGGCATGGCTGTAGGAACCTGGAAGTACCAGGCCAGCACCCACACCCACAGGGCTGTGATGACCACGTGAACAGGACACGGAGGCCCCAGGAGCTGTGAGCAGAAGCCAGCCCTGCACTTCCCAGCGGCCGCTGGAGCTCCACCCTGCAGGGCTGACTTTGACCTCTCTGCGCCAGGCCGGGCTCCTAGCCTTTGTGTGCAAGAGGTCAGAGGGGGACAGGAGCTGGGCACCAGGCGAGACCGGTACACCCTCCTGCTGCTCCAGTCACTCGGACACCAGGGTTCTTCTCGTGGAGTGTGACGCTGAAGGCAGAACACCAGTGTGCCGCGTGGAACGGACACTACTGTGAGTGTGCATGCGTGCGAATGGGGAGACAGCAGACCTTTGCAGCACACGCTGTCACCAAAAGCCCCCAAATACTGCACGTGTCCAGAAGGAGGACCACGAAGGGGTGTGTGTGTGTGTGTGTGTGTGTGGGAAACGTGGGAGTGTGTGTGTGAGCATGATGCACTTATCCGAGTGTGAGACTCTCAGTGAGTGTATGATGGCATGTGTGCGTGTCGGGCGTGAGAGTGTTGTGAGCACACCCATGTGTGAAGGTGTCAGGAAGTGTGTGGGTGTGAAAGGGCACACACTCACGCGTGTGCTTACGTGTTGAAAGCTCGGGCTGGGTGTCCTGCGACTGTGGGTATGGGAGGCATCCTGGCTAACGGTAAAGCCCTCTGGGCCATGGCCAGAAACCAGCTCTGGACACCCCAGAAAGAATGTCCATGCTAACCCTGCAGGGGCTTTGCTGTCCACTCCCTCTCCCGACCCAGGAAGCACAGCTCTGCCAGGGCCAGCAGCCACTCGGACCCTCGGGAGCTGGGCTCCTGTCTGGCTGCCGCAGCCTCCCTCCCTAGGAACCTCTGGAGGGGGCTCAGCGTCCCCCTGCCTGGGTGGGATCCTCCCAGTTGGGGTGCTCAGCTGGCTGGGAGGAGAAGGAGGGAGCTGGCTTTTTATCCATCTGCAGCTTTCCTTGAAGTCACCAAGAGCCTCCAACATTCAAAGGCTCGCGCCTGCCACACATAAAAGAGATTCTAATCACTACACCTAATTAGAGGGAAGAGTACATTGCGGAGAAAAAAATTAAGCAGCGTAAATATAATAAAAGGCAGTAATTAACAGTCCCACCAGGCGGAGGCTGTGTTGACAGCTGAAGGGTGCAGACAGGGGATGGAGAAGAGCTGCTGCCCCATCAGAAAGGGCCACGGCTTCCCGGGAGCCCAGGTACAGTGCGAGATTTACCCCAGGAGCCAGTGGACAGCCGGGCCCGGCTCCTCCCAGGGTGACCCAGGTGACGTCCTGCGGGTGACAAAAGCCGGCACCAGGCTGCCTCCGTGGGATCTCGCCTGATGGTGGTGTCTGCCATTTTTTAAATACAAGTTTTGAAATGCTCTTCCTTCAAAACCACCCACCAGCCCTACAGCCTGTCCTTCCGGCTAGAAGACCGGAGCTGAGGATGGCTTGCACGTGGCATGTGAACGTGCCCCACGGCTCCCCTCCAGGACAGCGTGGACCCCTGCTCAGCCAGGAAGCCAGGGCCAAAGGCTGATCCCGATCTGACACTTTGGGGAGCGGCTGAGAGGCCTTCACCTTGTCTGGTGCTGCCTAGGGTGTGGCCTGCAGGGGTGCGGGCTGGGCATGAGTCACAGGTCAAGGCCAGAGTGGAGGCCATGCAGGTACCATGTGGAGCCCGCAGCACCGCCCCCTGCTGCCCAGCCTGCTGGCTTGTGTGTGAGAGGCACACGCGCACACGCACATGCACATGGCTGTGAACACCCGGCCACTCGTTACCTTCCTTGCACTCCAAGGCCACGCGGGACTCCAGGTTGTCCATCTGCATCTGCAGCCGCTTCAGGGTGAGGTCGCTCTCGCGGGACTTGCGCTTGTAGGCGATAAGCACGGCCACGATGAAGATGATGAGCAGGCCGCCGGCCACGGCGATGCTGACGATGGCGGGCAGGCTGAGCGGGCTGTCGGGCACGATGTACACCATCCCTGGGGAGTACTCCATGCCTCCGACACGGGCCTGGGGTGACACGCAGGGCGAGAGGGAGCGGGCGGTGGGGGTGGGGCACAGCAGTCCAGGAGCAGTGGCATGCCAATCAGAGAACTGCTGGCCGAGGCGGGATGAGGAACAGATGCCAGGGAGGACCCTTGTCGCTGGGGGCCTGAGGAGGGGTCGGCCAGCAGAGGCCACCCTCTAGCTGGGACCTAGCATCGTTGTCTTCACAGGGGACCTAACAGGACTGGAGTGACATCAGTGATCGGTGCCCCAAGACCTAAGCCATCCCCACTGTCAGGATGGAGGACTGAGATGCAGGCCAGGCCAGCAGCAGCCGTCCCCTGGGAAGCCTTCTGGTCTACCAGATGCGCTGCTGCCCATGGCTTAATGCTGCTTGGCTTTGCCTTTCCTGTTGCACCAGCCAGTATGGAGGGAAGGTGCTACAGAAGAGAGACAGGCTTGGTACAGGAAGAAGGACCCGGGGTGTGGGGAGATTGGGGGTGGAGCTGTGCCTCTCACACCCTGCGCCTGCCTGCGCCACCCAGGACCCGGGTCGGCCAGCCTCACCATCACTTTGTGCCTGCCGGTGAGGTTGGGGGACTCGCAGAGCAGCTGCACGTCCGACACGGTCACGGTGCACGGCTTCTCCCCGACCAGCACGGTGTAGTTCAGCTTCACGTTGCCCCCGGCCACGGGCGGGATCAGATTCTTGCCCTGAGTGCACACAGGAAAGCCCTGGTCTCCAACCCAGAGTCAGGCCCACGGCTACTGGCTGGCTGCCACATCCGCCCCCTCCCTGCCCCAGAAGTCCCTCCTGCAGGAATGGGTCCCCAGCACCCTTGGCCCACGCTGTAGCTTGCCCCACCCCACTCCCTGCAACGTTCCTGTGTTGGGGGCTTGGTCCCCAGGGTGGCCAACTTAACCGGTGGCCTATGAGGGGTCAGTGCTGTCCCCTCCCCAGGGTCTGGCTTCCTGTCTGGCAGGTGCTTTTTCCCTCCCAAGCAGGCTGCTACCTTGAGATGCTGTAGCCAGGGGGCTCTTGTCAGAGCTGGTGCCGTGCTGTCTGGGCTGGCAGCCTTCAAAGCTGTGTGCTCTGTAAACCTCTTGGCTTCGTGAGTACCCGGGCTCAGGTATTCCGTGATAGTAACGGAAAATAGACCAAGAGCAGCGTGCACACTACCCTTCTCCCTTCTTCCTGGTAGGAAGCCGACCATCAAAGTCAAGTCTTTTCAGCTCGTCCCAAATGCAGACTCGGCGGCCTCTCCCCACCGAGCTGCAGGCAGTCACTACCAAACGCTCAGCGGAGTGAAAATTAATTTGCAACTCGCGCTCCAAGGAGAACCTGTGTGGTGGTTTGCCAGTGGCCGCACAGGCAGACACAGCGTGCGCCTCTGACCTCCCAGCTCCTGAGTTCTGAGGGCAGAAGCTTGGGAGTCCAGTGACCTGTGATGAATTTTCTCCCAGTGCAAACTCAGAGTATGTGTGTGTCACGTGCAGCCCAGTGCCTGCCAGGGATGCCGGTCAGGAGGCCTGGCAGGAGCCCTCCCCACACTCCCCACCCCGGTACTCACCTTCAAAATGATGGGCGTGCCAGGCTTAAGCTCCAGGATCCCAGAGGGCCCGAAGGCCTCAAACACGGGGTTGGGGTAGTAGGTGAAGTTGGTTCTGTTGAGGATGAGCAGGGACTGGACATTGTCCAAGATGAAACCAAACTCTTCCGGCCGCTCAGTGAGGTCCGACTGGTGGTCAGGGCCCAGGGTGAGGGCTGGAGCCTGGCATGTCATCTCAGTGGAATTCAGGACCTCACAGACCTGGGGGAGGAGCCGGAGGGGAGGGAGATGCTTTGGCTCTCTACGCCCTGTGTGCACACCCCGGGGCCCTGTCCACACGGCAAGGGGCCAGTGCAGGAGGCTCATGGATCAGACAGCTAGAGCTGCGTACTTGGGCACTCAAGGAGTGAGCTCTGTAGCTGGCACCTGCTCCAGCTTTGCCCGTGGTGAGGGTGGCAGTGACCAGGGGCCACAGGCATGGGTCATAGTGCATTCGGGGAGGCCTGCCTGAGCGAGGGGGCAGCCCCCCCACGAGGCCCGCCCACCCCTGACTCACATTGATGTGCTCCTTCCCGCCGTGCTTGGCACGGATCTGGGGGTTCTGGATGAGGTCCAGGTGAGTGCCCCAGACAGCGATGGGTGTGTTTCCACTGCCAAGAAGAAAGGAGGAGGTGTGTGAGTCATGGGGACAGAAAGCAGCGGTGCTGAACAGAGGGCACGGGGAAGCGAGCTGAGCTGTAGTAAGGACAATGATGACCAAGCATCATGGTCACGGTCATGGGAATGAGGACGGGAAGCCGCTGCATGACAATAAGGATGAGGTCTCCCACGCCAAGGGGAGGACAGTGAGGACCAGGACTCTTGTGTTCCGTGCTGAGCTCACAGTGTGGACACCTTGCGGAGATCCAGGGGACAACCCAGCACCTTGACCCTGGCAGGCCTGCTGACCTGGGCCAGCTGCTTCTCTGCTACCTCTGTTTCTCTCCCCGCCAGCCTCAGCCCTCATGGGTCTCAGAACTGGGTCCACATTAGCCTTGGCCTAGTGGGAGCCTCGCTCCAGATCGCCCCACCAGAGCCCCCCAGAACAGCCTACCCCCAGGTTTCCATACTGGAGACTTCCTCAGGCTGAGGTTCAGTTCAGGAGAGGCAGAGAGCCCGAGCTCTTGGGAACCTCCTCCAGGAGGGCAAATGTGAAATGCTCCAGGCTTCAGGCCTCCTGCCTGGGGTGGCACAGGACCACGGGTGGGAGGGCTCAGGACCCTCGTGCTGGCAGAGTTTTTTAAAGGAAGCTGAATGGCCCCGCCCTGTCCCATGGGCTGGGAGGCCAGTGCGGAGTTGGGGCAGTTCCTGGGCTGGACCCTTCTTAGGGGCTGCCCAGAGGAAAGCAAGGAATGATGGGATTCCCCAGCTACCTGGGCATCCTTGTGAAGAATCCTACTACCTGGAACAGGGCCCCGAGAGCTCATGGCTTCTCAGGCTGGTGGGTGAAGAACTCTGATGCCCGTACCCACATTCATCTCTACCCATCTATCCCTCTGCCCAATTTTATGCTCCCAGTTATTTCCCTCTCCCCCTCCACACACACACACACACACACACACACACACACACACACGTGCATGCAGGAAGGTTCCTGTGAAACCCAGAGCGGCTCCTCTGCCGGTGAGCTCCTGGTGTCCAGCTGTCTCCCCAGGCCTCCGACACACACGGCCAAGCAGCCGCCGCCACTGCTCCTTGGTGACCCAAGGGGCTTGTGAGCAGTGGGAAGTCACGCCACGTGCAGAGCCCACCCTGACTCCTATAACCTCTGTAGACATGATGGAGCTGGCTGGCAAACCCAGCGTGAGTCTCCAACCTCCCAGTTGACGTGAGTGAGTGTGGGGCACGGATGGCCACCGCGGGCCAGGAGGGAAGACACAGTGACACGAGGAAGAACTGAATGAGACCCTGCTCTGGATGGCTCAGACAGCTGCAGAGGAACGGGGTTGGGGGTGGGGTCTGCATCAGCCTCCTCATCTTACTGGGCCCTGGGGTCAAATCCTGGTATAGCTTTTCCGGGTCTACTTTCCCCTCCCTGCACCTCACGGTCTCCATCTGCTTTAAGACCATGGCTACAGCTTCTAGCCTCGAGCCACTGCTGAGAACAACCAGTGCTTAACAGGCAAAGCTGCCTTTCCTTTGGGCTTAAGGCAGGGGGTGGCCAACTCTTTCTGCAAAGGGCTAGAGAGTAAATATTTTAGGCTTTGAGGGCATATGGTCCCTGTCGCAGTTCCTCAGCTCTGCTGCTACAGTGAGGAAGCCGCTACAGACAATACAGATATGGATGAGCTTGGCCGAGTGCCAATAAAACTTTATTTACAAAAGCAGGTGCCAGGCCAGATTTGGCCCTGGCCAGGAGTCTTACAATTGTTCCCTTGGCTGCCCCCTGCCCCAGCCTGTGGAGACTGCTTCTTCGTGGTCTCCTCACTGGCTTCCCCTGGGTCCCAGGCACTGCAGAGCTGGCACAGAGGGGAAACAGGACTGGACAGGGGGTGAGGAAAGAGCTGGGCCAGGTGCTGTGCTGCCTGCCTGCATCTCACTTCTCAGCTGTTCTGTGCCCGAGTTGACAGATGAGGAAGCCTGGCCCCAGCAGGTGAGCTAATTTTTCAGGGCCCTTAAGCAGCGGCATTGGGCTGAGCCTGTTCCTCGCAAACCAGGCCCTGATTGGGCTTCTCCAGGTGGCCCCTGATCTCCCCATGGCATCCCACGCACCCCCCAGGGCCTGCCATCTGCCTGCAGCTCCATCTCTGCCGCGAGCTGCTCCACCACATGGGCCCGGAGATCCCAGGCCAGAGAGTGGAGAGCCAGAGACCCAGGCAGTGTTTGCAACATGCCCAAGCTGACTGCCCGAGCCAGCCACATGACTGAAGGGCCCGGCTCCCTGCCCTGGTGGCTCCTGTCTTCTGGGACATGCACCCAGGGCCCTGGTGGTGAACACTGGGGAAGGAGCAAGGAGCAAGACCCAAGCTCTGCCCTTGAGCCGGCAGTGGGGGGAAGAAGGAGTACATATGGGCAAGCAGAGGGCACGCCATGACACAGGCTGGCAGAGGCTCCAGGGACACGTGCAGTCGGGACATGTGTCTTCCTCCCTAGTGGCCCTGACCACACCCATTCTCTCACCTCCATCAGCCTGAAAGCAGGCCCAGAGTTCCAGCCGATACACCCAGAAGTGAGATTAAGGAGAGTAGAACTGGCACCGTGGAGAGATGGGGACACAGTATAAGCCCTTGAGGTGGGGAAGTGGAGTGTCTGCCAGTCGGAACGAGGCCTCCCAGCCTGTTCGTGTGCCAAGCAAAGCCTTCCTATGGGAAGAGCCTGGAGCCGAAACTCCAGTTCCTCAGTCTCCAGCGCAGGGTCTCCTGGTCTCTGGAGAATGCAGGGGGGCAGGGACCCCGAGGTGTGGAGGTCGGGGCAGCGCCTACCTGACGATGCTCCACTCCGGCTCGATCCGCACGATGGTGGGGTCCTCCACGTACTGGAAGACCAGGTCCTGGCGGATCTTGGCCCTGTCCACTTGCACCGTCACCTTCATCGCCAGCACGTCCTCCGAGGAGGTGGTGTTGCAGACGATGGAGGAGGAAGACCGCCTGCAGGGGGCAAGGCAGAGCACTGGGCTCCCAGGGGCTGAGGAGGGTGGGGGTCTGGGGTCAGGGCCCTCCCACGCCCCCTCCCGGCACCCTCCCGGGCAACCACTGAGCCTCTGCAGGTGTACGGCTCCGGCGCCCATGGCAAGGATTCTCTGCTTTGCCACACTTGCGACAGGCACCCTTGGGCTGATCTTGGGACCACACAACGCTGCGTCCTGTGCAGTCTGGTGGGAATCCCTCCACCCTTGATAACCCATCAAATCCCTTATCCTCATCCGTGACAGCTGATCCCCCTGGTCTGTCTTCAGCAAGAACCCCCCTACCCTTGCCGTCTCCTCTGAGTGGTTTTCCATCCCCTGACCCTCTCTGCTCATCGGCCAGACACTCCTTGCTGGGTTTGTTGCATTCAGAATCGGGCTTGAGCTCTCTCCTCTGTTGCCACAGTCCTGAGTAGTCTTCCTCAGTACTAACACAGAGCCTGGCCTGGGCTGACTTCAGATCTGTCTCAGCTCTCGGCACACCTCCCTGGGGATGGGCTGTCTGGCCTGCTGAGGGGCAAACTGGCCGCAGCCCCGAGAGCCCTTGGCTGCGTGCACTTCCTGCCTTGCTGCTCCTACTGTCCTGGACTCCTGGCTCATGGAAGATGCACCCTCTAGGGTTGGGCCATGGGACAGGGGAGGGCAACAGGTTCCTAGTGCGCTCTCACCAGCTCTCAGCAGTGCCAACTGGCTCCCATGAGTGACCTGTAGCTGCAGATTCCTGGTTCTGTGGCACATCCTGGTGCTAAGGGGTCACCAGGGCTAGGTCGTGGCAGCAGCATGACCGGGCTTCTCCAGGAAAGGGGTGGGGGGGAGGCCGCAGGGCTCCTGGTAGAGCTCAAATCCTCCCTCAAAGAGCATGCACGCTTTCTTAGGGAGGAGGAAGCAGGCAGCCCCACTCCACTCTCTGTGACCCCTATGGCCTGCCCGGGGGACACATCTGCCAGAGCCAGCGTGCTGAGGGTTACCTGTGGAAGAGGCAGGGCTGGGTCCCAAACATCACCACGACGTTGCTGCCCGCATTCAGGTTGGTGCCCGTGATGGTCACCTGGGTGCCCCCCGACATGGGTCCCCTGCTGGGCTTCAGGTCTGAGAGAGTCAGCGTCTGTGTAGGAGAGGATGGGGCCTGAGCCGGCTGGGGCAGGGCGGAGGGAGCCTCTGGTGGCCCCTGCCCCGAGCTGCCTTCCGGGAGCTGTGCTGGGCACGGCGCCGTCCCCGAGCGCCGGCCGGGCAGCGTCTCTGGAGGAGGAACCTTGACCATGGCGGCTGCCTGCACGGATTCCCTCCGTGTCGGCTGTGCGACAGACACACAGCCTTGAACCTGCGATTCCAGCGCCCGGCCCCTGTACAGTGCGCGTTACCGCCTGCTTCACAGCAGAGAGTGGAGGATGGGAAGTACCTTGTCCAAGGTCACCCAGCCAGAAAGTGGCCTGGCTCCAGAGTAGACTCCAGAGCCCGGCTTCTCAGCCACCCCACAGCCTGTCACTCTAGGGGAAGGAGACTTGTCCCCTCCGCAGGCCTCCCAGCTAGCTGTCCCCACCACCACCACCACCACCACCGCCAGGCTCCCAGGGGCTGGAGCAGCCAGAAGACGCAGACAGTCAGTGGTTTTCCAGGCCTGCCCTCAGCACCTGCCAGACTGGAGGAGAGATGTTGGCTGGGGATGGGGGCAGGGCAGAAACAGCCTGAGCCGGCTGGGGATTTGGGGTCGCAGTTTGTTCTTTCATTAGCATTTTAATGGAAAAACTTTCCTCCGTCCCAGGTGAGAAGCCCGTATCTGCATTTAAATGAAGATTTCTCTTGCCCTCCTAGGCAATCTCCCCCTTGAAGAATTCAGCACCCAGAGTCCTACCACTGGGCTCCCCGGAGCAGGCAGAGCACCCCCTCCAGTAGAGACCCCCAACTGGGGATGTCTCCAGGTGGGGTGGGGGAGGGGCAAGGGAAGGCCCACCGCCTGGCACAAGCCCAGCTCAGGTCGGAGGCACACAGGCTGGGGAGACGGATACAACCATGAGCTCAGACTCTCTGGTCCCACACCATTGTCCATGGACCCTGGTCTCAACACCAGCATGGAGCTTCCAGCTTGCCTTACTCTGTGCCACGGAGAGGGGGCCCCGGTGCCCTCCCCAGGGAAGGATGGGCAGGTGTGTGTGTGTGTGTGTGTGTGCACATGCCTGTCTGTGCACAGTGCCTCTGAGTTGGGAGTGGCCAAGAGACCCCGTCCTAACTGGGAAGTTCTGAGAGCTGGGGGTGCCGAGGGTTCCTAGAGGGGCAGAGGCCAATGATCCCAGCAGGCTTTGCAGTGGCGTTGAGTGGAGGGGGAGCTATTCCTGGGGCGAGGAGAGGATGCGACGCAGACCTGTTTCAGAGTTGTGAGAAACTATTATGATTCCAGTCATGCTTCATAAATATTTCACGGTGGGTTTGCACGGGAAGTCGGGTTCTGCATTATTTGCCGCCTCTTGGCTCCGTGAATGGAGGATAGAGGGGAGGGGACAGCACTCCCTGTATGGAGAACTCCAGAGTCTCCTGGCTCTGGGCCTTGATGTCTGGATTGTGGGTGAAGAAACCCACAAGGCAGAGTCGGGCCGGATGTGTGGAGGGAAACCAGGGCAGACTGAAACCTTGCCCCCAACCTCAGCCCTGGGCAGGGGCTCCCAGCTGTCCCAGGGCCCCAGGGGTACCAATCAGGAAGACAACTAGAACTTTGCCACATTGGCAGCATGTGGGGGCTGGAGGAATGGGGTGGGGGTGGGGGCACTGTCCCTTCCCAGCTTCCGGATGGGATTCATGGGGACTTCTGCCCCCTTTTTCCCACCTGAAGCCCCTACCCCTACCCTCCTCACCCTCAGCCCGAGGAACTCCTTTGGGGGCACCTCTGTGGCTCAACCCTTAGATGCAAATCGGGGCCAGGAGCAGAGGCTGCAGCACCTCCTTGGAGGTTATCCCTCAAAGAGAACAGTGACACAGCCTGAGCCATGGGGACCACGGGGCCAGTGCCTAATTCCCGACCTGCCTCTGTCCCTCCATCCATCCCCACCTTTCCTGCATCCTGAGTTGCCCTGTAAGCCAGGAACAGCTGTCCACTGCCTAAGTTCCTCGTGGAAAATCAGAGTTTGTCCGCCTTGGACGCACGCTGCCTTCCTCGCTGGTTTCTTCCATAAAGCCTCCAAATAAAGCCTTAGAGGGACCTCCCCACCCTGCTCCAGGGGCCCAGCCGTCCTGAGCCGTCCCCTGAGGGCGGCCGCAACTTTCCCATGTCTACCACATGGGCTGTTTATAAGGATCGAAAGAGAGGACAGAGAGCAGAGGTAGGTGGCAGCCACTCAGTTGATGTGACTGCTCCTGCCTAGCGCTCCTGGGCCCAGGCTGGCTGGTAGAAATCACCCAGGGGTTTCTGGACCAAGCTAATACTGGTGTCCACCTGTGGAGTCTGATTTAATTACGTTGTGTGCAGGGGTCCAGGGCATTTTGTTTAAAGTTCCCCAGAAGAGTCTTTCTTTAAATTACTGTTTACAGGGCAGACAGAGAGAGAGAAACAGAGACACAGACAGAGGACTCCCGCTGGTTCACTTCCCAGATGCCCACAACAGGCTGAAACTGGAAGCCAGGAACTTGACCCAGGTTTCCCGGGAACTCAAGTACTTGGGTTCATCACCTACTGTCTTCCAAAGTGCACGTTAAATGGAAGCTGGAGGAAGTGGGTGCTGTGGTGCCGGGGGTTAAGTTGTCCGCATTGCATACTGGAGCGGCTGGGACTGAGCCCTGGCTACGCTGCACTTCTGATCCAGCTTCCTGCTAATGCACCTGCGAGGAAGCAGGTGATGGCTCAAGCACTTGGGCTCTTGCCACCTGCATGGGAAACCAGGATGGAGTTCCTGGCTCCTAGCTATGGCCTAGCTCATCCCTGGCTGTTGTAGGCATCTGGGGAGTGAAGCAGTGGAAAGTAGATCTCTCGATCTCTCTCTCGATCTCTCTCTCTCTCTCTCTTTTGGAAGTGGGGCTGATGTGCTGAAAATCCTGCTTCTGCATGGACTGCAAGAGGTCCAGGGCAAAGCCATGGGAAAGACTGAAGGAGGCCCTAGCGAGAGCAAAGGAGATGGGAAAAGTGGGGCGTCAGGACGTGGGGACGATCCACGACTGTATTTAGGGAGTGCTGGGCCACAGTTCAGGGAGATTCCAGGCTTGGGGAACAGGCTCAGGCAGACATGGGCAAGGAGCTGAGAGCCTGCATGGACCACGTGCTGGGGGCAGTAGGACACGTGGGCGGCTGTGGCTGTCACAGAGTTGAGAGCCCTGGCTGGCGGCACACAGCAGAGGCAGCTGGGCCCCGCGGCAGGCAGCAGGTCAATGAGGGAGGCCGTGCCAGTCCCTTCCACTCTGTCTTCAAGGTCACTGCCACAGACCACAGGAGGGAAAACGCTTTGGCAGGTGACTGGCCACGGAAGCCCGGAGCTGGCTCTGGCCAGGTAGCAGTTCCTCCCCATTCACCCCGGCTGCCGGGAAATTTCAGAGTCAGTGCCAGCAATACTTGGCCAGGGTGGTCTCTGTATTACAAGCTCTCCATCTTTCTGCCTCTCTCTGTATCTGTGTATTGCATCTACCCCTGCCTGCCTCTCTGCACGTCTTTATAATACACAGTATCCGTACATGCCTTATATGTGAGTGTACATGCGCTCATCACTATGGGCTTCATACATAGTCTGGGTTTTATCAGGAAGCTCCCCATGTCCTTTCAGAAGAAGGAGGGGTGTGAATCCTGAACACATACGTGGAGCTACACCTCTGTGAGTGGCCACCGCCTGTGTCCACAGGGTGGCCGGATTTCCAAGGGCAGAGCTGGGGTGAGGGGCTTCCACCACAAGCAAGTCTGTGTCCAAGTTCCTGTGTTGATGCTATCTCCCCTTGCAGACTGTGGGGTTCCCAGGGGAGAGGCTGCACTGGGTCCCTACTCACCGCCCCACAGCCAGGCCTGTCAAACTGTATTCTACAACTCAGCCCGGTGAAACCAGTATCCACCCAGTGATCTAGGGAGAGGTACTGAATGGCTGTGAGCTGAAGGGAGAAGGAAGAGGATATAGGGAGACAGGGGTGAGGCCGTGGGATGGATCTGGGTGGGGGGTGGGGGTGGGGGTGGGCATGATGGTGTGTGCGGAGATGGATGGGTGTGGGGGAGGAGATGAGGGGGTGGAGGATGGGTCCCAGAGGTCCCAGGATGGCGTGATGGTGAGCGGGGCAGGTGGTGGGCAGTGTGGGTGCTGGGCTGAGCTGGGTGTATGGGGGAGAGGCCAGGGGATTGCAGCAATGGTGGCAGTCACAGAAGTGGCAAAGGAAATGATACTACAGTGGATAAACATATTAATGTATGTCTCACAACACCATGGGGTGGATGCTATCATTAAACCCATTTTAGAAATGAAGAAATTGAGGCACCCAAAAAGTCAAGCAACTTGCCCAAGCTCAACCAGTTGGCAGGTGGCAGAGCTGGGGCCCAAATTCCAAGGGTTTTCATGGGAAGGTCCCACTCTCTCACGCTACCCACCACTTGGCGATGGGCCCGGGAGTGAAAGCCATGTACCTGTGGCTGCACAGCAAAGTCTGGATTTGGATCCAGGTCATCTAGACGTCAAAGACTGTGGCCTCTCACTACAGGACAGGACTCCATGAGCCTAGCGGGGCTGTCAAGGGGGTTCTTGCCCTGGGTTTGCCCCCACAGGCATACAAGGGCCCAACAGTCTGGATAAGGCTGCCACGGCCTGCGCCCAGCCCGGCTAGGGGTGGCTGGCACTCACCATGAAGTAGTAGAGCTGCGAGGAGCGGGCCATGAACTCAGGCCGACACACAGCCACGCAGATCTCCACGAAGCCTGCGTGCTGGCTGGGCTTCGCCTCTCCCATCTCACACACGATCCTGCAGGGACGAGAGGAGAGAAGGCTCCCAACTGTGACCCTGGGCCCCCGGGTCCCACCCAGGCCCCTTGCTCTGCGGCAGGACCTCAGGGATGGCAGGAAGTTGGGGCTGAGGGTTGCTCCCAGCTCCTCCATGCAGGGGTCCTCTTTGGTTCTCAGGAAATGAGGGGTCTCTTTTGAGGGGACCTAGGAGAGGATCTGAGTTTCTGGTTCCCTCACTCATGAACCGTGCACTGAGTTGTTATGTAGACTAAGAGAATGCTTCAGCCACACAGCTTGGGGAGCAGAGCTGGCAGAGCCCAGAGAGGTAGGGCGACCTACCCACAGGCACACAGCTAATAACACACAGAACCTGGGCTGACCTGAAGTTCTCAGGAGTTCCTTGCTCCTAAAGGCTTGGGCTGCCTTAGAGGAGTGCTCTCTGCTCCAGCCAGCCCAGCTCCAGGCTGGGTGAGGAGATATGTGTGTGTGTGCACATGCATGCATGCATACCTGTGCATTAAATGCAAAACTTCTTCAAACTCTTCGAAAGCAGTCAATCCATACAAAAGTGTCAAACAACAACAAAGGTGTGACAGTAAAGAGTGTCCCTGTCTTTACTCCTAACCACCCAAAAGTTGGAAATATGTGTGCATAAATATTTGCCTATTACTATCCATCCATCATCCATCCATCCATCCATCCATTCATCCACCCACTTCCTCATCACACAAATGAAGAAACCAAGGCATAGAAAAGTCAGGCAACCTGCCAAATGGATACATAGCTAGCTGTCTATTCCGTGGGATCTACATCTGAGGATTCAACCAACCATGGGTTGAAAACTTTTTTTTTTCAAATTGCTTTTGTACTGAATAGGCACCAATATTTTTTCCTGTCATCACTCTCAAGAAATATAGTATTAATAACTATTAACATAGAATTTACGTTGTATGGGCAATACAAGTAATCTAGAAGTGCTTTAAAGTGTATGGGGAGATGTGATTAGGTCAGAGTCTATACAAGTGCTATGCCATTTTATGTAAGGGTCTTGGGTGGCCTCAGATTTTGGGTATCCTGGGGAGGGAGATGGTCTGGACCCAATCTCCCATGGCTACTGACAACTGTGTATATATAATACACATATATAGATGCACATATGCACACATATATACATGCATGAACACAAACATCAATGTTATACACACATACATACAATGCTATATAAGTACACATATGTGAAGAAACGTGTATGTCCTTTTCTATCTAAGAGTATCTATAATATGGCTGCTGCTCTAAATACACTTGTTTGGGGGCTGGTGCTGTGGTGCAGGAGGTTAATCCTCTGCCTGTGGTGCCGGCATCCCATATGGGTGCCGGTTCTAGTCCTAGCTGCCTCTCTTCCAATCCAGCTCTCTGCTGTGGCCTAGGAGAGCAGTGGAGGATGGCCCGAGTCCTTGGGCCCCTGCACCCCCACAAGAAGACCCAGAGGAAGCTCCTGGCTCCTGGCTTCGGATTGGCTCAGCTCTGGCTGTTGCGGCCACTTGGGAGTGAATCAGCGGATGGAAGACCTCTCTCTCTCTGTCTCTACCTCTCACTGCCTGTAACTCTACCTCTTAAATAAATAAAAATATTTTTAAAAAAACAAAATACATACGCCTGTTTTTACCCATATACAGCATGGGCTTTCCTTCAGCCATCATGTCCATGGTTCCATTTTACTCGTCTTAACAACTTCACAGTATTTCCCGCCATGACCGCAGCCTCACTTACATAATCTTTTTCCTAGAGATGGACATTTAATTATCTTGCTTTTTCTCTGACTCCAAGTAATCCTGCAAAACGAGGCCACTTTGTACACATGTCCACAAGCAGTGTATATTCAGCAGAATAGACTTTGAAGGAGGGACCTTGCTGGGTCTGATGGTTTCTGTACCTAGCATTTGACAGGGAGACTCCGCGCTGTCCCAGACAAGGTAGCAATTTGCACTTCTATCCGTGGTCCACTCTTTTTGCCAATAGGAGATATTAACGAGCCTTTGAAAGTTCTTTCGGTACACTGGGGAAAAAGGCCTCATTTTAATTTAAATTCCCCCGGTTGCCGGTCAGTAGAGAAGTTGCGCGTTTTCCTGGGCTTTCTATCTCACACAGCCTTTCCTTGGACTTCTCGTACCCTGTTTTGCTGGCAGATTGTCTTCTTCAGAGGAACTTGTGGACTAATATCACGTTCACTTCTGTCGGTTATAAATATTGCAATTATTTCCTGTCTGTCGCCTATCTTTCACCTTTGTTTCCAGGATCTTTTTGCCACACCAAAGTTCAAAGAGTTTCTGTGTAGTTAAATTGGTTGTTCTTTTACTTTATGGTTCCTAGGTTTTATGTTTGTCTTAGAAGAAACTTCTGAGTAAGATTTCCGCAAAAATATATACCTTTCTGCCCGGCTAACATAATGAATACATGCTCAGGGTAGAAATTAAGGAAAGCATGGGAAAGTACTCGCTCATATGCCACCACCTCTAACTACACCACCTAGGAATAGCCATCGTCATTTTGGTGTGTGTTTTCAATCTTGCTTTTCTTTTGCAAAACTAATTAGAAGCAACATTCTCCCTGGTAACCTGTTTTCTCACTTAATAGACCCTGAGTGTATTCTGGGTACTTCTGTAACAGCAGACTTAAAGGAGGTGTTGTTTAATGTCCAAGGCACATAATGCTTATTTATTGAATTGTTATGTTCTCTATTTTTAGAAATACAAATTCTTTCTGAATTTTTACTATTACAAATAAGGCTTAAATAAGCATTCTTGCAAATAAATATTTGTGCAGGATGGTAACCAAAGGAATGTTCTGGAAGCGTGGTGGCCAGGATAGGGACGGTTAGCCCGGATCTGCCAACTGTCTTCCTGAGATTGGGTTCCAATGTGCCCTCCTTCCATGAATGAACGAAGCTGCACGAGTGAATTCCCAGGTCTCTCATCTGCACCAGGCAGTAACCTGGAAAAATCACTCCCCACGGTTTTAATTTGCATTTCATTGATTACTACTGATGGCAAACATTTTTTCCCCCATACGACTTTGGTTCTTTGAGTATCCTGGGAATTGTGCATCCATGCTCTTTGCTCATTTTGTGATATTTGCTTTTTATTTATAACAATTTATTTCTATTTAGATGCTAAGAAAAATCACATAGTAACTGCCAAGGGCACGGCTCTACTCCCAGCTTACACTTGCCTTTCTAGTTCGCTCGCTCCGATTTCTGATGCAGGGGCTTCCAATCCGCTAACCTCTCCCTTTGTAACTCCCCCTTTGCTGTTACCCCGAGAACAGCATCTTCTTCTTGAATTCCCGCCTGCATTTTCTTCTGATCCTTTCACGGTTTCACTTTTTACAATGAACTCTTTAATCCATCTGGAATTTACTTCGCCATAGAACGTGAAATAAGGATCTGATATTGTGCTTTTCCGGGGAGTTAATCAGCCCTATTTATTGAACTGCATTGCCCTTCCAAGCTGATTCGAAATGTCGCCTTTATCACATCCTGCATTTTTAGGTGTCAGGTGCTGCTGGGCGTCCTATCTGTTCCACTGACGTAAGGAGCACCAGAACACTTTGACCACATGGCTTTACAACCACACTTCTGATGTCAGGCTGTGTGGGTGTGGAGTGGGGCATTTTACAACTTCCCACATTCCCAATGCACCCGCAGCAGCCTACTCAGGATTTGGGGCGGGGGAAGGAGCCACAGAAAGGCCTTTTGCTCACCCTGCCATGATGGACCAGGGAAGTGAGTCCTATTGGTACTGGGGCACTGAGGTCTAAATCACCCGAGCTCCTAGGAGTGCTTGGGGGAGACCCTGACGGGAATCAGGAGGAACTGAGGATGGCGGCTCCTGGTGGGCCAGCATCACTAACTCCAGGCAAGGCCTAGCAAGCAGAAATGCAGACACACCTCCGGGAGGCCTTGCAGAGAGACAGCACCTCAGGTGCACAGGACGAGGAGCAGGGCTTTCCTAGGGCGGGGGCAGTCAAGGGGGCGTGGCATGTAGATTCTATTTTGCAGGTAAACAGGGCATCAGGTGTGATGGCTGGGTTGGAAAATGGTGTTTTCTTACTTAGAAGCCAATGCAGGGCCCCTGAGCCTCCTCTGCTGGGCAGGTTGGAGGCCAGGTCCCTCGCTGAATGACAGAGCCGGCAAAGTCTGCAGGTAGAAGACTACTCCAAGGCACCCAGTGGACCGACGGTGGGCGTGGCTTCCGTGTCAGCCTCCAGGGGCGTTGGGGACCAACGTGCACTTCTGCTGCAGGTTGTGGTTTTGCTTCCTCTCATCTCCACCCCCAGTGCCAAACAGGTGATGGTCACTTCTCCCTTTCTCCCAGTTACTTCCCCTCCCCAGTCAACACAGGAGCCAGCCAACTCAGGTGGGGCGCTGTGGGGGTGCCCTGCACCCTAGGATTGGAGGGGCCTGCTCCTTCCCCCACCCACAGCTCCGAGATTGTCTACTGGTGACCAGGGCATTCTTAATTCGGGTTGACCACCTCTAGTCTCAAACTCCAAAATGCTCTAATATTTGAAGTGTTTTGAGCCCTGACCTGATGTCCCAAGTGGAAAGTTCCAGTCGGTGAAACTTTGTTTCCGTCACAGAATTATTAAAAACATACCGTGTAAAATTACCTCCAGGCTCTCTGTACAAGATCCACACGACGCGGAAGTGAATTCTGTGTTTAGGCTTGGGTTTCATGGCCAGGATAACGCATTATCGGTGTGCGCATATTCCAGAACCCTTCCCCCCAGAAATCCGAAATCCAAAACAGCTCTGCTCCAAGCACTCCAGGGAAGGGATGCACAGCCTCTCCTGACTTGCCTGCCTCGCCTCCCCGTATCTCAGGCACCTTCCACTTACTGTTCGGCTGGGATGTAGCCATCCACCAGCGGACTGCACTCCACGCCGGCCACCTTCACGTGGGAGGCGATGTCCCGGAACTCCAGGCCCAGGTTCTCCCCACGGATGGTGACCTTGGTGCCCCCTTCCCGGGGGCCTGTCACTGGGATGATCTGGAGGGAGGAAGACAGGGGACAACTCAGACCCTGACACACAGCCCTTGCTCAGCTGCAGGGGAGCTGGGACAAGCTGCTGGCTCCTCTGTCGCCTGAGCCCGATTCCCTGAAGGGGCCCAAGTTCACCAGGGCGCCCCAGGCCTAGGACGTATCCACAGGCACTGGCTTTGGGTAAAGCAGTCAGTGTGTGTTTTTGTGTGGTCCTAGAAGAGAGTTCAAAGCCTCTGGTGCATCTCCCACTGTGCGGAAGAGACTAGCGGTCGGGATGTGACCAACAGTACTACTGAGTACTGTGTAGAAGATCAATGTGAGAGCTGCTGGTGCTTGGTTCTACGGGATCTACTCTCAGGGAGAAGACAGTACCAACGTCAGCCCTGAGCCTCCACCCCACGGCGATCCCACCCGTGGACACCGCAAGACCCACTCCCGTGCCACTGCCACATCACCAGGCTGCTGTCTCTGTCCCCACTGGAATTCCAAGACCCTCGTTGGCTCCTTTCATGGCAAGGCTCATTCCTTCCTGCTTCTCCTTTCTACCCTGGGGATCTGAGTCTGTGAGCAGGGACGCTGTCTCCCTCCTGTGGCTCCTTCAGTGGCAGCCCGGTCTGTGTGTCCCGGGTTGTGACTGTGGGAAGCCACAGCTCCCCGGGCACACGGGAGTGTCCGTCACAGCCCAGTGCCTCTGTTGCTCACCTCCATTTCTGAAGGAGCTGGGCTTGGTTTTGACTTCACCCTTGCATGGTGGTCAAAACGCCTGGTGTCCCTTCCCCAGGTGTCGCGGTGTTGCACACCCGTGGTTGGAATGTGAAGACCCAACCACCAGGGGCACACTCTGCACACGGTGCATACTGTGAGTGCTGCCGTCTGACCGTGACCCCCACGGCTGACAGACCAGGCCAGGGGGCTTTCCCACCTCTAGCCCATAACAGCCAGTCCTACTCTCCCTGCACTGCTAGGATCACAGCTGGGTTCCTTCTTGGGGTGAGGGTACAAGATGGGGTTATGAAAGATACTAGGCTGTGGCCACCTGTATGCCGGCATTCCCTATCAGCAGAGCACTGGTTCAAGTCCTGGCTGCCCTGCTTCCAATCTAGCTCCCCGCTAAGGCACCTGGGAAAGCAGAAGATAGCCCAAGTGCTTGGGCCCCTGCCACCCTGTTGTGGCCATTTGGGGAGTAAACCAACAGAAGGAAGACCTCTGTTTGTCTGTCTCTCTCAGTTTGCCTTTCAAATAAATAAAATAAATCTTTATTAATAAAAAAAAAGGAAAGACACTAGGCTGGGCAGCTTTGCAGCGGAAGGCTCCCACCCGCCTCCTGTGTGTTTGTGAGTGAACAAGTGCACAAGTGTGATGGCCACAGACTGTGTTCCCATTGCAGTGGGAAGACAGCTACCTACGAGACACAGACCCTGACCTGCATGGAGGGGGTGACAGATGCGGGGAAGGTGGAGAGGGGAGTCAGGGTTCCTCGCCAATGCCTGCCCTGACAGTCTCCAAGGTCCCGGCACTTGGCCTCAGCCCCCCGCATGGTGTCCAAGCCTGGGCTCCCATCCTGAAGGGGCAGGTCCCCCTGTGGCCCAGGGTCCGCCAGAAAGCCAAAGCCAGCACGGAGGTGGGAAACACCCTCCATGGCAGGGAGATCTGCTTAATTTTCCATCTCCTTCCTGTGATTTTCTCGGATGCAGTCCAAGAAGAAAGCAAGTCCCAGGGGTTGCACCTGATGCACCAGGAGCTGCCATGTTCAGCAGCTTCTGCGGTGGCTTCGGGTTAGGGGAGCTGGGAACAGCAGTTCCTTGAGCAGGTGCAGGGTGGGGGTGGGTGGCTGGAAAGGTGGGAGGGGCTCAGTCCGGGTGTGTCCAGCTGCCCTCCTGCTCCAGGTCATTCTGTTGCTTGTGCTGCCAATACTCCCCCCGGTTTAAGAGTCACTGCTTACATCCCTGTCCATGCAGCAGGCTGAGAGCAAACTCCCAGTGTCTATGCAGTCAGGAATGTGAAGGGGAAGCGGCTGGCATGTGGGGTATGTTCTGAGGGCCATGCCAGGGGCTGTTCCCTCCACAAAGGCCAGACCCCTGTGCGTGTGCACTGTATGTGAGAGGCTGTTGTGAGACTCACCACTGCAATGTGCAGGAGCAGGAACTGGGGGACCAGGAGACTCAGGGCTCAGAACCGTGTCATTTCCACTTTGCTTAGCATCACTGTCTCTGTGAGCCTTGGTTCCCACCTGGGAAAGGGTGATGATTACCCCGGCCTTGGTGGGGAGGGGCTTTACAGGGTGAAATGTGTCCCTCCCAACTCACAGGTGGAAGCCCTAACCCTCAGTGTCTCGTATTGTGGCCTCCTTTGGAGATAGGGACTTTACAGAAGTAGCTTGAAGATTTATTTATTTATTTATATTATTTATTTTTGAAAGGCAGAGTGACAGAGGGACACAGAGAGCTGCTGGTTCACTCCCCCAAATGTTTACAACAGCCAGGGCTGGCCCAAAGCCAAAGCCAGGAGCCAGGAACTCCATCTGGGTTTCCTAAATGTGGCCAGGGCCCCAAACACTTGGTCCATCTGTTTGTTGCATTCCCAGTAACATTAGCAGAGAGCTGGATGGAAAATGGAGCAGCCAGGACTCAATCAGCTTTCCTATGGGATGCTGGCCTTGCAGGCAGAGGCTTAACCGGCTATGCCACAAGGCCAGCCCCCTTACAGAGGCAGTGAAGTTTAAGGGAGGCTATTAGGGTGAGCTTTAGCCCATAACCGGTGTCCTCATAAAAAGAATTTGCACACATGGAGATGTGCACAGGAGAGAGGATGGGACGAGCCTGGGGGACGATAGGGTCGACAAGCCAAGGAGACAGGGCTGGATGGCTCCTTCCTCTCTGCCTTGCAAGGAGCCAGGTCCTCCTGACCCTGACCTTGCAGAACTGAGACCCTGAGCGCCTGGTGTTCACACCACCTGATTGGTGGCGCTTCTTTACTGCAACCCTGGGGACCTACTCTAACGCTAACGGGGCTGAGGGGAAGACTGATGGAGAAACTGTGCAGCCCCAGATACATGGCCCATACCCATCTTCTCCACAGCCTCTGCCCTGGGGTCCCCCTGAACCAAGCTCAGATCCACTCTACTTCTGCCATCTCTCGGCTTCTGTTTGGCTTTGGGTGAGTCCTGAGGCCTCTCTGTCTCTCCACCTCCCCATGGCTGGGCTCTGTCCCCTGGACCCCCACGGCTGAATGCCCAGTGAGGCGGCCACTGATGGAGACTCTCGGAGACACAGACAGACGGCAGCAAGGGCGGAGCCCGTTTGGACACAGGAAGGGAAGGGCTGTGAGGGAAAATGAGAGGCATCCAGGTCCAGTGGGGACCACAGGGGTGACCACCTGATGGCCACACGTGGCTGGCAGGGACCCCAACCCCCTGGCAGGGCACGGCTCCCGGCCCCAGCTTACCTCTGTGATGCGAGGGTTCGTGCACTTGCTGTTAGCACCTGACAGCTCCAGCCACCGGCTCTCGTGGGCAGGACAGTGCTGGCGCAGGGTGCACTGGCCGGGGCCCTGGCACCAGCCGCACTCGAAGTCGGGGTCAGCCTTGAGGCACAGCCCGCAGCTCTGGCGCATAGCTCCACACTTGTAGAGGTGAACTGCAGGGGGCACAGGCAAGAGGCGCTTGGGGGTGGGGTGGGGACAGGAAGGGGCTGGGGTGAGGGCACCCAGGGCATCCTGCTCTGCTTAGGTCTTCTGAGGCAGAGAAAACCAAAGAGAAACTCCATGCCTGAGCTGGAGAACTTGACAAGGGAGGCCATGTGTCCCCAGCCACACTCGGCAGCCCTGGGGCTCCTCATTCCACTCCCCTCCCCTTCCAGAAGCTGCGAGCCCAAGCTGAGCCCACCTCGAAGCCCAGGAGGGAACAGGGAAGGGTGGGCAGTGGGGAGGCTGTGGAGGAAGGGCTCCGAGGCCAGCGGAGGGCCAGCCAGGAGAAGGCTGGGGTGGGGGAAAGATGACCCCGTACCTTTGTTCTGAGCCGGATTGTCGATGGTGAAGTGCCCGTTCCACACGACCGTCAACTCCACGGGCAGGTTGTTGATGCCCATGCCTTCGTAGGAGTACTGCCGCCATGTGGAGGGAAAAGGAGAGAAGGAGGCTGTGTCACAGGATGTCCAGGGAGGGCCCGAGTGCTCCAGCAGGGGCTGAGGACTGTGAAGACCTGGATACACATGCACCCGTGGATGGGCAGGGCAGGGAAGCAGGGGGTCTGGAATGTAGGGTGGGGGTGAGGCCAGGCCTCTGTGGCACACCTGTGTAGGTGCACACCTATGCAGATGCATATCCACACACATGCTGGTTTAAGGGGCAGAGTGGCACAAGCCAGGTATTCACTCCCCATGGGTCTCCATGAGGAGGCTGTGAGCAGGAGCCTGGACGTGCCCACCCTCCATGCCCGACAGTGGGCCCACCCTGAGATGTCTAACCAAGGGAGGGGATATTTCCTTCCAGACCGCCCCAGGGACACCAGCCACGAGACCAGGAGCTGTAACTTCCAGGAAATGTTCAGGGTGTATGGGACCTTCCCAGGAGCCTGGATCGGGACCCCCAATTCACAGGCAGACTGCGTGTCTGCAGAGAGAAGAAATGAAGGGGCTCTGTGCTGGGGGGATGTGAGGCTGGGGTCTGGGTAAGAGGAGGAGCCAACGGGAGCTCAGAGGAGAGATGGGAAATCCCGAGGGGACCCAGGAGGACAGGCCTGGGGGTCTGGGCTGAGACGCTGGGGCCCTCACTGGCTCCAAGCCAAGCCCGCCCAGTCCAGCCTCCTGCTGGGCTGCTGCCCTTGGTGGGGGATGCCTCAGGCCTGTGCTCCTGCCCAGCTCCCCTTGGGACCTGATGCTACCAGCTGAGGGGTGGGGGGAGGCAGCCCCCAGACATACCAGCCTCTGACAACAGAGGCCCCTCGGTGCTCAGGGGAAAGAGGTGAGTGAGGCACTCAGAGCCAGCCCTGGGGCAGCGCTTCCAGGTCCTACCATAGGGGTTTGCTGGCTACCCCACTAGAAATGCTGGCCACAGGGCTGGGATGCAGGAGTGGGGCCGAGACGTCCAGGGCTCTTGGTGTGAGGTTGTGTTTACAGAGCCAATGGCTCTTTGAACTCCGTGTTATGGTTTGGAGGGGCTGGGCCTGGGGGTGTTGGCTGACGCTATCCTGCTGTAGGCGTGGCACCTTCCCTGAGTGAGGGGACAGCCACACTCATCGGGAGTGCCCAGCCTGGGCAGACACCTAGGGGCCTGCTGTCTGTGCACCAGCCTCTGGGCAGGAATAGGTCTGTGGCCTGCTTGCAGAAGCTTCTACAGACACGTGGAAACCTTCAGTCCAGGAGGTTCCAGTGCTACAGAGTGCACACCGAGGCGACCATGCGGTGGCCGTGTGAGTTGGACACATGTCCATGCTTCTCTACACTCTGCCCTGGGCTCCAGCATTGCAACATAACTGCCTGGCAATGCATGCCCATGACACTGGTCTGTGCCACCCACACCCACACCAGCTCTCTCTGGTGGCCAAGGCCACTTGGACCTAAGCACAGAGCCACCTGGCCCTGCAGACACCACATTGGACTCTCCGACTGTCTATGACTCTGTCAGCAAGACCTCCCCCAGCCCCCTTCATCTGCAGAGGTCACATCCCAAGACCCCCAGTGGATGCCTGAAACTGTGGCTAGTACTCAGCTCAAGATACACTATGCTTTTTCCTATACATGCACACCCAGAATAAAATAGAAAAATCAGGCACAGGCCGAGATGAAGGACAATAGCAGAACACGGATGACTGCCACATACTGTGAACAATTCTGTTCTGCTCTCTTGATCTGATCACCCAGGGGGCTTCTGCGATTACGGGGCAGGAGAGCTACACAGAGTGGACACACTGGATGGTGGATGGGTGAGGTACACAGCGTGGACACACTGGATGGTGGCCGGGGGAGGTACACAGAGTGGACACGCTGGATGGTGGCCAGGTGAGGTACACAGAGTGGACACACTGGATGGTGGCCGGGTGAGGTACACAGAGTGGACACACTGGATGGTGGCCGGGGGAGGTACACAGTGTGGACACACTGGACGGTGGATGGGTGAAGTACACAGAGTGGACACGCTGGACGGTGGCCGGGGGAGGTACACAGAGTGGACACGCTGGACGGTGGATGGGTGAGGTACACAGAGTGGACATACTGGATGGTGGATGGGTGAGGTACACAGAGTGGACACACTGGATGGTGGCCGGGTGAGGTACACAGAGTGGACACACTGGATGGTGGCCGGGTGAGGTACACAGCGTGGATACCCTGGACGGTGGATGGGTGAGGTACACAGAGTGGACATGCTGGACGGTGAATGGGGGAGGTACACAGAGTGGACACGCTGGATGGTGGCCGGGTGAGGTACACAGAGTGGACACCCTGGCCAGTGGCCAGGTGAGGTACAGTGTGGACATACTGGATGGTGGCTGGGTGAGGTACACAGCATGGACACACTGGATGGTGGCCGGGTGAGGTACACAGTGTGGACACACTGGATGGTGGCTGGGTGAGGTACACAGCGTGAACACACTGGATGGTGACCGGGTGAGGTACACAGAGAGGACACACTGGATGGTGGTTGAGTGAGGTATACAGCGTGGACATGCTGGACAGTGGCTGGGGGAGGTACACAGAGTGGACACGCTGGATGGTGGCCGGGGGAGGTACACAGAGTGGACACACTGGATGGTGGCTGGGTGAGATACAGTGTGGACACGCTGGACAGTGGCTGGGTGAGGTACACAGCATGGACACACTGGGCAGTGGGCTGAATCCCTTCCCATTGGGACAGCAAGATGGTCTGCCAGTCCATCAGGCCACTCAGAATGGAGTGCAGTTAAAAACCTACCAACAGTTTGCTTCCAGGATTTCGCATTTGTTGTCTTCAGGCTGCAGTAGACCTCGGTTAACTGAACTGCAGCAAGTGAAGCTGGGGTGGGGGTGGGGAGCTGCTGTAACCACCCTCCCAGAGGCAAGTCTGACCCCTGGGCAGGCGGGCTTGTCTGTCCCACGTGGTCCTGAGTTTTCTCACAAAACCACTGCTACTCTAGACTGGTGGCTCCTGGGGTCTGTGAATCCTTATGTCAGAGTCAAGGTCAAGATCAAGGTCAAGATGCAGAGTCCAGGCCCTGTCCCTGAACTGCTGAGTCAGGCTCTGGAGACAGGGAGCACCTGGGGAGAGCCCCCTCTGTGGTCCTGGTCCTGGCTGAAGCTGGGGCATCCCCATGACGTACCCAGGGGAGGGGGTGGTGTGGAGGGGAGGCTGAGAGCACTCACTGAGGGCCAGAGCACTGCCTCCCACAGCCAGGCCGGGGACCTTCCCATCCCTTGCCTCCTTAGAGGCCCCAGTGGGGAGAGGCCATCAGCCAGAGAGCTCCAGGTAGCACTGGCCGCTCCAACCCAGGATGCGCACCTTCTCATCACCCGGAGGCTGCACTGGGGGACCAGGGCAGAGGTCCAGCCTTGCCGGGGGAGGCCAGTGGTGGCTCAGGCAGGACTGGAGCCCAGCGTCTGCCTCCCAGGCCTGGTCTAGCCAGAACCCTAAGGGGAAGCGGCAGGTGGTGATTAGAGTCTTCCTGGCCCTCTTAGGAAGACAATTAATTCTGCAGGTGCATGTGGGTGGGGCCGAGGTGCACACCTGCGTTTACATGCGTGCTGGCTGGGAAGAGGTTACCGCACACACTGGTATTATCTGTGCATCCACAAATGCACATTTGTGTGCACTCACACTCACACACACACACACACACAGAGTGTGTTCTGCCAGCCACCAGCTGTGTGAACTGGAGCAAACGATCCAAGTCTCAGTTTCCCCATTTGCAAAGCGGGACTGTGAAGCAGCCCACGCCTCCGGGGACCGCTGTGAGACTTGGAGAGAGCGTGTGCTGTGCTCCAAACACGGTGTCTGTCACGTAGTCTCAGCGCTCCAATGTTTTGTGTATTTCAATCCATGTCTACACACTTGGGGTGCTCTGCAAAACGGTGTTTATATTCCCTGTGTTTACGCTTCTGTGTATGGAGTGCTTCTGTGCCAGACACTTGGTGCATATGGGGTTGTACGCATATGAGAGCCCGCTGTGCTGGTGTGTGTGTGTGTGTGTGTGTGTGTGTGTACACACACGTGTGTATGTGGAGGTGAAGAATTTTTAAAGAAAATTGCAAATAAAAGGCTTTGAGGACCAAATACTCTGATAGCATTTTCTGCCCCCCCACCCCCATTTCTGAGACCAAACCATGAAATACTACAGAAACCCAGACCCCGGGTGCTCCCTGCCGCCCTCCCTGTCTCTAGTGAAGTGGCTGGGTTTTTAAGAGTCCCTCTTTCTGGACAAAGAGACCTGCACCCCACCTGGGGGTGCAGGCAGGGGCTCCCCTGCAGCAGCTGGGGGAGTGTGGACCCCCATGCCCTGCCCCGCTCAGCACTTACGAGGCTCTCTGCTGCCGGCACGTCATGAGCTGCATGGAGCCCAGTGCTGCGTGGCAGGGGGGCTACAGGCTCCTGGAGCCCAGGAGGCGAAGCTGCCCAACCAAGGTGTGGCACACCACGGCTGTGCTGACGGATGACTTCACCCGTTACCTTGGGAAAGGGTGAACCTCAGCCTCTCCTCCTTCTAAAGCAGAGAGAAGATCCATACAGCTGAGACCCTCCTTCGGCCAAGCACTGCTTGGTCGCCAGTGCCAAGGCCCTCTGCTGGGAAGTTCTACCATCTGGGCCAGCAGGTCTGAGAGGCTACGCAGGGAGCCAGGCGGTGAGACAAAAAGAAAGACAGACAGAGCTTCCATCTGACAGTTCACTCCCCAGATGCCCACACAGCCAGGGCTGGGCCAGACCACAACCAGGCGCTGGGAACTCAGTCCAGGCCTCCCGCATGAGAGCCAGGGACCCAAGGACTTGAGCCATCATCACCCGCCTGCTGGGATGTGCATTAGCAGGAAGCTGGAATAGAAGAGGAGTAGCTGGGACCTGAACCCAGTCCATTATGGGCCAAATGCCTTTGTGCCACATGGGGTGCACTAAAGCACCAAGAGAAAACCAGAGGCCAGTGTGGGTCCAGGGAAGCTTGGCCTGGAGCCCCAGGCCCTGTTGAGCAGAGCACCAGCCAGCCAGCTGGCCTTTGGGCACTCACTGGCCACGGCCAGCCACAGAGGTGGTTGCTGGGCGCTGTTATTAGCCGCACCTGATGTTTTGCTGATGCCTTGATCTAGAGTAGGCCATGCACACCCATGGTGGCTCCCTGCCCCACTCCTGCCCGCGGGGACCCCCTTCCCTTCCCATCTCCCTCGGGAGCTGCAGTCATTGGCCCAGGGCCAGCCCCCAAATAATGGGGCCGGAGAGACTCAGCCTGCCTTGTGCAGCCAGCGTGACGCCCACACGGTAGGCCCTGATTTCCCTGTGCTCTCCTCGGAGAATTCTTTCTGCCCTCACAAACCCGGGGCACTCTCCCTCACAGCCTTTCTCCTCCTCCCATTCCAGATCGCTCGTGGTGTTAGCAAAGGAAACAATCCCCGCCAAGGCTGACCGGTTCCTGCTCCCAGAGATAGCACCAAAGCCAGCGCATAAAGTGCTCAGCTGCTGGTTCCCCTCCAGTGTCGGCTCAGTGGGCATGTCATGAAACCGAGTTCAAGTTCTGCTGTATGACCTGGGCCTGTCGCTTGCCCTCTCTGTACCCCAGATACCCCCCCCCCCTCTGTAACAGGATGATGGAGAGACTCCCCCAGGTGTCTGGTCCTGCCTGACAGTGTCTTATTCTCTGCGACCTATAGCCCTTGGATTATGACCCCAAAACTTTCTTAAGGAAGTCAGTTGGTGGCAGGCAGTGCCCTGGCCCGGACCAACAAAACACAGGGGTCCCATTGCTTCCCCTGAAGACAGAGGCTCAGGGCTAGCCCTGTGGCACAGCAGGCTAAGCCTCTGCCTGCAGCATGAGCATCCCATACAGGCGCTGGTTCGAGTCCCAGCTGCTCCTCTTCTGACCCAGCTCCCTGCTGATGGCCTAGGAAAGCAGCAGAGGATAGCCCAAGTGCTTGGGCCCCTGCACCCACATAGGAGATCCAGAAAAAGCTCCTGGCTTTGGGTTGGCTCAGCTCCAGCAATTGTAGCCATTTGGGGAGTGAACTAGTGGATGGAAGACCTTTCTGTCTGTCTCTCCCTATCTCTGTCTATAACTCTACTTCCCAAATAAAACCTTTTTTAAAAATTTTGAAGAAGATAGAGGCTCTTGGGAAAAGTCAGAGCAGAGCCCTCCTGAATCGTGGGACTCCAGTGGGTCCTGGTGGGGCCAGGGGGCCCCTCTCCTCTTGTCTCAGTTTCTCGGACTTGAAAATAGTAGAGAAACAAGCTCTCCGATGACTGGGGGTGTGGAAATGACTAAGTCCCCAGGGAGCCGTCACCTGGAGGCACCCAGTTCTGGTCTGCAGCAGGTGAGGAGGCCGCAGGCTGCTGCTGAGACCTCGGGGGCCAGTGTGCAGCCGGCTGCTCCCAAGTGCTCAGGGGTGGGTGGTCCCGTCCTCAGTGGTGACAGCCTCAGGCTTGGGGCCTTCAGCCTTGCTGTCTCCTCTCTCCACTGCCCCTGGAAGCAGACCTAGAAGGGCCTGAGTGAGCCCATGCACTCAGGAATACTCGGGCCTCGGAAGCAGCAGTGACTGTTGGGCCCTGGGGTGTCAGCTTTCCCGATGGGAATCCCAGACACGAGGTGCTGTGGGACCAGCAGACTTCTAAGGGCCCCAGAAAGCAGAAACCCATGTGGTGCCCATCCTCGTTCCAACCTCAGCCATTCCAGGGGGAGGCCACCACAGAGGAGGGGCGGCTTGCACCTGCCCAGGGCTGCCCAGATCCCCCTGCGCCTTTGTTCACGGGATGCCGGCTCCCATATTTGGGGTCCCCTGTGCCCACTGAGGGCTCCCTTATCAGGTGGAGGACATTGCAGCCCAATGGGCCTCTGATCCAAGGCAGTGTAGAGGATGACAGAAGGCCCCAGTGAGCCTTGTGGACTGTGAAGTTGGCCCCCGGGGCACAGAGGGAGCTCCAGTGAACTCGCATTAATTCCTGGGGTACCTTTGTCTGGTTAACCGAGGCAGCCAAAGCATGGGGCCCAGGGCGATGTCTGTGCCCCGCTGCGGGGAGCCCAGAGTGTGGCAACTGAGGCTGCAGACTCTGTCCTCCCTCCTTAACCCTCCCTCCAGGGTGCGGCTCCTCCCAGGAACCCTGGCCGTTTTCCCCAGGGTCTGAAATCCCCGCTTGTGTCTCGGAGTGCGAGGTGGGGCCCAGGTCTTTTCTCTCTGCACAGGGACCTTGTTTGGGGAGATTTACTTGAGCCAAGCCCACGGGGCTTGTCTGCCTGGCCTCCAGAATTTACGAGGAAGCGAGAGGTGTTCAATATCACCCCTGGCAGGCAGGTTTAATCCAGATCCCTGCAGAAATCTGAGAAAAAAAAAAAAAAAAAAAACCTTCCTGGCTGCTGGGGGAGGCGGGGCGGTGCCCAGCGGAAGCCGGGGGAGGGGGTGACAGGTTGGGATTTTTGTCCCTGGGATGCTGAGCAGCCTTAAGCAGGTGTATGGGCCACCCCGAGCCCTCTTCCTCCAGGCTGCTCTCCTGCTCCAAGAATGGGGAGTTCCGGTGAAATCCTTTGTCTGCAACTCCCCTGGAGGTCCCCCATGACACCCTCAGATACAGTCACCATGTAGGAGTGGGGCCCAAGTGCAGCCCAGCCACACCTCATACCAGCTGTGTGACTTCCAGCGAGCCACTCAGCAGGTGGGCAGGGGAAGGTTACCCCAGAGTGGGCGGAGCTCCAGCTTCAGGGCCTGATCCTACCTGCACAGCCTCACAGCCCACGCTGCAGCCCTGACATCACACTTTGACCTTAAAGATTCCTAGACTGCACGCGACTGGGTCCCCGAACCTAAATCTGTCCCTGGTCCCAGGCCCCGATCTTCTGATTTTGCACAGTAAAGAACTTGAAGGTTTTTCTCTGCACCTTGCAAATGTTAGGAGTCAAGAAGTCTGCCCACTCCTGGATCATGAGCCTGGGAAAGCAGCAGCAGATGTACCGAGGACTGAGTCCCTGCCACCCACGTGCCAGACCCAGATGGAGCTCCAGGCTCCTGGTTTCAGCCTGGCCCAGCCCTGGCTGTTGCGGCCATTTGGGGAGTGAACCACCGGATGGAAGCGCTCTTTGTCTCTCCCTCTCCCTCTCTGAGTCACTCTGCTTTCCAATAAATAAATAAACTCAAATACAAAGGAGTCCCATCTTTGTCTCTGCGCACCTGGATGCACAGCCAAGAGCCCAGAAGCACTGGTGACACCAGAGCGGGAGCTGGGAAGGCAACATAGTGACGAGGGCAAGGAGGGCAGGCAGGGTGACGCGCACGGCTAGTCTTCTCGGGCAGCCTGGGGCAGCCAAGCCCTTCCCAACAGAGCCTGGGCTCAACGTGGCTTTCTGAGCACTGGGCAGGGCCAGAGCTGATCTAAGCAGCGCATTCCCGGTCAGCTCCCTCCGCCAGCAGACAGGGCTCAGCGGTCCCTCGGCTGGTCCTGCAGCCCCTCCTCCCGACAGGGTTGCCACTAGGCTCACACACCCTGGGGGGCTGCAGAACCCGGCACAGCGCTGGGGCCCGTGCGAGGGCACCGAGGGTGTACGAGGAGGGTAGAGCAAGCAGGTGGGTAGGGAGAGGAAGGGATCTGCAGAGCGGGGCCTGGGGGGAGGCACGGGGCGACTCACAGACGTGTTCTGGCACTGCACGCTGGAGCTGTTGAAGCGCAGGGCGGGCACCCTCTGCTCGCTGCCCTGGATGGTGAGGATGCACTCGTAGCCGCGCTGCCCCGACTGCGGCTGCGGCAGGTTCTTGGCCTTCAGGGTGATGGGCTTGATCACCTCCACGGGCACCAGGATCTTGTCCACGCGAAGCAGCTGGGGGCAGTCCTGGGGGCAGAGGGCACAGCTCAGGTCGCACGCCGCCGGGAAGCCAAAGGGGCAGAGGCCTCTGCAGACACCCCTTCCCCACCAGGCTCCATGCTGCTACCTCCCCCAGACACGCCCTAGGAGGCCCAGGGCTCTCAGGAATGGGGCAGGGAAATCCCTGGGGAGGAGGGGGCTCACAGTGTTGGGTCCACCCTCAGGTTCCTTTCAGTGCCTCCCCCTGCACGCCTGAGTCTCTGACACTGTTGCCATCTCCTACCAGCCTAGCAAGACTGCTGCTGCTGGCAGGCACCCATCCCATGGCCACTGACGGCCTCCTGGCCTGCTACATTCCAGGTGGCCAAGACTCGGGGCTGGTGGGCTGCGTGGGACGGTCCACAGGGAGGCAAGGCCCTGGGCCTCAGCTCTGGCTCTGGCCCACAGCGGGCAGGGCCAGGGGGGAGTCTTCCGTACACGGGTTAAGTCTGGCACTTAGAATATTCTGGAATGGGCTCCAGAAGTCTGCTGAATCCAGAAGCTTCTGATGAGCTCTGGGGATGGGCTGACCCCAAGGAATTGCCCCTCAGAGCAGAAACACACCCAGCTGCTCTTAGCTGCCAGCGATGGGCACGCCCACCCCTGGAGCCACGTGGGGTGGGGCCTCTGGGGAGGGAAGGGTTAAATCACCCAGGCCACAAGCTCTGTCCGGGGACGACCTGGGAGAGAAGGGGGCTGCAGCAGGAGGGGGTGCTGTGCCCGATAGAGAGGTGGAGCTGCTGGGGCACCTGCTGGCAGTCAGTATCTGGGCCTGACTGGCGTGGGCAGGAGCGAGGCCTCGGTGTCCCTGGGCACACAGAGAGAGCCCAGCCTCGGGCAGGCTGCCATGGGGCCCGCATCCCTGCTGAGGACGCCTCGTCACAGGCTCACAGGTGACTCTCGGCAGAGACTTCCTCCTTCCACCGGGCCCGTCCCAGGCGAGGAAGGCAGAACAGAAGCCATGGTGGCAAGGAGACCAGACAACCCACAGCTGTCGCTCCCGGGCTCCTAAACAAGCACAAACCGAACAGCTCTCTGGGGCCACGGAAAGCTGCACCCTAACAAAGCTGGCCTAGAGCCTGCTTCGGTTCCTGAGCCTGCCATGGGACCCGGAGCCCACGACAACCCGACTCCGACACTCGACCTCCTCATCGGTCGACTGGGTGGGACTCCAGGGCTCCGCCCATCTCACCCAGCCGTGAGGCATGCTTGGGGGCGGCAGTCTCTTCTGTCCTGGCCATGAGAACAGAGGACAGGAAAGGAGGTGGGGAAATAGCAGAAAGAAGGGAGAAGGGCAAGGAAAGCTCCAAGGGACGCTTGGAGAAAGAGAGGGAGCCAGAGGACCGAGGGCCCTGTCTCCACCCCAAGCCATTGACCTCTGCGCCCCCCAGCCTCCAGGCCGCCACACCGTGGCTCTGAGGAACAGCTGCACCCCTCCGGGTAACCCCTGGAGAAAGGGACGCAGAGACTTGCACGGCTCTTTGCACTCCACAGCTCACGTGTCTGTGGATGGATGCCCGGCCAGCACACACGCACACACGACGGAATAGTAAGCAGCCAGGAAGAGCAAGGACGTCCCGACGCAGGCTCCCTTGCCCTCCCCAAGAGTCGCACCCAGGCTCCTTGGGAGTCGGCTGCTGAGTCTTGACTGCCAGTGGGCCCGGGAAAGCCACAAAAAGGTCCGTGGCTCTGGGAGCAAGTTTTTCAACCATAACTGGGGAGGCCCTGGGGCGGGGCTGGGCTGGGCTGGGCAGCTTTGCCTCTAGTGCCGCTGCTCATGACCCCAGTGCCCCTGTTAAATGAAAAGTAAAATGGCACTTCCTCCCTGGGCAACAAGGCGTTGGCACCCATCATCTCAGACTGCAACCTGCCTCGTGCCAGGACGCCACGTGCAAGACTACCCCCAGGTGCGAAAGTCGCGGGCCACTCCAAAGCCACGTCCTCGCTGCTCCACGCCTCACGCTCGAGGTCCTGGGTTCATGTCCAGGGGTTCAGACCCCTGGCCTGGGTCCTGCCCTTTGCAGTTCCTCAACTAGAGAGAGTCCGGCTGGGGAGCCAGGGGCTGGGGGTCCACACCAGTTTCCCCACGGGCCCCAGTGTCAGGAACAGTGCTCTCCTCATTGATGTCTTCAGCCTCAGTGAGGATCACAATTCCTTCTTGGGTGCACTTTGGGGGATTCTGGGAACGGCCCCTCATGAAGCTCTGGGCACACAGTGAGCTTCAGATGTGGGTTTCTTCCTCCCCTTCCCCCCAGCCCCCTGTTCCCCCACCTCACAACCAAAGGACCCATCTTCCTTGCCCCCGCCCCCTGCGTGCCTTTTCCATAAACACCTGTCAGTGCCCACTGTCACTCCTGCTCCTGCCCCGCACAGGCCTATAAATCCAGTGGCTCCAAGTACCCCAGTGGCCAGGGGGCAGGTAGGGAGGGCCCTGCTGCGCCCACTGCTCCCTCGTCTGGGAGGTGATGTCCTGAAGCTGCAGACTCTGAGACAGGAGACTGGCCAGCACCCAGGTGGCCCTGGGCAGTCCCTCCAGCCCTCTGCATCCCTCACCATACAATGGTGAGGCTGTGGGTGTGGAGCCCCGGGGACACCGGAACATAATAAGAAACAGGTACCCGGCCTCTGACCCTGCTTCTTGGCACGGAGCTTCTAAAACCTTTGGAATTCTTGAGGAGTTGGGGGTGGGGGGCGGGGAGAAGGCTGCAAGTGGACCTGAAGGGGGCGTGGCCTTGTGGGGCTGAGCCCTTGTCCTGTGGGATCTGAGGCTGACTCGGGTAGGCAGAGTCAGAATGGAGATAAACTGTGGGCTACCCGCGGTGGCCTGGAAGAACTGGAGCATTGTTCAGCACGGAGAAAACCTGCACATTTGGTGCCCTGTGACCGATAAGAGAACAGTTTATTTTCCTTTTAAGCCCAGCACTAGCATTCACCTAACAACCAACCTGGACCACATCTCTGTACTTATTTAATCTGTTCGAAGCTCAGTTTTCCCAGCTCTAAAATGGGCACACGAATACCTGCTCAACCAGCCCAAAGTGCAGTATTCAAAATAACCAGGGAAATGAGCACAGAGGGGCTGTGGTGGGGGGGCAGGTGGGCCTCCTGGATGTGCAACTGCCTGCCAGTGACGAAGCGTCTTCCTGTTCTAATAATGGGAGTGTGGCTGCTGATATGGCCGCACGGGTGAGAGGGTACTGGCTCTGGGGGCAGGGTGTGCTGCTGTGGAGACCCTAGGTACCAGGGTTCAGGGGATACCAGGGTTCAATGCAGGGCACACGCCACCTCCTCCACTGCCTTGCACACATCTACCTGCTACCTCCTCTCGGATCTTAGCACGCCTGATCACCTCCACGGTTCGGGATGGAGAAACCCGGGACACCGGCTGCCTCACTCAGTACTCGCAGTGGCTACAAGCACAGTACCTTACCGATCATCTGATCGACTTTACCCACAGCTGGGAGCTGGCCCTGTCCAGAACTCCTCAACACCATACTGCTTGGAACTTCTCAGGGTGCGTATTTTTCCAAACTGACATTTGACAGGGCCAGCTCGTGGAGGACGGGAAACACCTGTACTCCACAGGCTTGCAAGTGCTCACGGTAAGCAGGAGGCTGTGTGTGCCAGTGGCTACAGGGTGCAGGTGTAAGAATGGACTGAGGGGCGGCGGGGAGTGGCAGGGGCTCGGGGCTCCAGCAAACCTTTCATGGCTTGGCAGTAGGGGGTGGCTGCTCCTTGCACATTTTGGTTTCCACTTAAATGCACACAAAATAAATATAATGCATTTTGGTCTCCACTTAAATGCACACAAAATAAAGAAAGTGCATTTTGGTCTCCACTTAAATGTACACAAAATACAGACAGTGCTACTAATTGCAGGGAGCAGGAACTCAAAGCTGAACTCTGAAAGCCAGAGAGATGCCTCTCCGTCCGCCGTGTCCAGCATGTCAGCGGCTGCCTTATACAGAGGTTTCATTGCTGATTTAAATAATTGAACAAGGACATAAAGAATGCTGCCTGGCCGGGAGAGAAAAGGCTGCCTGCGGGGCTGGGCTGCCAGCAAAGGAGGCGGAGGTGGTGGATTTACAGCCCCCGGTGTGTTTACAAGATGAGAGCTCTAATTCTCCGAGTGGAGTTGTTACAGCCCAGAGTGAGGAACGGGAAGCTCACAGAGAGGGAGCAGAGCCTGGGCAGCTGAAGAATAATAATATATAATATATTATATATTATATAATATATAATATATAATAATAATAATATGCAGGTCATGTCTCCCCACCCCCAATCACTTTAGCCTCCAGCAATTCCAGAGACCAGCCAGCCCCAGCCACACCGGTCCTCTAACCATACGCGCTCACCTTCTCGGACCTGCGGCGCCCAATACACAAATGTCACGCGCCATATATTCTCTTGCTGTTCTCTGAGTTTATAATGCCATTAGCATGATCTACGATGGGCTGGTTTATGGAGAGTGAAAGTAATAATATAGAGAGGAAGTACCCAGAACCTTAGGGGGAGGGGCAGCCCAGACAGATGGAAAGAGAAGTTGTCTGGATAATTGAATACCCAGGGTAGGGGGTGGTGCCTGGCTTAGAGACAAGTTCTCTAAGCTGGGTCTGGGCTTGGCTTGCTCGAAGGAGGGTGAAGGACATGGCAGGTGGTTTTGTTCCCTTGGATTGGATGCCAAAAATGGCTCTTCTGCAGGGAGGCAGGCAAATCACCAGCAAAGTGGGCTGGCTGGCTGACCCTCCAGAGCACAGCCGGTGCGGGAATGCCCGTGGCCTGCCCTTGTCTCGGGGCACGGGGAACAGGGCAGTCTGGGACGTTCCCCGCCTTGCAGATCTTCAGGCCCGGAGCAGACTTGAGGACACCATGTCTTGGCTCTGGAAGTCTTCCCGGGTGAGTTGCGGTGGTTGGGATGTTGGGAGAACCTTTCTTCCTTTCTTTCTTTTTTTTTTTTTGACAGGCAGAGTGGACAGTGAGAGAGAGAGACAGAGAGAAAGGTCTTCCTTTGCCGTTGGTTCACCCTCCAATGGCCGCCGTGGCCGGCGCGCTGCAGCCCGCGCACCGCGCTGATCCGATGGCAGGAGCCAGGTGCTTCTCCTGGTCTCCCATGGGGTGCAGGGCCCAAGCACTTGGGCCATCCTCCACGGCACTCCCTGGCCATAACAGAGAGCTGGCCTGGAAGAGGGGCAACAGGGACAGAATCCGGCGCCCCGACCAGGACTAGAACCCGGTGTGCCGGCGCCGCTAGGCGGAGGATTAGCCTAGTGAGCTGCAGCGCCGGCCGGGAGAACCTTTCAAGCACACTTTGTGAATCAAACAGAATTCATTTGCCTCCTCTGATCTTGCAGCTGTTCTCTGCAGTGAGCACTCGGCTGAAGTTCAAGTGGAGAGAGGCGCTCCTGGGACCCTCCTCTCTGAGCCTGAACACCTGCCGGCCGCGAGGCCCTGGCTTTGCCTGGAGAACACAGCATCAGGGCAGCTCACTTTGCTGCCCTTCTCACTTTAGAAGGGGGGAAAAAAAACACAGAACAGTCCCTCGAGGGCAGATTCCTGCCAGTGGATTTGCTTTTCCATGGATGTTCCTGTTGGTTTCCCGAAATCACCGTTATTAAGTGCACAGGCCTGCTGGGACGGCCAGACTGGCCTGTGGAGGAGGAGCAGTGCCGTGCCAAGGGCAGGTGGGGTCGGTGGCTCCTCCAGCTCGGCACAGGGGTGGGCCTGGCTCGGCTGCCCCAGCAGAAGGCCATTCCAATGGGGCGAGAGAAGCAGCCCAGGGTGTGAGAGCAGAAACATGCGGTCACCCCCGTCCAGTGCCACCTCCCCTCTCCTCTCCCTGGTTCTACTCGGTACCTAGGCACTGACGGCTGATGTGGAGATCCAAGGTTGTTATCACAATGCCATCATTAGCTGAAACAAAATCATTCCTTGTAACTGGAATACAGTTACTATAAACGGCATATGTTGTTGGGCACTCTGCTTCTAATCATCGTAATTATGTTATAATACTCCCCATTAATATAATAACAACAATGATCCGCCAGTTCTCCGTTCCAGACCAATAACTTCACCTGAACATGCTCTTTGTTCTGGGGGAAAAAGAGGTAATTCAGCATCCCCGGAGACGGTCGACAAAGCCCGTGTTGGAACTGGGAGACGCACGCAGATGAAAGCATTCCTGGAGGGACACGGTGGTGCTGGCGAAAGCCACCTGGCAGCCTGACCTCTGGCTAACAAGAAGGGCCCTGTCTGCATCCCTAACTCGGAGGCAGGAGGGAGTGAAAACCCAGGGACTTGCAGGTCTTGGCCTGATTGTCCAGGGTAGCTGCAGGCCACGGGGCCGAGCCAGGGTCACTGCCAGGCCAAACTGGGAGACCGAGACCTTGATGTGAGCTCTCCTTGGGCCATTGCTACCTAGCACGATGGAATGTTAGGATCACACAGCCCCACGGCGGCCCCACTGCACGCATCTCTAAATCCAGACCGCCCCAGCTGTCGCTCGGCGTTTCACCTTGCACGGCGCTTTGTCAATGGGAAATGTTCAGAGTCACCAGGACCAACAGCTACTTCCCAGGAGGACAGCAGAGGCTCCTGCCGTGAGCCAGCCCTTCCCGGGTGTGGAGACGCGTGTGCCTGGGGACTGCCACAAAACCAGCTTCCGACGCTCTACTTTTCCTTACTACCCCATACTCCTCCACTGCCTCCTCCCAGACACACCTACAATGCTAAAATAATGGGAAAACGCAGAAAACAAAAGACACAACAAGGAGGTCGTAGTGCACAGCAGACCTAGGGACCTCCCTCTGGGTTTTGAGCAGCATGGCCTCTTTCCACCGCCCCAAAGGGGCTCGAGCAGTCAGCCGTTCACAAAGACGTGTTTGCCCACTTCCCCTGCGGCTCACTCACCAGGGAGCGGGGGCTACAGCACCCTGCTGGCCCACCGGGCGGTGCTCAGCGCTGGCTTTTTCTCCACGGTCACGTTCAAGATGGCCCCAGTACTGACTTGGGTGGATGCGACCTCCAGGATCCTCAGAGCGTCCTGCTCTTAGAATCAGCAGGCACCCAGGCTAAGGCGCAGCCAGAGATCACGCCACGCAACAATGCGACGGGGAGGCACGGGCAACGCCAAGCCACTGTGGGGCCTCTCGCTGCACAGCCTGCCAGCCTCGCTCTAACTGGGCCCGTGTGACAGGGGGAGAACTGTAGGGCAGCGGGGGTAGCTTGGTCCACCTCCATGTCCCTCGATCTGTCTCCGACTCCGTGCCCTTCTCAGGGGCCCAAGGGGCTGTGAGTCCCCGGCAGCCTCTGGCAGGGCCAGGCCCACGTGGTGGGGTGCGGGGACCGCCTTGTAGCTGGGTGCTCCCTGGACCCTTCTAGCCGGATCCTTTCGTGGCTCTGGGGAACGCGGTGCGCCCTTGCTTTACGTTCTACAAGCTCTTTTCTCCCTCTTTCTGAGCAGTACTGATGCAAGTTCCTTTTATACATTTATAAGAAAGAAACTTGGGACGAGAGGAGCACACGGGAAAGAAAGCAGAGAAATCTGAAAACCTCCTTCAAGGTAATTAAATGATGAAGGGCCTTTGAAATCCACCAGATCGGCTTTTATTTTATTCCTGGGCCTCTCCACACATGAAACCTCTGTCTGGAAAGCTGAAGAGAGAGCCTGAATGACCACTTTGTCTCCGCTCCCATGAGGTTATCGGCGGGTTTCAGACACACACAGCCTGGGGACGCTTCTTGGGGCCCTGTCCCCCCCCCCCGCCTTCTGCTTCTGACCCACCCTGAAGGCCCAGGTGGGCTGATAAAACCGCGGCCCGCCGGCTGTCCTGCTCACACCTCGCCTATTCCCTTTAGAGCCATCTGGTCTTTGTGAAAGCTATGAAGGAAACGCACACACACACACACACACAGGAGCCTCCCTTGGGTGCACCTGCTGTCTGCCCTCCCCACGTAAAGGGACAGCCCAGGCCTGGACTCCTTTCCTGATGACAAATCAGAGCAGCCAGCTCCATCCGCACACAGAGGGCAGGTCCTGGGGGAGGGGAGCGGAGGCGCCACAGTCTCTTCCTGTTTTGTTCTGAAACCTGCGAGGTTTGCGTGACCACCTCTCCACACAGAGCCTTTCCTTCTAAGATGAACCGCTCCTTCCTCTCCACCTGTAGAACGGCTGCTCAGCCATCAGATCGCGGGAGGAGCGGGATTTGGGTTCTGGATTTTCCAACAGCTGGGCGTAGGTCAGTCTCGTGTCCCTGTGCCGGGGGCCCACCCAGCAGGTGTTGGGATACATGCGCGTCCGTCCATGTTCCCTCCCAGCCTCAGATACAGCACAGCTCCTCTCCTGCGTGAAGGGTTTGGGCTTCACAGTGGGGTCCAAGTCTGCGGGCAGGGGCAAGGGTCCTGTGATGGGTCCCTCTGTTCTCTGGATGTCCCTGCTGTCCCCTGGACAGGTCTGTGCCCTCACAGCTGAGGGGCTTGCCGCACGGTCAGGGCACCTGCGTGCATGTGTATGTGTGTGTGTGCACGTGTGTGTGTGTGTATGAGGGTTGCTGCGGGGGGGGAGGGGGCGGTGGTGGGGAGGGTCCCGGAGCCTGCCTGGGCCTAGGTTGGCTGAGGGAGAGCAGGCCAGGCTGGCAGCAGCTCTGTGCTACTGTTGGAGAATCCAGCAGAATTCAACCAACGCCGCCTACACTTCAACCTGTGTACCAGTCTGTCGCTCCCTTTGGCTCAAGCACAGCCTTGTGTTCCGATCCACCAGCAGCCCACTGCTGGGGCCACACAGGCTCCTGGGAGCAGCAGACTTTTCCCAGCCGGGGTCTATGCTGTTACTTTCGAAGGCCCCGCCCCCGAGACCCACATTCTAAGAGAGGCAGCGACGGTGGCATAGAAGTGCTTTTACGACGGTGATGGAGAGTTTTCAAGGAAAAGAGCAAACATCAGGAGGGCGCAGGAGGTACTGGCCATGCAGCCTACCTCACCGACCTCCTCCGGGATTCTTCTACTGCTGAGCCCCCGTGTCACCTGGCAGGGCCCTGAGCACCTGACGGCTGAGCCCAGCCCAGGGCTTCCTGCTCAGGGTCCGGGCTGCAGCGCGAGGCGCTGCCTCTCTCGTATGTTCTCAGGTGAGGTGGAGGCTGCTGGCTGGGCACTCACTTCGACAATGCCCTCTGGCGGACGTGCCAGCCACTCTGATTCTTGTTTCCTCTTTCCTTTGACTCAACGTGTCCCCTCTGGTCTCAGCTCTGCCCTGTGACCTAAGCGCTGAGGGACGGCCCCGGATCCCGAACACAGTCCTGCCGAGCACTGACGATGCTGTCACCCTGTCTCTCTGGGAACCCCCCCGCAGGCAGGGGGTTCTCCAGGCTACAGAGACCTGCTCAGAACTCACAGCCGCTGGGCAGGGCTTGGCTTGGTCACTGCCTTCATGCTGTGCGCCCTTCAAGAGCCAGGGTTGGGGAAGAAGGGGTGGTCCCAGGGGTCTCCTGCTGGAGACGACCTCCCCGCAAGCGGCACTCACCACCCCGGGACCTACCTCAGGCAGCTTCACTCGGCCTTCCTGGAAGGAGCATGTCTTGGGGTCGTGGGTGCACATGTGTCGGTATTTGCACCAGTGGCAGCGGTAGGGGCTCTCCACGCACGACAGGCAGCTGGGTGCAGAGGGAAGAGGCACAGATCACAGAACTGGCTGAGCCAGAGTCCAGAACAAAAGACCGGCAGCATCCAGATGAGCCACCCCAGGACGTGCCCAGAGCATATGCAGGTCATCCCTTTGTCCCTGGCCTCCTGACCTCTCAGGCCCAACCCGTTCTCCCAGGGCCTACTCAGTCTCCCTCCATCTCCACAGCCTGGGCCCTTTAGGGTCTGCCACAGAGGGGCGGGTCCAGAGAGACCTAGGAGCTGGGGCAACCACAGCCAGGTTGAAGGTCAACTGCACACGCATCTCAGCTGTCAAGGAGCTGCGTGGGCCCCACCTGGTGGACGAGGCCCGGGAGGCCACCCCTCGGCACGTGGGCTCCCTCTCAGTGGCTGGCCCCAGTCCCACCCTTTCCCCAGCAAACAAAGGCCCCTCCACAACAGCCTCTCACTGCCTCCAAACCCAACGCAGGCCCCTTCTCCCAGGATCCCCAGAGCCCTGCCACCCAGGAGAAGCCCTGCACGGCCCAGGCGCACTGCTCCCCATGGGTTTGGTGCTGCCACCACGAGCAGGCCCCACACTCTGCACCTGCTCTTTTACCATCTGGGGACCCCTTCCTCCACTTGGCCGACTCCACAGGCAAGCCAGGGATTTGAGGGGAGGGGTGTCCCTGTGGCCTGCTCCCGTGATTCTCAGTGCTGCTGATGCCTCTGGGACAGTCTTGGCCTCGTATCCAAGGTTTTCATGGTGCGACTCCCCCACCAGGCCTCATGGAGGGCAGGGCCGAGACTTTGGGTTTTATTCCTTTCTGACTGCTCTGCATCTGAGCACTCTCACCTCTCTGCCTTGCACACAGAGGATGCTGGCAGTCTTCCTGGGGACTGACTGGGAGTGTCACACAGGACCTCACCTGCTGAGTGGAGGAGCAAGTTGGCTGGGAGTGATTAGGACTTCCAAATGGTACAGCCATGGGAGGAGAATGCTGGGGTTAAAGCAACTCATCATGGCTGGGGCTGGGGAGGACTGGACACCTCCTTCCTTAGGGCCCCAGAGAAAGCTCAGCTCTGGACTCACAGGCACTGTGAACTGAGAATCCCACCAGCCCGGGCCCCCAAACATCTGTGGTCACATCGGCAACCCCCCCTGCACAGACAACAGTGCCTTAGAACTGGCAGGGCGCCTGGAGGCCAGGTCCTGTGGTTTCCAAAGTACACTCCAAGGAATCCTGGAGAGGTTTGCGGGGTTCCTGGAGAGAGGGCTTCCCGGCCCCTCAAGCCCTCCTCCAGAGAAGCTCCTACTCCCAACTACTTTGCAGCTTAGGCTTTTCCCCCTGATTCCAGTTGAAGAAAGGTTTCTAAGGTTACAAAAAGATGGCTTACACATCCACCGTCTGGTACAACCCCATCATTGCACAGCAGCAGAAACACAAGCCGTGTGCCAACAGCCGGCCAGCATGGCTGAAAACATTGGCCTTGCGATAGGCCTTTCACACACACGGCTGCCCTGGAGGACAGGCAGGGGCCATGGAGTGGTGGCCAGTGTCTGCTCTGAGGGGTTCGGGCGCTGCCCCGGCCACTTACTAAGTATTTGGGGGACATTCCTGGAAGGGTGCGACTGGTCCCCTGCTTATGAACTCTGGGCCAGGAATGGTCTGACTCCTAAGCTGCAGCCTCTGCTGCCCACACCCGCCATGTTAATTCTAACACAGTGAAAGCCAGAGCTGAATTCAGGCTTCCCGACCTTCCCCGCCGGCCCTCCTGCAGCCCGCAACACCCTGCACCTTTCTGGCCTCCCTCGGGCCCCGGCTGGCCCCTGTGTTGGCCCAGCCTGCAGAGGCTGAGCATCCAAGTGAGTGGTCAGCAACCTGACCGTCCCGGGTCACACACCGAGGCCTCTGTCCTACCCAGACTCCTCCTCTGCTCTGCTCTCAAGGTGAGGTCACACAGGTGATAGACACCAGAGAAATGTGGGCTAGGACGCCCCTCCACCGCCACATTCTCACTCTCCTCGCTCTCCAGTCTCTTTCCATGAGCTCTGTGATCATCAGAGGACGCTGCCCCTGGGGCTCCCTGCGCTGACCCCCTGGATCGTCTGACCTCTGGAGGGCCAGGATGCTGAGAGGCTGGGGCACTTACGAGTTGTGGACACTGCAGTTGTAGAAGACAAAGCTGGTGCTGGCAAAGGTCATGCCCGTCTCCTTGGACTTGAGCTGCAGCTGCACGACATGGTGGTCCCCTACGAGGCAGAGCCAAGCCAGGAGGTTGGGGGAGGCTGAGGCTGCACCCTGGGGAAGAGGAGCCCTGCCCCTCCCTCGGGGTGCTGCCAGCTCTAACGGGACTCGGATTCAGCAGCGCCCAGCCCAGGGCAGCCCTCAAAGCGGCTACACAGGGAAGCTCCAGTCTCTTCTCTGCGCTGAGTCACTTGTGTCTCCCTGCCCAGTTGCTCATCTCCCCTCGGCACACACACACACTGACAGGTGTTTGCACCCCCATGCATGCTGTCCTTGCTGGGCTCCCAGAATTACAAACTAAGCCTGAGGCTTTGCAGATGGGTGGACACGTGTGCACACACCGCTCCTTCCCATGTCTGCGCTGCACGGCCCTATTCTGATGCCCCCTCCTTTGAGAGGGGCTCCGCGGCTCCACTGGGACGGGAGACCCGGGGAACCTCAGCTGGCGCCAGGGAGGAGCCGGGGCCCATGTTTAATTCACGGCTCTGACCCCGGGCCCCCACTTCCAGTCTTGTTCTCTGCCTTCCCTGAGAGCCTCATTAATCAATCAGCTTGGAACAAATGTGACAAGCCCAGGTGGGAGGGACAGCGCAGGATCAATCTGCCTGGGGCCAGGCCTGTCCCTCCCAGCGCTGAGCCTCTGGACACGGATAAAAGGCAGCTGGAGAGAGCCAGGGTAAGGTGACAGTGGGGAGGCCGTGGTCTTGGGTCCGAGACCGAGCTGTGTGAGCAGAGGGAGACCAGCCAGGTGAGCCCTGCATTCCTTTCCCGGCTGCTGACCAGCCTCCTGCACTGCACCCAGCCTGGCCCAGGGTGGTGGACTGCACCACCGCTCTGCTGCTGGCCTGGCCCGACTTCCACCCAGCCTCCATGTAGCAGCTCCTCGTGGAGGAAGAGGTGACTCTCAGATGCTGAGCTGGGCTGTGAGGGGAGGGCTGCAACCAGCCAATCACAAGGGCAATGGAGGGAGATTCCTTCCCCTCTTCCTGTAATGGGACCTGTCTGACCCCTCCGCAGCCTGTAGGCTCCCTCAATCCACCCGGGGTTCGTCTGACTCTGCAGGGGGCAGGGGGCAGGGCACGCCTCCCCCTCCCCCGGGCTTTGCTACTGGGCTGCTCACCGTGCCCAGTGATTATGCGGGGCACCTCCTTGGCTGCGGGGGAGTAGCACTGGATCTGGCTGCCCACTACCAGTCCGTCCATCTCCGACAGGTCCTCAAAGGTGCAGTTGACACCGGCTGACAGCTCTGGAACATTGTAAGTCTCCAGGACCAGCTGCGAACGGCAGGCGGGGGGCGGGGGGGAGAGAGAGAGAGAGAGACGTGAAATGGGGAGAGCAAAGTGTGGGATGAAGGGAGCAGGTGAGCTGGCGAGATCACAAGCAGTGGGGAGGCAACGTTAACGGCGGGAAGAGACCCAGTCTGTGACGAGAGCAGCGTGCAGAAGGTAGTGGGATGAGAACAGGCAGAGGCGAACTTCGTTAGGGTCTAACGGACTTGGCCCCAGCAGATGCGAGCGTTTAGGCATCTGTGAGGTGGGAAGACACTGGGCAGCCCCAAGAGACCACAGCTGAAGCCCCTCTTCCATTGGTCCTAACTCTGGGAAAATGGCAAGGCCATCAGCAGGTGCCCCGTGCTGGGACTTGGACGCTGTGGGGATGCCCTCATCTGCCGCTGCCCCCCTCACAGCTGCAGCTCTCCTTCCCCATGCCCTTGGCCACTCTTCAGCCCATTCCTGGTATGACGGCTTTCCCTGGCTCCCCGGGCATTATGGGTAAGCCTGCCCTCCGAGTTCCTGTGCATGTCCCCTCCTGCTCCGCCACCTTGCCTTGGTCTTGCCCTGCATTTGCCGGCCAGGCTTGGCCCAGCTCTCCCAAGGGCACTTGGGCTCAGGTACACTGTGGAGAGGCATGGTGCTCCCTGTGCCCCCGGACTCCGGCCCGGGGACCCTTACCAGCACGTTGTACTGCGAGACGGAGATGTTGTTGGGATGGACAGTCAGCCGGACACACTGCTTCATCTCCGAGGCAAACCTACGGGGCTCCCTGGACCGCTCACACCGCTCCTTGCGAGTGCACCTGCAAGGGACACACCGACCGTTACCTGGGAGATGCCGCTGGACCCAGGGAGGGGCCGACACTGGAACCAGGCATTTCCACAGCTCCCAGGCCGTGGCCAAACATCCTGTGCCCAGGGCTGGTGTCTGCGTCTCCTTCCTCAGGCCTGGTCCTGCTCCATCATGCCCACGTTTGGAAGCGGTGGTCGTTCTAGTCACACTTGCCAGATATAGAAATGGGAGCGACCCCTTGCCTGCCTGGGCCCTGGCCTTTGGACATGCTAGTTCTTCTCTCTGGACTTCTCTCACCCCGCTCCCCACTGTCCAACACCCTTCCCATCCTTCTGGGCACGGTACAGCTGCACACACCTGCAACCCCAGGAAAACTGGAGGGCTTCCTCCTCCCAGGGTAGCACCGTGCAGTCTCACAGTCTAGAACTTCTTAGAGGATCCGACAAGCATGAGACTAAGTACAGCGCCCTCCTACCAAGTGTGAACCTCTCAAATGAAGAAAGCAGGTCTGATGTATTTTGCAGTCCCCACGTGTGTCTCCTGTTCCAGGAGACAGAAGCTAAATGCAGGCAGGTGGAAGGAGCTATCAGAGGAGGCAAGGGTGTGGCTGCAAGCATGGCCTGGAGCAGTTCCCAGCTCCGTGGGCCAGCTCTGATGGCTTAGTGCCCTGTGTTAGAGAGCACCGTGTCACAGGTGCGCCGCCTCCAGTGTGACCTGGGGCCTTCACTGATGTGTGGGGGCATCCGGGAGATGCATGTGAGAACCTAGACCTTGTCCAACATCAAGCACCTCACGAGATCACAGCGTGGAGGCACGTGGATTCTGGGAACCGTGTTTAACCCACGCCAGGGCAGCCTTGTGGACACGGAGCCTCTCAGAGCTGCCATCCTTTGGACGCTCTGTGTGAACGGGGGACAAGCAGGGTCCTTGCAGGGACAAGGAGAGAGAAGACGGGGCTGCAGGGACATCAGGGTCCCTGTGAGTTGCTGATCTCTCTAAGCGCAGAGAGAGGCAGACATCGGGGCTGCTGCAGGTCGGGAGGCAGGGAGGGGAGTGGGAAATGGAGCAGCCAGGGATGGGGGCCTTGCCAAGGGGGGGGACTTGGGGAGAGCACATGGGGTCAAGGGGCAGACAGGTGTGGGGTGGGGCAAGGGCAAGAGAGAGGGGAGGTGACTGGAACCCTGAGCCACTCTTGGTGCACGCAATGCGATGGGGGCTCTCTTCCCAGCCAAGGCGAAAAGGAAGGCAGCTTTGGCCACAGCAGGGGGACCCCGGATGGTGGAGCATCCGAGAGGAGAATTCAGCAATTGCTAGAGAAGCCACTGAAGGCCATGGGCTGCAGCTGCCCCTCTAAGGACCAGGACAGAGGGGCGATATCAGAGTCCACCAACGGGAGATGCAGACGTGAAAGATACCCCAAACATCACAGCCACAATGGCCAGGGGTTGAGTGCTGATTAGTATCTGTGATGCAGGTTTGCTTTGACTGGTGTCTAAGTCTCAGGATAATTCAGTGACAAACCCCACAGTACAAATCAGGAAAAAGTAGGTAACCTGTCCCCAGCCAATCAGACAGGGGCAGCCGCTGCACACAGGTGAACTCTGGGCCTCTGCTCTACCTTCCAGAAGTTTCGAGATTGAGAAATGAGAGGCAGGCCCCTCTCCCCTTCCTCCCACACTGGCTGTAGACCTAATCCATTTTCTCTCTTCACCTTGCTGCTCCCTCTCATGTCCTCAGCGCTGTTTAAGAGGATAATTGCTACTTTTGCCTCCCACTGGAAAGCAAGTTGGAGAATTTTTGCAACTTTTTGGGCAAATATGAGTTCTCCAGAGTGCCCCCCGCCCCCCCCCAAACCAGAAGCCCTGTCTCAGGAGGGAAATGTCAGACAGGAGCCTGGTCATCCCCGGCACTCCTCGGCAGGCCGACGGCAACCAGAGCATCTGCCTCAAAATCTTGGGAGTTAATTTAGCAGGCCGGCTCCTCTGCGAGGACTCCATTACCTTCAGCCATTAAGCTAATGTTATGGACTTTTCCAGAGTGTCTGCACTGACATCGCTATTAATAGTGTTATTACTCCCATTAACAGCAGACCCAGAGAGCTGCGATGGGCTTAAATTATTCACTGACTCCCCAACTTTGAAGTTGCTGTTTCCAAGAGCAATCAGAAGGTCTGAAAAAAAAAAAGTCTTTGATTTAATTATGAGGCGGGGGTGCGGTGGAGGTGAGGGAGAAAATGGAAGTGCTTCCAGACCAAGCATCACCTGGCGTTGCCAAATGGACTCAAAGAGAAAGAATGGGGCTCCAACACTCTTCCAGGACGGGGTTCCAAGGCGAGTTCTACCTGCACCCTCTGCCACTTTCGGAGTTCAGGGGCTGCCTCTTGCCGCTGCGCCCTTGAGAGCCCCCAGACTAGTGATTCATTCCCCATCCCCAATTTAGGTCTTACCAGAGAAGCCTCCTATCACTTACTGTTTGTTTTTAATGCGTAACTTTCAATTTTATTTTCTTCCCCAGAAACCTTTTATGTAAGGAATACAAATTTGATGCATTGCATAAATACCACTTTAGGAACAGGGTGATCCTTCTCACCCTACCCCACCCTTCCACTCTTCTTCCTCCTCCCTCTCCCATGCCCATTCTTATCTCTTACTAACATCTATTTTCAGTCAACTTTATAGTTTTAGGCATCCTACCTAACTGTGTTTTATTTGGCAAATTCTGTAAATGCCCGGTGCCTCAGTCATTTCATCTCTGAAATGGGGAGGAAATTGCACCTGCCTAATGGCACGAGGACCACATGAGATTCGCGACTCAAGCGTTTAGAGTGGGACGGAGCTCCTGGTAAACCCTCAGTACGTAGCAGCCCCTGCTATGATCCCATCCCTTCTCTGCTTTGCTCATCCACCTCCTTCAAACTGCAGCTGACACCCGAAGCACGGCTCTGTTCCCTGACTGGCCCATGGGACACAGTGGAGACAGATGAAAGGGACAGCTCTGGCAGTTTTCGGGGCCAGGAGGGAGAAGAGAGGCAAGAGTGGCAGGGGTTGCAGCTCTGAGCTGTCAAAGGGTAGTGAGAATCAGCTGTCTTCGTGGAAAGTCAAGTTTAAGGTCAGAGCCAGGGATGTTTTGACATTTCTACCATCTTTCAGAGCCTGGGGGTGGGGGCAGCCAATGTCCAGCAGCAGACCATCGACCTTAAGTGTGACAGGACAGTGGAGGGGACGAGCACATGCCTTCTGACATCGCTTGGGTCCACCAGGGGAACGGCCCGTGATCTCTGGTGAGCCCAGCAACAGCTGCGGAACGTGCGAAGGGTTGGCTCACCACTCCTGAGCCGCTTGCCCCCCAGGGGGCAACAGGTTCTTCCTAAAGCATGTCCTTCAATTCTACTAGGGACACCCCAGCCCTGAAAGGCATATCCTGCTTCATCCATTCTCCTGGACGGCACACAGGTACAGAAAGTACATGCCATGTGACTTTGAATTATCAGACATTTGTCTCTGCCACCCCCATCGTCACTCCTGTCCCAAACATGCAGGTACAGACAGCTGGTGAGAAGCAGATCCCCCACGCACAGCAGGCCTCCAGAACCAGAGTCCACACCTGCTAACCTCTGCTTCCCGCCCAGCCTCATTCCCCTTCCTCTGCAGGGCAGCCCCTCCGGCCCCAGACCAGAGGTGCTAACGGCCCCTGGGGAGAAAGGCGCAGGGACCCTGGCAGGGGCTATTATCCAAGCCAGTGGTTCCAATGAGATTATCCAGTCTAATGAAGCAGCTACCGGCAGGCCTCCCCTAAGCCTGAACTTTCACTGCTGGCGAATTCGCAGCCAAGTGGAAAATTAGAAGGGAGAGGAATGCAGAAAGAAAGAGGGTGAGGGAAAGGGACAGGGAAAGGTGGTGATTAAGTTCCCTAGAAATTATTTCTAAATACAGGGATGAAAATATGAACTCCCAGTGCTGCTAGCCAGGCAAACAAGTTCAGGTGGGAAACGGGGCGCTCTGAGTCCGACCTGGGCAAGCCTCCAGGTTGCAGGGGTGGTTGCTGGTCGGCTCTCCAGGCCCTCCTGTGTGGCCCCCCGGTCCTTAACCTTCTATGTCGGCCATGGCCTCTGCTCCCAGTGCCCCAGATGGGGGAATCTGTGTGTAGAGCATGAAAAGACAGGGAAAGAAAGGGGATGGGGGCTACAGGGCCTTCCCAGGTAGGCCAGATAGAATGTTGACAGGGCTTAGAATGTGCTTCCTGATACAGTTACTGGTATGCTCTTCAGGAATGCTCGCATAAAGGAGCACACAGAACTGTGCGGCGTGGAGGCAGGTAGACCAGATGGTAGACCAGGGAGACCCACGTGGATGCATGTCTAAGAGACTTCTAGTATGCAGGATGTGGATCAGACCAGGTCCTTTCCATGTGAAGGTTCCAGGGTCTGGGGACTGACACACAGTCTCATGGAAGAAGAAGTGCTGAGGTTGTTTCACATGACTACTGAGGAAAAACCCCAGACAGAGAGGCCGAGGACCCACAGACGGAGCACCCCGAATCCAAAACCAGGAAGCTCAAAAGGCTCCAAAATTTGAAACGTCTTGGGCCCCAAAAAGACACTAGAAGTGGAAACATCCACACCTTGAAACTTTGCTTCATGCACAAAAATAGCAAAATAAAAAATTAAAATTTTCTTCAGGCTACATGTAAAAGGTGTGCAGGAAACGAGGTTTTTGTGTAGACTCGAGTCCCCGCCCCAAGATGCCTTATTACTTGGTGCACATATCAATCAAACAACACAACATCTAAAGCACTTCTGCTTTCCAGCATCTGGGACGAGGGAGCCTCAGCCTGTGCTCTAACTTTCCCTCTGCCTGAGCTGCTGACAACAGGGCCCATCCCCCCTTCATAGACCAGAGCGCACCTGAGCAGCACCTGGTGTTGGATTTACCCACATCTCCTGCAAGAGAGCAGCGGACTCCACAGGAACCAGCAGGTGTGGGGGTCATGGGGATCCCAGAACCTTCCCGGGCTCCGTCCTACCATAGTCACCTTCAGTGACGGGCCTGCTGCCTGCACCGTGCAGCCCGCTCTGCTCCGAGCACCAGGCTGCACCTTTGCCTTGTCTTTCGAAAGGCCATGCTTCATGTGAACAACTCGTTGGGCACAAACCTTAGGGAGCCCAGAGGGGCCCCCTAACCACACTGAGTGCTGCCATAAGAGGAGGGGAGGGGAGGCCGTCTGCCTTCTCTTCGTCAGACAGTACCATCTGGGCTTCTCTAACCCCGCTCAGTTGAGGAGAGGCTGGGAAGGAGGAGGTGGGAGTGAAGCAAGATCAGAGGCTGAGGGAGAGGGACAGGAGCAGGAGAAGCTGAGGCACAGCCTAGCAGAGACGCACACCCCTTCGGAATCCAGCCAGGAACAAGCAGGAGGCTCCTATGGCCTGAGATACATCCCACAATAGTGCCGACCACTTCTGACCAGCTAGCTCCCACTATGCTGTTACGTCGCTGGCACCAGAGTTTGGCACAGGGTGGCCCTCTGCTGTGTGCAGGCTGGGTCACCCCACGCATGGGGCCCAGCGAGGGCCAACCAGGCAACGTGTGTGAACTCTGGCGTAAGGGTGTGCATGTCTGGACTCAAACTCCTCAGTCTGTCCCTCCTGGGGCCAAGTCATGAGGCTGGGAAAACCGTTGGGGCTTTTCCAATCCAGCTGGGACGCCGGCACTTCCGACTCGCCACCCTGGGGTCAGGACGCACATGTTACCTGAGAGCGTGTCGGTGTGTGCGGGGATGGACAGAAGGGCAGGACGATGAGAGGGAAGCGCGTTCCTTGAGCCGCACTGTGCACCTGCCCAGCCTGGGTGCGCAAGACCAGACAGTACTGGTATCGAGTGTGGACTCTTGTCTCCAGGTCCGGGGGCTTTTTGCAAACTCAGTGAGGCCACAGTACAGACGTCAAAGAGTTTGCAGGAAGAGCTGGACAGCAACGATCCCCCATGAGCGTGCAGGTCTGATGCCAACAGGCCCAGGAGAGACCACTGACTCAACAGGTGTGTATCACATCCCCCTCGGACACAGACGCAAACAACAGAAACAGAACAAGGTAATGGGCTAAGCTAGGGAGAGGCCAGGGAGGATCTGTGCTTCATTCATTCATTCACTCATTCATTTTTTTACAAGTTCCTGATCCTTTCCTGAGACCAGGTTTATTTATTTTTTTTAATATTTATATTATTTATTTGAGAGGTAGAGTTATAGACAGAGAGAGGGAGAGACAGAGAGAGAGAGAGAGAGATCTTTCATCCGCTGATTCATTCCCCAAATGGCCACAATCCGAAACCTGGAGCCAGGAGCTTTTCCTGGGTCTCCCATGTGGAGGCAGGGGTACAGGGACTTGGACCATCTTCTATTGCTTTCCCAGGCCATAGCAGAGAGCTAGATCAGAAGTGGCGCAGCTGGGACTTGAACCAGTGCCCACATGGGATGCAGGTGCCCCAGGCAGAGGTTCAGCCTGTTATGCCACAGCGCCGGCCCCAGATCTGTGTTTTAGAGCCAAGTTGTCCCTCATTACGAGGACCATGGCTTATGGGACAAGCAGCTGTCTCTGTGCTTTCCCAGGTGGTTCCCGGTGGGCTGCGCCTAACTGGCATGGCTGGTTAAAGCCACCTGTGGGAAGACTTGTCCCAGCCACTTGCCGCAGTCCTGGCGATGAGGGGAACAGGAAGGGACAGGACCACGACCTCCATAGGCACAGCCAGGGTCATCGGCACTGCCTCAGACACAAGCACCTGCTCTGCTCCAGGCCCAGCGAGGGGGCGCCATGCACAATTTCTCCCCTAATTTTCACAGTGCGGCTGTCACACAGCTCTGCTCATCATTGTTCAATGCCATGGACAGGGAGCGCAGCCGGATCTGCCCCCACTCAGCTCTTGGCTCCACCTCTCCCCTTCGCCCTTCCCACCCTGTCTTGGCAGAAGCCACATCCAAAGAGTGAATCCTGAGAGGGAGCCCACACCCACTCAATGGTGGGTGGGGGGGCGTTCTTCTAAACAGGAGGATTCTGGGAGGAGGCGTGTGGATGGGGGCAGAGACTTCGTGGAAGCCCATCTGATCTTTCTCCTGGGATGTCCTGGGCTACCTGAGCCTCCCAGGAGGGACGCTGATGACTTTTCTTGAAAAAGGCAACGTCTGGACCAATCGACGCAGCTGGGTCAGCCGGGCAGGATCTGTTACCTGCTGAGACCCAGATGGGCTTCTCTGGCTGGGCCTGAAGCCAGAGGGGAGGACAGAAAGAGGGAAGGGAATGTTCTAGGTCCAGGCTGATGGAGGTGGGCTTTTACCTTCGCCCAAGTCAGGCACAGAAGGAAGGCCCTGGGAACAAAACTGCTGGCCAGATACTGCCCTGCTGTGTGGTTGGTGAGCCAGTGGGCGGGGTCAGGGGCACCGTGCCCCTCCCCACTCCAGGGTTGCTGGTGATTCCTGGGAATCGAGAATAACACGAGGGAGGGACTGAAATTCCCTGAGCATTTCTTACGCATGCTCAGTCTGCAATCACCTGTGACCCTGGCGTACAAACAGCCATTCAGATATGGGAGCCACCTGCTTACAGATTCCTGCCCTTAAACTGTGCAATCACACACAGGCTCGGCTGCTATCTCTCTGCCTCTCTGGCTATTTGTCTCTTTCTCCCTCACTCCCCACCCTGCCAACTGTCCTTGTCTTACCCCAATGTCACCACCACCATCTCCCCACAGCCAAGGGCACTGCTGGCACGGATGACCAAGAAAACAGACGTAACCCCACACCGCAAGGAGCCCGTTCCCGCTGCACTTTCCTGAGCAGTCTTCCCGAGGCTTAGGACTCTGCATCACAGTCCCTCGCTCAGCTCAGGGTCTTGCCCACGGTGGACCCTGGCCATGGTGCTGGTTCCAGCACAGAGCGCAGCCCCATTCTGTCCCTGACTCAAAGGCTTCCAAGAAGCTTCAGCAGGAGACAATCAGGGCAGCCATATTTGTGTCCCTGAGCCTGGCACCGTGTATGGCCCAGGGTGGTCTGAGAGGTGTGTGGACACAACCCTGCCTCATACAATGGCCCACACGCATTAACTGCTCCCATATGGCAGACAGAGGCACCTCAGGGCAGCCGCCCACAGGCTGTCCCTGGCTGTCCTCACCCCCACCCTTGCTCACCTCTGCCCTTCTCCTTCCTCCCATCCTCAACTCCCTTCCCAACCCTTAATGTCCAGTTTGCACCCATGAGAAGCAACACCTGACTCTGCCCTGGGCCTGAGGGGCACAGAGAAAACGTTCCCAGGGAGGCACTGGTGAGAGCAGGGGACAGCCGATGACTGTGGGCAGTGCTATGCTTCTCCCTAAGCTGTGGAATGCCTGGCTGTGTGCATTTGTTGAAGCTTTTCAAACCCTACGATTAAGTCCTGTGTACCCTACCCCATGTACATTGAAAATTACATCTAGTAGGCATAGTAGGTAAAGCCTACACCTGTGGTGCTGGCATCCCATATGGGCACTGGTTCATGTCCTGGCTGCTCCACTTCTGATCCAGCTCTCTGCTGTGGCCTGGGAAAGCAGCAGAAGATGGCCCAAGTGCTTGGGGCCCTGACCTGCGTGGGAAACCAGGAAGAAGCTCCTGGCTTCAGATTGGCCCAGCTCCGGCTTTTGCCCTGGGAACCCTCTGCCCCAAGCTGCTCAAGGTTCCTGGGAGTGAACCAGCAGTTGGAAGGCTTTCTGTCTCTCTCTGCCTCTCCTCTCTCTCTGTAACTCTTTCAGATAAATAAATAAAAAAAAAAGAAAAGAAAGTAGAGCAGCCAGACTGGAACTGATGCCCCTATGGGATGCTGGTGTCACAGGTGGTGGCCACAACACTGGCCCCTAGACTTGTTTGTTTGTTTGTTTACATTTTCAAAATGAGGACAGGAGATCACTTGAAACAAGAAATCTAAGGTACAATTCATAACTTAACAGCCAAATTGGTGAAATTTTCTCTTTCTGACCTGTCCTTCTGTGGACAGGGCCAAAAGAAATCTAGGTCCAGGAGCTGTGCCACCTGGTGAGAGCAGTTACGACAGCAGAGGCAGGGTCCTCAGGTGCTACACAACTGAACTGTATGGGCCAGAACCAGAAAATTCTATGGACGCACTACGGGGAATATCGGGGGGATGCGGAGTCACAAGATGCATGGCACGTCTCTCCCACGTGATTTATTGGCTCACGCAAACCTTGAGAATCAAGCCCGAAGCCTTGTCCCTGGTATCAGCCCTGAGAAGTCAGTCGACAGCCTGGTCCCCTGGCCTCCGGCGCACAGGTCCCCAGCGCGACACCCACATCGGGAGCCGTCACCCTCCCTGTGCTGCCCTTTCCATATCTCTTGTGGGACTGGGGCGGTGTAGAGTGGAGACAGAATGAAGGAAAGGAGAGAATTCACCAAGGAAGCAAAGGCAGGAGATGGGCAGGAGAGTGGTGACAGAGGCGAGGGAGGGGGAGGCGGGAGGAGCTGCCGGCCGTACTCACGTGTTGTGGAGCACACACCAGCCGCAGTGCGGATCGCCTGAGCCCAGGCACTCGCTGCAGCTCTGGTACTGCCCGCAGGACTCCACAGGAACGCTGGTGAGCTAGAACAGCACAGGGACACGGGGTCAAGGTTCTGCAGGACACCAGACAATACTTATGTGGTGGACATTCACATTTTCCCAATACCAAACACCCAAAACATCTCTCTGGGAACATTGGGCTCATCATGTTTATTTCCCATAAGTGTGGAAAAAACCACAAATGTCTATTCCTTCTCCATTTCTTGCTTTCCTTTTGCAACAATGTTGCATCGTCTTCTTGGGCCCTGGCCTTTGGGCTGCACCATTTCTGCTCTTCCCAGGGGGCATCTGGCCCCAGACTGACCTCACCTCTGACAAGGTGGCATCTGCTATCTGCCTGCTTCCTGGCCCAACCAGCTCTGAAATTCCTCCCTTTGGTTTTTTCAGGGAGCAGCTGTTGCTCTCTCCTCTTCCTCACACCCCTCCCAGGACCAGAGGCGACACGGTAGCTTTCAGCAGCCCCTTGCTCGGGTAAAATGTTCTGCGTGGCATTTGGCTTAGCCAGATGCTCCTGTTTCCTGCCTGCCCTTACCTATCTAGTGACTCCTTTGTTCTCCGATGTAGCTTTCCCTGGATGTCTCTGTCAGTGACTTGCCAGTTCCTGCTATGCAGTAGGCACGCCACAAGAACACACCGCATCAAATGGAATGTTTATTTTCCACTTGTAACCCAAGTCTTCATTCCCCACTCTGCCAATCTCTTCTTTACAAAAAGTTTTTTTTTTTTTTAATAATCCTTTTTTTCCATTTGGAATACCTTCTTCTGTTGATGGAGGGCTTCCTCCCTGATCTCTCGGCTCGAGCTAAGGCACGCTGATGTGGTCGTCTTTTGGGTTTCTCGCCGTCAGACAGCAGGTGCACAAAGCGCTCTGCGATGCTGCCCCGGCCGACTCAGTCTGCTTCTGGAGCAAAGGCAGCGACCACACGTCTCCCGCTGCTTCACAGGGCATCTGCCTCTGTAGGATTATGTCCACTTGGCAGGGGCTACTTGTAGCTCACGCACAGGCAGACTGGCGCTGGAGCCCACTCAATTAGTGTCGAAACTCTTTTGCAGTTCGTTAATAATTAATTCCAAGCCCCACATGACCGCTTTTCCCTTAATTTTCTTATTCCCTTTATGTATTTTTTAATTCCCCAAAGCATACACTGAGTGTGCTTTCTGACCACGCTGTGCCTCTGCTGCTTTCAAGTTCCCTGCTGGCCACCACCTCCCACCCTCACAGCTTTGCCCTTGGCCTTGGCAGCTCTTTCTCTACCTTCTCAGATGTCTTTTCTGCACATCTGAATTTTATCTTTTCTTTTATTGCTGCTCATGTCATCTGCATGGGCCACGTTGGACCTCTGCCTACATAGAACATTGCTATAGTCATGATTTATTTAAAAGAATTATTTTATTTCTTTGAAAGGCACAGTTACAGTGAGAGGAGGAGAGACAGATAAAGATCTTCCACCCACTGGTTCACTCCCCAGATGGCTACAATGGCCAACACTGGTCCAGACCAAAGCCAGGAGCTTGGAACTCCATTTGGGTTTCCATTAGGGTAGCAGGGGCTGGAGCACTTGGGTCATGTGCCACTGCCCTCCCAGGCACATTAGCAGGATGCTAGACTGGAAGTGAGGCAGCCTACTTGAACCAACACCCTACTATAGGGTGTTACTGTCATAGGCGGCAGCTTGGTCAGCTGTGCCACGGCGCTGGCACCACAGTGTCACGATTGACCTTGACAGTCAGCGGCCTGCACACTGCCCTACTGGACCCACAGGCACTCAGAAATGTCACCTAGTCCTGTTGCCCCTTTCATTTCTCTCCCAGCCTAAGCCACACAGCCATGCGAGTCACGTGAGCACGCAACCCGTGGTTCCCAAGCCGAAGGACGTGTGCTCCCAGGAGTGTGCGGGTGGAGATGAGGTCCATTAGCAACATTCAGCCCTGCTAAGCGCCTAACAGAATTTGGGTTGTTGCTGTTTTATGCTTTGATGTATTCATTGAGGGATGTCCCGTATTACAAATTGGAAATATATTATTACGTTTAAATACAGTTTGTTTTGCAGACAGAATCTTTCAAAACATGATGCCTACAGGGGCAAAAATAACAAAAGCCAAAGGCAGTAAAAGTTGGGAGCCATAAATATATAATAAGGGTCTCCCAGGTCCCAGGTGCCTGCCTAGCATCTATTTTTGCTATTGGTTTACTGCTGTCAACCTCTTACTGTGCTTAATTTCTAAATGAAACTTGATCACAGGTGTGTGTATGTATAGAACATCTCCTCGATAGTGTTTAGTGCAATCCAAGGTGTCAGGCATGGGAGGTCTTGGAATGTGTCCTCCAGGGATAAGGGGAGGCTACTGTGTATTTGGTCACTTTCTATCTGTGTCTCCTGCACCACGTCTCAGTTTCCTGCATCCTTTTTAAAGTACAGACGCTAAAACTGGGGCGCCGGTAGGATTCTGACCAGGTGAGCAAAAAGGCTGCTGTTATTTACGAGATGGGTGGCGGCCTCCCTTGCCTCTACAGGGGGGTGGGGGGTTGAGGGGGGGAGGCCAGGACCAGGGACGTCTCCGGCACCTCCAGGCAGCACGGACTGGCCAGCACGCCAAACCCTTGTGGACGGCTTCCTGCATTGGCCATCACGCTGCCTCACACCCCACGCCGGGGGGCCTTCTGGAAAGCATCACACATTCACCTGACCGCCTAAGCCACCTCTGCTAGCTGGAGCCAGTCCAGCCACGGATCTCAGTACAAACGGAGCCGAGGGATTTCTGCAGCGTGCACGCCCTCCACCCACACCTTGCTCACGTTGCCAGGTGGCGTCTGGACCACCTTGTCCCTGTACCTCCCTCTCCCCACACATCTAGATTCTCCACTCACTCCTTACACCTAACAAAGCCACCTCTCCCTCCCATCCCCCAGTCCCCGGCTCCAGATCTTCTGACCCTGGAACACAGACCGCTCCAGATGTGGAGCCACACGATTAATTAAAACCACCCCACGCTGATTAGTCTTGAGCTACAGTGCCAGGCATGCTAATTAACGGAGGGAGGGAGTGCAGACCACAGGAAGAGAGAAAAGAAAGTTACTGCTTGCGGGAGGGACTTCTGCTCCGGGGACACGTCAGATGACGATGGGACCCAAGTGAGCATGGTAGTAGCTGGACTCAGAGACCACAGAAGACTGAGGCCTGTGCCTGGGTCCCTGGGCTCCAGGAGAGGTATTGCTTGATCCTGCTGCACCATCGATGTCACTGCTTCTAGAGCCTGGAGCCTCACCACCTCTCAAGAGCTCCCTGGGCACCTTCAAGATGCTGGGGAGAAGGGGGACCCTCGAGCACAGGGGTCAGGATGGGGCCTGCGCATGGTCACTGTGGCACACTGCCCTGGAGTTGTGCAAAAACACACTCAGTGCTAGGGCGATCCCTCAAAGGGTTGAGCACAGAATTTATTATACAATCCAGAGATTTTATTATGAGATACACGCTAGAGAGAAGTGTAAGCAGAGGGTCTCAACGAGGTGTTTGCATGCCCATATTCATAGCAGAGTTAATCAGAAAAGGTAGCCAATAGGTAGACGCAACCCCAGTGTCCACCCGTAGATGAACAGATAAACAAAACAGTGTGTACAAAGGTATATTATTCAGCCTTAAAAAATAAGGAGCTCGTGACAATATACTTTGGAGATAGGACATCGTAATCGAAAAACGCCAGTTGCAAAGGCAAACCGCAGTAGGATTTTCCTTCTAAGGACCATCCACAGTAATCAAACTCGTAGAGACAGGGGCTGGGCAGGGGGAGGATTGGGGGGTTACTGTCTAATGGGAACAGCTTCATTTGGGGGCCATAAGAAAGTTCTGGCAATGGATGGTGGTGGTGGCTGTGCAGCAGTGTGAAAGTGCTAATGCCACGGAACACTGAGAAAGGTGAAATGGTGAGTTTTATGCTGTGGATAATTTGCCAGAATAAAAAACCTGAAATAATCTTTTGAGCAGCCTTTGCTGAAAATGACTTCAGCAGCACTGCAGAGCAGACACACAAACACCTGTTCTCTGCTCAGCTCCTGGGTCAGTGGGAGCAGCTTCTGTTGGTACACCAATAGATCCATGTTTATAAAATATTCTGAGATCCTTCAGCGGAAGGACAGGCATCGCTACTCTTTTCAGTTTAATCTCAAATGGACGGAAGGGTCTGGGACCAATGTCTCTATCATGACTGGTTATGTACCTGGTCTGCTGTTCCCAAGCTCTGGCCGACCACTGTCCAATTTGGAAAAACAATGCCTTAGCTTTGTTCTACCCAAAAGTTTTCCTTATCTCCCATCCCCTCTAACAGGCACAGAGCAGGGGGCTCAGAATTCAAATAGCTCATGTGAGGTCAAATAGCAGCCCCCCCTTTTTTAAATTATGTTTATTTATTTGAAAGGGAGAGAGAGAGCGAGAGCGTGAGCCTTCCATCTGCTGGTATGCTACTCAGTGGCCACAATGGCTTGGACTGGGCCAGGTCAAAGCCAGGAGCCTGGAGCTCCATCTGGGTCCACATGAGTGGCAGGGGCCAGACCCTTGAGCCGTCTTCTGCTGCTTTCCCAGGTGCATTAGCAGGGAGCTGGATGGGAAGTGGAATAGCCAGGACTCCAACCCGTGCTCACAAGGGACTGCTATGGCGCAGGCAACAGCTTAACCCGCTGCTCTACACACAGCAGCCCATATAATCCTGGGTTTTAGGAAACTCTCCTGTTCACACCCAGCCTCTGTTTTGGCATTTTCCAGGCTCAGTTACCAGCAGGAGTCACCTGTGTGCCCTCCACTGGCCTCACCTGCTGGACCCCTATCATCAGGGGCCCCACATTGTTTTTTTTTTTGGTCTTCTTGCCACCAAGGTGAACTTCTTCATATCACAGTGTAGTCTGCTCTGGCTCTGGCACTACAGTGAGTACAATCATGATCACGGTCATCATCCTCCTTTTCTGTCCAGAACCATGCCACAGGCCACGTTCCACGAAGACAGCCTGCCGTAGGAAGGCAGTAAGTGAC